TTCTCTCCCGCTGCTTTCCAGCCTACACCTATGCAAGCCCCTATCCAGCCACCTCATACCGTCCCAGCTTTTTTCGAGGGACCTATGAGACAGAATACAGGGCCTCCAGGGCCCCAAGGCGGGGCACCGGACTTTGGCGCAGGGCAGGATGAACTACCTGTCTTGCTGGATAGAATGAACGTCAACAGGGGAACAGGCCAATTTGGTTTCAACAATTCTGGATCTTTCCCTCCAGGGCCACAGGATGCCCAGACTCAGGCACACAACCAGGCCGTTTCCACCATGCTGCAGGACCGTAGCCGCCTCCAACAGGAGCAGGAGAATTTTAACAAGGCTCATCCAGAGTCCATCTTCGACCAGCAAGCCAGAGAGGAGCGTGTTCGACAGTTCCATGCCCTGAGGATCGCGGATGAGGATATCCCTGTTCGGCGTACTGAGGAGCCAGCCAACCATCGAGAAGCCAGCCAGGAACATAGACCACATGAGCAATCCTCAGCATCAAAGGACCAGCCTCATTTCAACCAGGGCAACGACCAGGAGCTTACCCTTACCCAAAAGGTGCAAAATGCTGCTTCGGCACAGAGACTTCAGCAGCAACAGCAACAGCAGCAGTTCAACGCCCAGGCTCCCTCTTCTGAGGTTGAATCCCCCTGGGCAAAGGTAGACAACGGACTGCCACAGCCGTTCCCACCACCACCTTCACAGTCTCCTCTTCCAGCCCCGGCCGCACAGCGTAACCGCCAACACGTAGCAGACAACCTTGCAGCCGAAACCCGGTCTCAGACCCAAACCCCCAGTGAAGTGCACACCACTTCCGTGGCGCCATGGGCGAAGGAGCACTGCGAAGCCGCCAAGGGACCATCTCTTCGTGAGATCCAGGAAGCCGAAGCTCGTAAAGCCGCAAAGCTCGAGGAGCTTGCTGCCGCTGCACGTCGGGCCTTGGCTGAACAAGAGCGCGCGAATCCACCTCCTGCTCCTGCTCCAGGCCTCCCGTCAACCGCCAACTGGGCCCGAAGCGGATCTGCCAACACCCCTGCATCAGATGCATCTTCCGCATGGTCTAAATCAGCAGGTGGCAAGAACCAGGGAGTCGCCGCCAACACGGCACCGAAGAAGACGCTGGCCCAGATCCAAAAGGAAGAGGAGGCTCGTAAACAGCGCACCGCTGCCGCTGCTGCTGCCGCCGCATCCGCAGCTAACCCCCTTGGGGCGCCGGTTGGAAAGCGTTATGCCGAGCTTGCGGGTAAGATGACTGCTCAGCAGCCTACTCCGACTGCTTCCGGCGGTGCGTGGACCACTGTAGGAGCTGGCGGAAAGGCCAAGGCTGCACCTGTTTCCAACGCTGTTAATTCCCGAAACGTTCCCGGCCTAACTCCAAGCCCGACCCCAGCTACTAAGCCTAAAACCATCATGACCCGAAATGCAAGCATGGGTAACTCTACTACAGCCCAGGCCAACCGTCCCACCGAAGAGCTGGCGAAATGGGCCAAACTAGCCCTCGAGAAGGGATTGAATAGTTCTATTAATGGTAAGTCGGACGCTTATGCTGTCGCTGATACATGCCTTTTCTAACATATATATCTACAGTGGACGACTTTGTACAACAGCTTCTATTCCTACCACCCGAGTCAGAAATCATCTCGGATTCCGTGTACGCCAACTCCCAGACCCTGGACGGCCGACGCTTTGCCGAAGAGTTCATCAGGCGCCGTAAGCTAGCTGACAAGGGTATCATCGATCCTGCTTCCTCCGGAGCCTTCGGATCCCCTGTCGAATCCAAGAATTCTTCAGATGGCTGGAACGAAGTCGCCAAGAAGGGCAATGCAGCTGCCAGCCGCGAGGATCAAGCAACCAGCAACGCGGCGTTCAAGGTCGTGTCCAAGAAGAAAGGCAAGCGATGAATGGCTCTCTGGGATGTTCTCTGACTCTGTTCTTTTTGATAAGCTCTTTTTACCTGTCTGCTTTCGAGTGGTTGTTTGATGTTGGCATGATACGATATGGCATGATGGTTTTCGAGAAGCAAAGAGCGGTCCCCTGTTTACCTATCTTGCGAGGAGAGGGTTGGATAGACGGCGTTTCCATACACAGTGCATATCATCTTCCCATCTTCTTCTCCCGTTTGTACTGCATCCGTCTTGTCTGTCTGTCTGCCTTTTTACATTTTGCTAGCCTTAATTACATACATGTCTTTCTTGTATTCTATAATCACTCTTCTCTAGTATTCGTCGAGTTAGCGAACACGCCCTATGACAAACTGTCTCCCTGCCTTTTCCAACTCATCATCTCCATGTTACATGCTTTTTATATATACTAACATCCATGCAAGCTGCAGCCGCCTCGTACTCTATGCCTTTTTGGGCCGATGTTATGTAATTTGTTGGCTTCATCTTCGACGTTTGGTCACACTAAGTAGCTAGTTTTTATCTCCACACCAGAAACACGGCCGAGGTCAGAGTACACGCGGGGGTGCATTTATAAGTCATAGATGATAGACTGCTATTATATAGGGAGCTCTCGACTATATAAGGAGAGAGATAGCCCCGAGGTCTACGCTCGAAAGGAGTCATCAAGCTATATCAAGAATCGGGTTACTCTGTATCAGCATGAAATATCAACCCGCACCATTCGGTAATTCGCTGCTCAAGCAGTTTCCTCTAGAACCGACCTTTAGAAACTTGAATCTTCGTCTCTGCCGCTATCCTTCCGTTCGGTACATGGCGCCCTCTCGTCTCTCCCGGGTTTTTTTGATCTGATCAACCTTCCCCCGCCATGCATTGAACAAGTTCCGTGAGCTCCAGGACAAGTTCGAAGCAAGCCCGGATCGATTCCTTCGCTTCGAGCTGGCATTCTACCTGCTTGAGTCTCGCAAGGCAGTGGGATCGTTGCTGAACACTCCCGTCGACTCAACCGTCTTCGTCAAGAATGCTACCACAGGCATCAACACTGTTCTGCGGAACATCGTCTACCAGCCGGGAGATATCATCGTCTACTTCTCTACCGTGTACGGGGCGGTAGAAAAGACCATTGCCTCGCTGGCGGAAACCACTCCGGTGCGCGCTCGCAAGGTCAAGTATGAGTTCCCTATCACGCATGAGCAGCTGGTAGAGAGGTTCATGGAGACAGTGAACAAAGCTAGAAGAGAAGGGCTGAATGTTAAAGTCGCTGTGTTCGATACCATCGTCAGCAGTCCTGGCGTCAGGCTTCCGTTCGAGAGACTCACGGAGGTATGCAAGAAGGAAGGCATCCTAAGCTGTATCGACGGTGCACACGGAGTCGGACACATCCCTTTGGACCTAGCCAAGTTGGATCCAGACTTCTTCGTGAGCAACTGTCACAAGTATGTAATATCCATGTTTAAATGGCTGCTCTCTGTATCAACCTGCTAACTATACATTCACAGATGGCTCTTCGTCCCTCGGGGCTGCGCTGTATTCTACGTCCCTGTCCGCAACCAACACCTCATCCGCACTACTGTCCCGACATCCCATGGCTTCGAGCCTGTCCCGGGTATCATGAAAACCGGCTCTGAGATAGGTGAACCGGAAGAACCTTTCTCAAAGCCCATAGATGCCTTCTTCACTCAGTCAAACTTTGAGCTCCAGTTCGAATTCACCGGCACAAACGATGATCTACCTTTCCTCTGCGTCCCTGAATCCATCAAGTACCGCAACGAGGTATGTGGCGGTGAAGAAAAAATTATGAACTACTGCCAAACCCTTGCCTTCGAGGCAGGGAATCGCGTTGCTCAGATATTCGGCACAGATGTCCTCGGTGAATTCTGCTCGTCTGGCACCGGCAAGTTCGACCCTGAGAAAGAGAAGCAGAGTGAATTCCGTAAATGTGCGTTTGCAAATATACGGCTTCCCATCACTATTGTCGACGACCAGGAGGTTGCTCAGGGTAAACTATCTCGACCTGAGTGGCCTGCTGTCAAAGTGGGAGATGCAGTGCGTGCTTGTCGATGGATGGAACAGCAGCTAGTTCTCAAGCATCATACGATGTCTCCTTGCTATGTGCATGCTGGCTCCATCTGGACCAGACTTAGTGCCCAGGTGTATCTGGAATTGAGTGATTTCGAATGGCTGGCTGGTGTGTTTAAGGAGGTTTTCAAACAGCTGGCTGTTGAAAACGGTGTGTTCAGTTCGGATATCAAGGGAAAACTGTAGGCCGTGGGGCTTTTTTCGGAGCAAGGGGATGATCTGGGCAGAAGAGTTATGAATCATTGTGACGTTCATATATCAATTGGATATGTGAGTACATGTAGAATAACGACCAGGATGTTTTCTGAATATAGTTATACATTATGGCTAGCTGTCTCAATAGGGGCAGACATTGGCTACCTTGGATAAATATATTATAGAATACCGACGCTAGGATAAAGAAAAGAGAGAGGAGACATCACAAAGAAACAAAGAAAATGTGTAAGAAATGAGAAGAAAAACACCAGGTCCGCCCCACGATGCCAAAGAGCTAATGATATTCGAAATAACAAGCAAAGAGAACCGTCAAAGGTCCCGGTCATCGTTCCTGTAACTGCAAACCCAAGTCCAAATTTTTATGTAGCCGAGAAACGAAAAGAAACCCGTGGAAATGGAGGTAATAAGCCGGCTTGGGTATAGAATAAATCATGATTGCAAAAGGAGATGTTAAGTAGGAATGATGAACTGCCGGAGGGTTAGGAGGAACTGCCTCCTCCAAAGTGATATCTCATCCACCCGGCTATACCGCTGGGCTGCTGTGTATTATTATTTCCTGTGTTTGAATTTTGAGATATCGAGCCTGTTTGGCCTGATGACTGGTCACGTTCTCGAGAAATATTAGGGATGCTGGACGGTTGTTCTGTCGAAGGGCTTGAAGGAACGATATATGGGTTTCTAGAACTTCCTGGAGGGCCAGCTGTAGGGTTTAGTGGGGGTTGGCCTTGTTGCTGTGCACCTCCGTTCGCCTGTTGATAAGTCGCCATTATCCCCTGTCGACAGTGTGGGCATGTGTCGTGTTCATTCAGCCAGGCCGTAATGCAGGTGTCGTGGAACCAATGTTTGCATGGCAGCATGGTGACCTCTGTGCCCACCTCAACACTATCCATGCATATTGAGCATTCCGCCTTGCCATCGCTGCCTAACATGGACTTGTCGATTTTGACCTTTGGTAGAGCTCGAATTGCGTCCGCAGAGGCTGGAGCCGGTGCATTTCCGTTCATGTTCTGGTCTACCAGCTGGGATATCACGCGGTCGAGCTCTTCTTGAGAATAAACAGCGTCACCGTGGTGTTGTATTCCTAGAGCTTGGGCGATGGCAGCAATAGGGCTTACAATGGGGATACCGCCGCCACGATAATTCGGGTTTGCAGCACCGTGCATAATAGCTAGAATGCTGGGAGGAATGTTAGGTCATGTCGCTGTAGAACAACACGGGGTTGTCTGACTTACTCGTTGATGTTTAATAAAGGCTGCGGGTTCCCCTGTGGCCGGTTTGCATCTCGCGGATGTAGTCCTCCGCCTAGGATCTCGGGAGGATCGGTATCACGATAATTATTACTCTGCTGTGGATTTGGGTTTTGGTACCCATAGCCTGCCGGGATCCCTCCTCTATTGGGTTGGGTTTCAGCTATCCCCTGAAGAATTGCATTGAAGCTTCTGAAGATAGGTGTGAGAGAGTCATCAGCGCCGCTTCCATATCTCGGATTTGAGCTCATCCCCAATCTGATGCCGCCGCTACTTGGAGATCTGATAGTTGTGCTTGTAAATTGGAATCTGCCATCGTTGGATTGGTAGTGGTGGCGAGTGATATGCCCATTTCCGCTCTCTGCGTGGTATGTTTGGCGGGTAGGCAAGAAGTTATTAAAGTTGGAGAATATGTTGGGTGGGAAGGGCTGGTACTGTTGGATTTCGGGGGTATCATCGTCTTCATCATGCTCTGTAGTTTCAAGCTATATATGACAGTTAGTGGAACTGATCGTTTAATTACCACGAGGGAGAAAAAAGTAAATACTCACTATTTCAACAAACTCTGAATGACAGCGAGGACAGGTGAGTCCATGCTCGCTCCTGGGCCATTGGTACTCACACTCATGGCAGAAGACTTGGTCTCCTGGCACCCGCTCAGCCATGTTTGCAGAGATATAAAGAACAACTAGAAACTGTGGAAGGGTGGGAGCCAGCCCCTTTTTCAAGTATTATTGTCGAAAGAGCAATATATCGTATATTAAACGATTCGAACAAGGAAGAAACGGAAGGCGATAATGAACATTTGGCGGGGCAGACGCAGGAATATGTTAATGAAGCGCCCCACGACACCGGCTGGTTCCAGAATTTCGTATGGGTATAGCGAAACGAAAGATGGTTTGCTCAAGACGGCACGACCTATAGTGTATTATAGAGTATTATTGCCCGTAAAGATCGCCGGAAAGAGGCTATAGCCAGCGTTGAGGGTGGCTGGCAGTGTAGATGTCGCTGGCGTTTTGCGGTGGCCAAAGAAGTTTGATGCGCAGGGACAAACGGCCAGTGACAAGGCTAGGGAATGTGATCGGTAGGGAATGCGAAGAGTCCTCGAAATTCGCAAAGCTTCGTTTCTATTTCTTTCCTCTCTTTCCTCTCTTTCTTTTCTTCTTCTCTTCTTCTTCTTCTTCTCTTTGCTTCTTTTTTTTCTTTGCTTTCTTGTTCTTTTTTTTTTTCCTGGTGACCGAAAATATGACGTTGTTGCTTAGTCAGCGATTTTGAAGCAGATGCAGAAAAGACATCAAGAAGACATCAAAATGTAGAATAAAATTCAAGAAGATATATTCATTATTCGCTGGGCCAAGAATAGAGGCAGTGGAAAACAGAGTGTCTTCAAAAAGCCAACGGAACGCCCATCCAGATGCTTGCCAAAAAAAAGTACAGCCGGGAACAAGTAGATCATAGTCAAGAGAGTACATCAAGGAGACAGTCAGACCAACATAAGAACCAAAGAACCAAAGACATCATTTATGTGCATCAGAGTTCATCGTTTCCTGGCTCCTCTCATGATGAGTCCACCGATCAGGCCTGCGGCCACGGCGACACCGCCGATGATGGCGGCTCCTACCAGCCCTTCTTTGGCGACCTTGTCATCGATCAGTGTTCGTAGACTGGCCGACTGTAGATTATTTGGCTCGTGTTCGAGGAGGAGATCGTTGTATCTTCGAGCCTCGCCGTAGTTGCCGAGCTTGAAGTTGCCCAGCGCAAGGTAGTAGAGGCACTCTCGTCGTCGCTCTGGGGCTGTTCGGAAGATCTCAGAGAGCAGTCGAGTTCCTTCTTGCTGCTCTGGCCGGGAGTTGGATTTTATGAGGCCCTTTGAATCGTCAGCTTGGGTATTATAACAAGATATCAAGAGTAGTGTATATATATACCCAGGCATAGTTGAACTTGGTCTGGACACCGACGTATTCACCTTCTTTCTCGTACTGAGCCCGAAGGACCTGGAGTTCTGCTGGCTTCAAGGGACTGTCCATAGCTGTCAGTCTCGAGTATATACACACAGGTGCTTGTCATTACCGACCTTTCGGCGTCCGCAGCATCTTTATACATGAAGAGGTCAACGTCAGCCAGCTGTTAGAAATGCGGGAGCCTGGTGCATAGCCACTTACAAGGTAACGAAGTCATCATCCAGACCGAGGATCTCTTGCGCAAAGGATGTACAAGGTATCAAAAGAAAGCCTCTCCCCGTAGCTAAACCGTCGTGGAAGCAAAGATGAATTTTTCTCTGTCTTGTTCGTGGCGTTTTTTCTTGCGGGGATCAAAAAGAAAAAGCTGGAGTTCTTCAAAGTTGCTGCAACAACAGAAAAACATCAACATCGCGATTATATCAACAACTAGCTAAATAACCACCAACGAGACCCGAGAGAAGCCATTCAAGATGCTCCTTGAAGAAGACCCAGCCGCTGTAATCTCCTTGCTACTATATTATACTACAACGCACAATTCTGACTGACCACTGCAGCTCATCCACCATACCATAACCAACTTCAATATCCAACCAGACAAGCTTGCTCTCTCGCGCATAAATGATTCTCTCTCCTCGCTCCAGCAGTCTCGAGAACTGCGCTTCCAGGAAGTGGAAAACTCACTACGCAAGCTCTCGCGCCAGCTGAGCACGCTCAACGCCCAGCACAAGGAAACGGTCGAGTCACACGATCCCGCTCGCCATGCTGCATCTATCGTGGAGCTGGATACGGAAAAGTTCAGGATTGCAAAGGCTGCGTCTGAGCTGGAGATCGAGAGTGAGCGATTAGAGGCAGAGTTGGAGTCGCTAAAGGCCCGGTTGGCGGAGCTGGACGCGCAGGGCCTCGAGGGAGATGAGCTCACGAGAAGAGAACGCGAGGCAGATGATGCAACCATGTAAGAAATTTTTGTTGAACGTTGGCTTATAATAGCGTATACTGATCGGTGACATGTGTAGACTACGGCTTAAGATATATCGATCACTAGGCATCGATGTTGACACCGACGAGGCAGGGAATTATAATAAGGCTATTATCCGGAATAGACGAAAGGGAGACGTCCATGTCGTGAACATCGATCCAAAGTTCTCACGATTCTTCTATGCGAATTACTTCTGGCAGGCCATGTAGTGGTGCATACAGATTCCCGTCACGACATTGACTTGGTATATATGAACTGGACATGGAGTTGAGCCCTTGTTTTGATACCCGGATGAAGGAGTTTATGGTGTATTTGAATATCTTGTATTTGTTTCTCTATTGATTCTCTCTACTTGGTTGTAGACGAAATTTCTATGATTAGCTACAATTATGATGTCCTGGCTTAACGTATGGTTTTATTAATTAAGTATCATTCTATGATATATCGTATACTATCATCTATAACCGTAATATGGGGGTAAATGCTTGAGTATTCGCTGTCTGTTCTACCGTTGGTTGATGATCTCCAACTTAAGCCACAAAATCTGCACCAGCAACTAAACGACGAAACAACTTGAGTGAACAACTGAATAACCATGAGAATGACAGTTTATATAAACACCGTCTGATAAACAGAAAGACGAAGCTATGCATGTCCATCGTCCGCGGCAAGCCCAACGCATAAACCAGCTGTTTATCCTTATATCCATCACGACCGTCTTCACGCTCTACTATCTCTTCTTCAAACCGCCGGCTGGAAGCCGTGCCATATCCAGCTCACAGCAACGACCACATCCAGATGACTCGAGGAAGATAGCGACAGCTTCAAAGGAGCTGGTCGTCGCCAGCGTTAAGTCGGACAATGTTTCGTGGATACGAGAGCAATTGCCTGGTTGGAAGTCGAATATCTACATAGCTGACGCCGACACTACAAACAATCCGGGTCTGTCTGTCCCTATAAATAAGGGAAGAGAAGCCATGGTCTATCTGACGTGAGAGAGATCCCCTCCTGACTGATACTATATCCTTGTTATTGCTACGAGTTGAACATGGACTGACATTTTGCTTATTTGTTTACTTATTCCGGTCTCTAGGTATATTATAGATCGATATGACAAGCTGCCGGAATTCGTAATTTTTATGCATGGCCAGCGATATCAATGGCATAACGATGATCCATTATACGGTATGTGTATATGACTATAGATAGAGGGGGAAAGAGGACAAATGCTAATGTCCATCAGATGGGGCCTCGATTATAAGCAAACTACGTCTCCCGGCCGTCGTCAAGACAGGCTACACACCGCTGAGATGTACATGGATACCAGGCTGTCCGGTAGAACTACACCCGCTGAAGCCCGTGGATGAAGGACCAATAGTCCGCCAGCAGACTGAACTCGCCTTTGCAACCGTATTCAAGACTATATTCCCAGGCGCCGAAGTCCCTGCGGAAGTGGGTGCAACATGTTCGTCCCAGTTTGCTGCCACACGGGAGCAGATCATGCTGAGGCCCAAGGCTGACTATGAGCGTATTCGGAGATGGCTTATCGAGACTGAGTTGCCCGATGATATCAGTGGAAGAATCATGGAGTACATGTGGCACAGTACGTTTGCACACTTCTTCGACCTATCCTATAGATGCTGACTGTCTTGACAGTAATCATGCAGAAGAAACCGGTATATTGTCCACCGGCTGGAGAATGTTACTGTTTCACGTTTGGTTTGTGTGATCTGAAGTGCACACCAGCCCGGTGTGAGAAACAATACGTTTTGCCCACTTATGCAGCTGTCCCTGACGGGTGGCCGGAGAAGGGCGGGGGTGAGAATGGGTGGCCAAAGCCAGGTTGGAATCAATGAATAGGCTCGGAACGTACAGCAAACGTCTACCCCATGAATGTTGTATGGTGAATGGTTTTGGGATGAGGGATCCGGGATTCACCATCAACCACTCGTGACCATATGCATCTCGGCTACCAAACGACCTGTGATTGGAATTGGGTTCGGGATTGGAGAGTCACCTTTTTATATATAGGGTCTAGTCCTGGCTGGCTTCTTGGAAGCGTGACTAGGTGATCATCCGAGTGAATGTATATTGCTGGTCCAGGCGACAGCTATGGACCAAGAAACGCTCTAGATAAGTCTGTTGAAGTAGCATCCAAGCTGTCTCATGACTCCTTTGGCTCTTCCAGCTCTTCTCCATTCCAAGTCAAGACAACGGTCTTCTTCATAGGATCCGTCTCCCCTCCATGCCTGATTTGAACCCCCAAGCCCTCTAGCCCAGCCTCAGCAGCTCTCCTATTCCATAGAAACTGCCTAATTGACCCATCCAAATCAGCCAGCACCCAAATCAACGGATATTGACTCTTGATGAGCGCATCTCGAACTCCCTTCGTAGCATCCCGCGTACTGACTAGCATCCCCAAAATACCTTCTCCCCTCCAGCCCACAGGTGCACCAGAAAAGGTCCCTTCAAGCTCTCGTATCAGATTAGGCCCAACTTTTGCCTTGACTGCCTTGCACTGTACCAGTACTCGTAGCGGATGAGTTGAAGATGATGGTGGCAGAGACCAGGTACCGACGAGATCGATGCCGGAGTCTGAACGGCCACCAATGCGAGCGAGGTTGATGAAGTGTCTCCGTAGGCTCTGCTTCACTGTATATTCGTAAAGAGTTCCTACGTACGTTGTGCTCTGCGTAGAGAGCGAGTTTCTCTGTGCGTAGTCGAGGAATGACTGCAAGTCATGATGCTGAGAGCTCGATGGAGCTGGTAGAACCGGCAGTGAAGGCTTCTCTGTAGACAAGAGCCTTGAAAAGATGCGACTTGAGCTGTAGATGCTTGTTCTATAGCATCGTGAAGCTGTAGTTCCGTATATCATGGTTGTCTTGTTGGTTGCTTGAAGCTTTTTTCCCCGAATGAACTTTTTGTTCCCCGTTTCATACGAGCTCAACATACAACTATCCACACTACTATTAAGAGCTACTGCTGCTAGCTACTCTCTGACACGAAAGACAGATATTATTGCGCTGGTTAATTAAATACTCTTCATCTCTCGGTTACTCACGCCGGACGTCTTACAACTCAGCTATGGCGGATATTCTCACGCAGCTTCAAACATGCCTCGATCAGGTATGAAAAGAACCAATATCGCACAAGTACCGCGCATTATTTTAATTATGGACACGATGCTAATATTGATATATAGCTGGCGACTCAATTCTACGCTACTCTCTGCTATCTCACAACTTACCATGACCATTCACCCGCCATACCTCCATCAAACATCCCAACCGCGATTCCTCAGTTGAAGAAAATACCGAAAAACGCACCGCCAAACACTCCAGCTAACCAGCCTACCTCAGGACAAGCGCGAGGCCAAGATCAGCAGCAGCAGCAGCAACAACAGCAGCAAGCAGATGGTGCAGGTGGGGGAGCTCAAGAGCAGAACAGAGACCTTCCGCCACGGCCCGATTCACCGAACACTTTTGCTCAACGACAGAGAGAATTGGCTAGAGATTTAATTATAAAGGAACAGCAGATTGAATATCTTATCAGCGTGCTTCCTGGTATAGGCAGCAGTGAAGCAGAGCAAGAAGCTAGAATACGGCAACTGGCTGATGAGTTACGGTTGGCGGAAAAGGTGCGGAGACAGAAACGGAGGCAGATGAGGAAACTAGCGAGAGGGTCGATGGGCTATTAGAAGCTGTCAGCCGGGGGATATAACGAAGCTCGATGCATGGAGTGTGATTCGAGTGTTTTTTATGATACCCCTGTGTTTCTACCTTGAAGGCATTACGGACCTAGACCTTTGCATTTGCAGTTAGGCTAAGGACACCCGGAAATATTATTTCTAAGTCTGCAAAGTAATCCGTATTCTAGAGACTGTTCTGCTGCGGCTATTTACGATTCAGCCTTCATACAGTGTCAAATTGGTAGAGAAGGAATGGGGTTCCTGTTGGGGCAAATTTTGATATAAGACAGAGGGCAAGAAATGAAATTTTGACAGATATAAAATGCAAAGTAAGAGGGTATCAAAAAAAAGGGAGGGGATAAAAGAAAGGGGAATGGAAACATGATAGAGCAGGTTTCATCACTGCTTGTATGAAGAATGCCGGAATTTAAAAAAAAAAAAAAAAAACAGCCATCTTGGATCCCGTAATAACTCCAGCCCCTGATACAGTTTTCTTCCTGGTCATAAATATCAGTCGTTAGTCCGAATACATGCCAAAGTTGGCATCTATATCGGTCGTAAAATGTTCAAAAGAAGAAAGAATTAAATAAAAAAAGGGGGGGAGGCGGGCGAAGGATAGTTGTATAAGATGTTGATGAGACGAGGATGAGCGTTCATTTGAACAAGCTTCTATACTCCTCGAGTCTCTCCTTTTGCATCTCTCTTCTATCCATCTTTCTATTCAAGCTCATATCTGCAAGTCTCTGCTTCCGTTTCGCCAGCTCAGTGATCTTTTCTTCAATGCTATCCTTCATAATATATTGGATTGTGGTAACTTCCCTCGTCTGGCCGATACGATGCACTCGATCGATAGCCTGAGCAATGGTGGCAGGGTTGTATTGTGGCTCCATGATATAAACCATGGAACCCGCAGTTAGGTTGAGGCCTACTCCGCCAGCGCCTATTGTCACTAGAAGGATTGTAACATCATCGTCTTTCGAGAAGGTTTCTATCGCTGAATTCCGCTGCTTTAGTGACATCGTACCGTCCAGACGGGCGTAACCTGTGAGGCCGTTCTCCTCTAGAGCTACCTCTATTAAATCGAGATGTGATGTCCAAGAAGAGAATATAACACTTTTGATAGGTGGTTCGTGTGGTGACTTTTTGTTTTCTTCAGCCGTATCTAAAAGGCTTGAAATCAGAGCTTTTGTCTTGGTATGAGGGCCTTCATAGAGTCCAAATTCTTTGCTTTGTTTCCGGTTCTTTTTGTTTTCCAGCAACGAGGCTTGATATTCTTCGAAGCCGGCTGTAGTTATGACGGAATAGGCCGGAGCTATTACGCTTTTGCAGAAAGCGCAGGAAACCTGCACAGGCTTACCGGCCATTTCGTCCAGTTTGGGCGCAATCGGCGCAAAGCAGTCAGCACACAAAAGGTCGTAGCAGGGAAGAATGGCTGCCACCATTGCATTCTTATCACCGGGGCCATCATCAGATTGGAGGGCAATGAAATTTTCACAGCGAACACAGGCATCGATCGATGATTCCTTCATCAATGATATCATCTCATATGCCTTTCGACTGGCGGCTGTCATAGAATGATCATCATCCAGAGCTTCTACGTCAATGGCGTCGTTTGCAGTAAGACCTCGGAACCGTTCCCGATCTTCCTTGTCCAATAACTCCTTGCCATGCGCGCAGATTTGCCGTAGTACCATCATGGCCTTCAAGACAATATGGTACATTTTACCGCTGGTCTTTTCACGGGTTTCAGAAACGACGACATTCATCATGACATTAGATTCCTTCTTGAAAAAATCATGAAGCTTCTTCTCTGGTTCTGAGAAGGTGAGCATAACAGTCTTGTCATGTCGAGGTGGTAAGTTGACGCGGTCCTTTACTCGTCGAAGGGTAAACGAGTCTACCAGCACACGCAGATTGGTGATAGCGTTGGGGTTTTCGCACTTGAAAGGCGAGACGATATGAGCGGCAAATCGACCTCGTTCATCATATGGTGAAAGCCTCAGGAACTTCAAAACTGCTCCAAGGTCTTCGAGTCTGTTCTGGATAGGGGTTCCGGTGACAGACCATCTCCGTTGTGCATTTAGTTGGAAGATAGCCTGGCTTTGAGCCGCGCTTTGCTCTCGGATTATATGTGCTTCATCTAGGACAATTCGGAACATATTCATTTGCACAAGCGGGCTAGTTTTTCTCTTAGAACTTTTGCCAGAAATGTCGCTTAAAACCGTGGTGTAGGTAGTTATGACAATATCGTATTGTGCCAATTCTTTGGGGTCTTCAGTTCGATTTGGTCCATGAAAAACATAGACCGAGAGGGCGTCATCCTTAATATGTTCTTTAATTTGGCTCACCCAGTTACCGACGGCGCTGAGGGGGGATACCAGCAAGGTGGTCTTCGCATTGATCATGGACGAGTCGGCAGATTTCTTGCGAGCCCAAGCTGCCGCTTCAGGCAGTGACGAGCATATAAGAGATAAGATGCTCAAAGTCTTGCCTAGCCCCATCATATCCGCCAGTAGGCCGCCTAGGATCTGAGGTGGTTCCGTTGTGAGTGTCACTCCGCTGATAATCTCGCGGTAGATGCGCTGCCCATTTCCTTTATGTTCAACCCTCCAAAGTGAGTTGTTGTCTGCTTCATCTGGGCCCAATTTGCGTGGCTTCTCCTTCTCCATCATAAATCCAAGTGCCTGCTTTTGATGTGGAAGGAGTTGCGTGCTTAGCAACTCAGGGGTATCTATCTCAGGAAGATTTTGGGCACCCTGAAGCTGGTCAAACATCTTTGTAACGGCGTTGCTAATCTCTTCAGCAGTACGAACTTCAGACTGAACAGTATATCTAGTAGACTGCTGTGGCTGTTGCTGCTGAGTCGCAACTGCCATCAACCGGCGTCTCTCAGCATGGGGATTGTAAGTTGAGATTCCAGCTTCGACAGCATTTGGAAAACCCAGCCAGATATTCTTCTGGCTTAGAAAACGTCCAATGTTATCAGCAACGCGTCTGGGGCCGTATAGGTTTATTGAGATACGGAATAATTCCGAGCATGCCTGGCCGGGCCATTCATTTGGCCTTCTCCTACGGACGTCGAGGCGGGCTTGGGTTCTCAAGTCAAAAGTCATATCAAGTAAAGGCGCCAAAGCGGTTGAAACATGGGTATCCAAAACTCCAAACGAGCGACCAGTGACGTCTCGAACCTCAACTGTTATATTTTGACTTCGTTTCCGCACTAATTGGCACCGGATGGAAGGCCAGTCTGCCGTTGTTCCGCTAAATACGGATTTTGGGGGAGCCGGGACGATGTGTGCGTGTACTGTCGCCCCTTCAATTTTACCATAACACACTTCCTCTGCTCCTCTATCTTTGTTAGCAACGAATATGACATCGTCGTCGTTCTTGTCGTCTTTATCTGGAATATTTGTGAGTTTAATCGCCTTACTAAAGTGATAAGTGAATAATATGTATACTCACCTGCCGTAAGGTCAATGGTATTATTGGTAGTCACAGCGGTTCGACCTTCATCATCTGGCTTTTCCTTCATGTAGCTCCCAAGAGCTGAGGTACCGGAGGTCGAAAATCTTGCTTCCGGTCCATCGTAATTACTTGTGGAGGACTTATTATCGACCTTGATTCGCTTCAGCGGCTGGTTTTCTCGTCTTTCAACCCCGTATATATCTTCGATCATATTCCCATGTGCCACCGCAGGTGATTTGTTCGACTCTGGCTGCAGGTCCCCGCCGTCTGCCCCACCAGATGCAGTATTAGTAGGTATCTTGACCCCATTACGGCCGTGGCTGAGGTTACTCGAATCGTGAAGGTTGTTTGTATTTGGGGAAGGTCTCGTGGGGAATTTGTATTGTCGAGGCCCGAGTAGCAGCTTCGGGTCAAACGAGGATCCTACAGGAGCTCCGGTCGAAGTGGGTCCCTGGGCATCAGGAGGTTTATTATTGCTTCCTGGAGTAGATCGACCTTTGAAATTTGTGTGAGTATCTATTATTTCGAGTAGATTTATGTCGTCTATAGGCTGACGCTTCTGAGGAAGGGAAAATGACGCAACAGGAAGCGAAATGCGTGGCTCGCTTGAGTGTCGAATTCTGAGTACTTGTCCACTGTCCATTGCGCAACTGTGCTCGAGCTGATGAATGAAAGGTGAGGTATTACCAGTTGTATTCTGTCTCTTGTATGCCTTTGGATCCAACAGAAGGGCTGCAGTTGGGATGCTCATCGTCGCGTATCTAAGTCTCTCGATGAGCTTTCGAATGGGAGAAGGACGCGGGAGGGTGCGAAGGTTTGCGGGAGAAGATTTATTGAAGAGTATAATAGACGGGCCAATTTTGGTTACCGCGAGGGTTGGTCCATCGGGCAAGGAGTGTAAGTGTGAGTCAACAGAGCTAGGCTGCAGGTAAATCGCCGTGGATTGGAGGGATGAAAGGAAAGTGAACCGCGTTGGAAGTGCCAGCAGCGCAGTTCCCCGTCGTCTCTGCCTTCACGGCGAGTCCGTTCGACGCATGAAGGCAAGTCTGAGGTGAAGCCAAGTCAGTGCTGGCGTGAAGGGTGAAAGTGACGCAGTGAAGATCGAGGCTCGAAATTGAGATAAGATAAAAAAAGATGGGTGGCGGCTAGCGCGGATAAGCCAAGCGCCAGAGAGGGTCATGTGAAGACATTATATAATCAAGATAAGATAAGAAAAGAAGGTTCTCCAAAGTCATAACAAAACTAATGTACAGACAGAAATCAAAACGCATTCAAAGCAGTAAAATGTAGATGGCCATTCCCATGAAACCAAGATAATCGCTTCTATGGTCAACACCATGAAATGAAAATAGTACAACTTCGAAGGAAACAGTATGGGTCACATATTAGAGGCGTATATTATGCCATCATCAGTCAACAGTCAGCAGCGCTAAACTCCACATGCACATATCATCAAAGAACAATTTTGATCTTTTTATAAGAGGTATAAAATGTAAAACGATAAGGAAAAGCATAGCGTATAGGCGAAAACGGGAGGGGACCATTATAATGATAAAAATAGGAAAGGCGGGAATGATAGATCGAGAGATGTATACGTTCCGGGAAATCGACGTCAGAGAGATATGAGGAAAGGAAAGGTAATATAAGGAACGGTAGGGGAAAAGAAGGAGAGGTTACCACCAGGTAAAGACGGGGTTTTTGCTTTTGACGGTTTCAAGTCTTTCGACAATTACCTTGCGTTCGTGGCCGTCCATTTCCTCTGCAGCGGCATAGCCAAGGTCGCCTTCAAGGTCATCGCCGCCAAAGTCAAACGCACTGTCTCGGCGTTGGGATATGGAATTGCGTTTCTTGTGTGATGGAGATTTGCCGTTAATGTGTGACCTGCGTCTGGAATGTTGGTCGTTTAGTCGAGCGGCCGTGGGGGCCCAGCTTGTGGCAAGTTTGCGGCCACCTTCCTCAAAATTCTCAATGCTGCGAAGGCGGGAATTGTCAAGCGACACGGGGCTCACTATCCCGTCTGCTGCGCTAGAATCCATCGACGCCCGGTCACGAGACAGCTCAAATCGATTAGGGTTCGGTAGTTCGCTCGTTGGTGACCCGAAGCTCAAGAGATCCCGATGGCCTCGGGGTTCGGCGGAAATGGCGGCTCCGATGTCCATTTCCTCATGGTGTTGATTTCTCCCGTTGGCTCGGTGCGTGTGGGCATCGGTCGAGGGCGTACGAAGCGGGATTGCGACAGGGACGTTTACTAGGTCGTCCCAGACACATACTCTGGTTCTCCGAGTAAGCTCAAGGGGCCCGTGGTCCCGCTGTTTCAAGGTCTCAACAACATTCCATGCCTGCCCCTTCATAACAGCGATTTGCCTGGCAAACATGCTTTCCTTGAAATCAGAGTCCTGGCTGAAAACTGCTCTGAGTGCAGTTTGAGTCTCAGTCCACCAGGCTGTGGATGTGAGAAGTGGTAAGAAATGTTCACGAGTCTTTTGTGAGAACGGCTGGCCGATAAGGGAGACTGGGAGGAAGAGCCAGCCAAATGGAAAACTACGCCACTATACACGTTGTTAGTACGATCGAGCCCGAGCGAAGAACAGTCGAATAAAAATCACTTACAGCATCAGGATGCTTCCAGGGCCAAGACAAACTGTTATCTATAGCACCGATCGAAAGGGTTGCCTGAGCTAACTCGGCTGCGTTTGATGGCGTTCCAGAACGACTAGTTGCTGTCATGGCATCCTGGCGTCGATATGGAGCCGAACGGGAGGGTTTTCCGTGCGAGTTCACAGAGACTGGACGAGCAGGTGGCATTGGCTCATCGTCACCCAAATGGTCTGTCTCATTCAGGCGGACAGGGTCTGATACAATGGCAACTTCCTCTGTGTTCCAGTTGATCTTTATCATCCAGTTATCGAGACCACGGTCAGTGTTTCGCATGATGTAGTCTAGAATAACTAGTTTTTCAAGCTCTTCTCGGAAGCCCTGCTTCAGATTTTCAGTCCAGTAGAATTTATGATGTTCGGAAGTATCCTGCGGTGTATTTGCTCCGAGCATGCGGCGGTTTTCATTTCCTTCTTCGTCATCAGATTGAGCACCTGAGGGAGCACAGGTATCATTCCAACCTCTCTTCTTCCTACGGGGAGCATCTTCAGCGCGGAACCCTGTGGTTGGTTGATCTGGCCAAGGGTGCTCTCGGAGGAATACGTTTGCGTCTTTGAAGCCCTTGAGGAAGACCTGGAAGCTGCCTACCTTGGGAGGCAAGGGTCTCCTGCCATACCAGGCCTTTCGTCGGTCCCAGAAGTCATAGTGGAAAGACTTAGAGGACAGGTAGACAATATCAGTATAAGGAACGAGGTGTGTTCGTAACTGGGTGTCTATAACATATGCAGCCGCTTCCGAAACGTAGGAAAGGTTAGGGATAAGACAGGCGCGACCAAAACAGCACGGGAAGAGGTTTCGATGTATCCATTTAGTCCATTTTGGGTTCCGTGAGGCATAGGGCTCCTCGTCCTTGGGCTTGAACACTCCAACGACTTTCCCTTGAGCATTTCTCGCAAAGTAACTGCCAGAGCTTCCCTGTGAGATCATTTTCGGGTGAACACCAAGTTCAATGGCCGTCCTAACACTGTCCACAACCTGCTCGAATTCAGCCTTTGTCATTCGGTCACCGCTACCATGGTCAGATTCTAGAGACGCTGCCGTGACCGGGCGGATGCCCTCCAATGGTTGAAAGACAGAATGATGGATTTCGAGTTCTTCTTCCTCTGAAGTCTTCCCGTGTACCCGATTTATCTTGAACTTTGAGGCAATTTCCTCAGCCCATTTCTCCAACCGCATGTTAATTGCCTTGATATCGACTCCGGAAGAATTACTGCGAGCTCGGTTCCGGCCATGCTGGCGTCTATAATACACGTCCGATGTGTCATGTCTCTGGCTATGGGACTGAATGGAAGCGAACCGAGGAGCTGAATTCGAGGCCACAGGAGGGAAAGGGCGCCGGTTCTCATCGTCGGACTCGTCGAGGTAATCATGGGCATCTGCCTGGGAAAGACGAGCATAGCCCGAGGTCGCTGGGCGGTGTTTTGGCGCCATCACCGTGGTGGCCGGATGGTTTATCAGTCAGGCAGAAGAGAGAGGCGCCCTTGACAAGCATTTGAAACTAGGGACCCTGAATGCAGCGAACCAGGCGGTCTAAAACATTGCTGAAGAACAAAGACTCCTGGACAGCAACACAGTGGGAGTTGATATAACTAATGGTCCTGAAGAAAAGAGAGAGATAAGAAATCCTTTTGCCTTGTCCAACGCCCAAAAGAAATCACCCCCTTAAACCGCTCGATGTGAACAACAACAATAAAAATTAAGAATAGAAATGTTACGTCAGCTTAGTCATGCATTGCATGTGACTAAGATAAACTGCTACATGACTAAGCAACTTATCGGTTCTGATAACAACTTTTTTTTTATCGCGACTTTGCTTTATCTTCTTTCTCCAGCTTTTTTTGTTTCCATTCGATCATCTTCATTTTCATCCCAGAAAAACAGCCCATTTATATTCATTTCCCTGCGTCTTTACTATATTTCCACCCCGAATTATCTATATTCTTTTTCTCCTTCTATACCTTTGCTGCTAATTGAGGCCTCTAGTGCCTCAGTACATCCCTTCACCACGGCTTCCGCAGTAGCTTCCATGTCCCTTGGGACATCTGCCATTGACCCGGCATTACGTTCGTCATCCTCACAAGTTCGAGATGTTCCCGACTTCACGTCGCCTCAGGAAGGCGATGGGTCGTCTTCGATGAAGTTCGAGGGTGCCGAGTCGGCCCAGGCCTACCATTCTTCCAACTCAACGACGTCCTTCCCCCCAACCACCGAATATCCAGAGAGTTCAGCGGCAGAATATGCCCCTTCGGCTGCAGGACTCTCTGCTCTGGCATCTGCTGCCTCTGATCAGACCTCCTATATACGGTATGTTGACGACAGAAACCCCCGATCAGAGCCGGCACATGGGTCAACGGGTCGGCAGTACCTGGGTATACCACGGCCAATGGCCTAGCTCAACCGATCTTATGAAGATATGCTGACTCTCTGATCGTTATAGGGCCTATGATAACGCAGACAACTCGAACAACAACCATAATGCCAGCCAAAGTGTAAATTATGCAACGTCTGCTGCAACCGCAACCAACGGAGGACACGGTAGCACCACGGTAAGCAGTCGTCATGCACAACCCCAGACCAAACCTATCCATTCCATCTCGCCTACAGGCTTCCCACGCCCCTTCTTATATATACAACCCCAACCTTTCCCCTTGCTGGTTGCAATCAACCGCTCTCCTATTTAGGGATAGCAGGACCCAAAAAAAAAGGCTTGGCGGTTATTAAACCACTTTTTTTTCTCTTATCGCCGAATACGTCCAACTTTCTTTTCTCCTTATCACCTCCAAAGATCTAGCTTCAAGCGCGTTATAAAACCTTCTTCCTCTCTTCAATTCTTGCCTTGGTTTCTACATAACATACACGATCCGTCACGAGAGATCCCTGCATGCAAAAGCACCATGGCAACGACTCTAGCTAACCAAGGCCATGTCCAATTGCAGTCTGTTTGCCAGAATTGTGGTACTTCCAAGACTCCGCTATGGCGTCGAGATGAGATGGGTTCTGTGCTCTGTAACGCTTGTGGCCTCTTTCTCAAGCTACACGGACGGCCGCGGCCTATGAACTTGAAAACGGACGTGATAAAAAGTCGCAATCGGGTGAAAACCTCTGGCCAGGGTCCAAAGAGAAAGGTACTTGGGTGTTTGTCTTTTGTTAATAGACTGAGAGTCTAATTTTACCTCCCGCTGCAGGCCAATGCCGATGCAAACAACCAAACTACTCCGAGATCAGACGCCACTACGCCATATGGTTACGCTCGTGCTTCAAGGAAGCTTTCACCAGGCCGTTCTGACGGCTCAAACTCTCCTGTCTCACGAACGGATACGCCCAACTTTCATGGCTCAACCAGCATCCCTCCCCACAATATGTTTGACAACGTTGGTCTCGCGGACCCCAACTTTACCCCGTCTGGAAACTTTGCTTCATTACAGCTGCAACACCCGTCCCCGGGCTCCACATCTTCCAACGAACGCCATCTTGACGGGCCCCAGACATACGAGAACCTGGTTGCAGCAAACACATCCTTAAAAACCCGTGTCAATGAACTGGAATTAATAAATGATCTCTTTCAGGACTCTGAATCTCGTCTACGGCAGTCACTCAAAGAGGCACAAAAGCGAGAAGAGGAGCTAAAACGTAGGATAAGCGAGCTTGAAGGCCGCTTATCCGAACAAGAACTGGGTCAATCTAAGGATGAACCCGCAGAACCTCATGCTAAAAGGTGTCGACTTTCCGACTCTTCGGAAAAGGCTGGAGTCGACAGCAAATCCTCTGCGGACGTCTAGGACGTCGGTTCTTTCTTGTCTTTGATTCTTAATCGGCACGCAATGCGGGAACTGCCCTCAGCTACCTCTTATTCTTCATCTCCTCCAGCCTTTCTCTTCTTCTCTCCGCCCAATTCCCTCCAAAAGTTGATGTCATCTCGACGTCAATGCTTTACTCCTTTCTTAACACCTCAATCCTATTTATTTATTTTTTCTTCCATGAAAATCCCGGACCCTTGTACTCTACATGCCTTGCCACAGGCGCTTTAACGCTTTGGCATTTACCCTTTTTCTCATATCATTAGTTAATTGTCTTTCCACACAAGATGTGGATGGAGTCTTTGTATGCGATATTTCCTACTGCCGCTCTTTTTCTTCACGGCGCAGCAGACCATCTCACGCCTTAATTGCTTGCTTCACATTCATCTCGTACTCTTTTGGTTTATCCGTTCCACTGCCCTTCTTCACTTCTCACCTGTCTTTACTATAAAATTATTTCGTCCTTTTTCCCACTCTCGCTCCCCATATAGCCGGAGTTGTATCTCGAACTTTTCTAGCCTCTCTAACTTTCCAGAGAGGTATAATTATTTTTTTTCGTCCCTCTACTTCCCTTTTTGGTTTATAGGTGAGGTTTCTTATCATTTGTTTCGTTTAACGGGAGGTCGGTGAATCCTTTTATTTTTAGTTGTTGTAATATAGACAGAAACCGAGCCCTAAAAGCGCAAAATGGAGGTGATTCAACATGGAAACACAGTTGATAGATTCTATAGTACATTTTTAATATTTGACTTTTCATTCAATAGTATCCTAGCCCATGTTTTTGTCAGAAGAAAACAATCAAATTAGTTGAAGCCTGACCGGTATAATTTGGCATATTGGCTCCTGTATTAAAGCGATGACAGAATATATATGTGAAACAAGCGTGGTCAAACAAAATTACATTAGAAGGCAAGGTTAAGTAAGAGAGACATGGGAAGCGTGTGAGTTTGGGAGAAAAGAAGAAAACCAGACAGGGTAATGCAATTTCGTTAGTATAAATGATGTCGCTAATTCTGAGATAATAATCAGCACAGCGTAAGACGGCTGGATAAACCTATGCATCTGATTCCGGAGTCTCGTCGTCGTCAGCAGGCCTACTCGGATGCCGCCCTCGCCTATCAAGGTAAACACCTATTAATGTTAATACTGCACAGAAAATAGACGCGTAGAATGCCACTAAATAGGCCGTTGAGTAGCACTCTAGACCCATATCGCATTGCCGTTTGCCATCCGGTAATACTTTCGAGTGACTGTCATATATAGCACCATACATATAATTGAATATATGGCCGAAAATGGCGGCGGCGAGGGTCATGACACCCCAGTTTTGAGAAAAACCTGATATGCCGAATGTATGAGACACTATGGCGGGATAAACCCCAAATAGCATACCGTATGCTAGACCTGTCATGGACGAAACGAACGGAAGGTAGTGGGGGTCGGAGATCTTGGAGCCGCCGAATTGAGATATACAGAATAGGATGCTGGCGACGAAAAGGCACCAGAATCGTGACATGTGGAGGCGTTTCACAACGAAATCCGATCCGATTCCTGGTAAAAGGATGTGTTGAGCCTCTTCTTCAGTGGAGTATAATATGGCGAGGGTTACGTACCGCTTAGAAGGCGCCCAGTGAAACTTATCACGGAGAATACCGAGACATGTAAAGCTTGTCTCTCTCGAAGGAAATGCGAATCGACGTTGGGATCAACGTGTCGCCATAATGCCATGACCTAAATTTTAAGGTAAACAAATGGGGACTGAGAGATCTTACATAACTAATAAAAAAGGGTTTCTCACATCGTTACCAATATTGCTAAGGAGAGTGTTAGTTTATCCAGTATAAAGTGAAATAACATATAGAAGTGCACTTACTTAATAGTCATCAGCCCAATGCCCGTGGAGATACCAAGCAGCAGAAATAACTGCCAAAACTCCGGCGTGGGAAGGAGCCGCATTCCACGGATATCGGTGCTCGCAGGGTCACCAACCTTGGGTTTCGCATAATCATTCTGGGAAAAGCTGCCGCTATCACTTAACGATCTGGCTCTACTCATCAGAGACGACGTTTCATCTGCCTCGGCATCAGGAGGAATAGGTCTGGTATGGGTTTCACTGGGTAACATGGCAGTAACTTGCGCACAGGAGGAAGACGCAATTGCACGGTTCGAATCGGTCTCAGAAGCCACTTGGATATTTTCAGCCGGTTTAGTTCTTTGCAACAAGTTTGACTCGGGATATTCACCATTCGAAACAGCAAAGTAAGACGGTGGAGGAGGCAGTATTTGTAGAAAATACGCGCAGGCCAATATCATGGAGGAAGGACACACGGCAAGTAGTAAAAGAAACTCAGAGGTATCATCCTTGAACGCCATGGCTGATATTGCCGAGAAGCCAAAGGCACTAAGGCCAAAGGCTGCGAGGGGGAATGCAGTCGCAGAGCCCCGGTGGTCTGGAAAGTTGCTCGCGGCTGTCGAGCGTGTGAGTATAGCGCGGATCGCTTATGGTAGTTGGATTTTATTATACCTGTCTTGATAGCCGCTGCGAAGGCAGCACAACTTCCCACGCCCGAAAGGAAGGAGAAGAAACATAGGAACACCACGTTCAGTGAGCCAGCACCAGCAGCATAGGCTAAGATATAACGTCAGAGCATGTCACGATATCCCATAGTGCGTTGTTGGTGAACTTGCCTAGGTGGATTGGAAAATAGCCACAGAATAAAGCGATTGCTCCAATTAGAGTAGCTGGTCTGGTGCCTCTGGTGTCCACCATGTATCCGATAGGGATACCAACTGCGTATAAACCTACATTTCCCGCAGCACCCTACGAATGATATTATTAGCGAGGACGGCAATCAAGGTAGATACGTAGAAAAAGAGACGACAGCTTCGTACTTACAATCATATTCCCATCAGTCGAGGTGAGTTTCAGCCGATCTGCGAATTGCGGCGCCCATGCGGAATAGACATACTGCCCAGGTTAGCCGCCAAGGTTCCAAGAAACAGACAAGCTCCTGCAAGCTGTTTCTATATAATAATATCGATCAACCCACGTTAGTTCCGCTTGCCAGTGCGACAAGGGTTGCTGCAACCACAGTCATGAACCGGAAAGCGGTTGGTGTTATATACGGAATTGGAACTGCCATGGTAGGCGCAGAACCACCGTCGAAGCCTGGCGAAGCGCTGCCGTGACCATAGGCCCTATGGCATAGGATGAGCTGGTAAGGGGAAGAAATATTAGCACAAAAGCAAAAGGACATTAAAGTCTTAAAAGGAATAAAATGAAGGGGGAAAAAAAGGGGGGGCGGTAGGGGGAGCATATATCCGCTTGGATCATATACCTAGCCCCCAACCCACCGTGCATCATCTGGTATCCTCTTGTGATGTACTAAAGATAGTAGCTGAGTACGTACGCTGGTGTGAAACTGTGGAAGACCAGCACAGCAACATGGAGCGGCCAGACGTGAATAACCACCGCGATATGTCCTCAGGCTGGTTTAATGTGCCAAAAGAGAGAGAGAAAATGAGAAGCAAACAAAAGTCACTTTTTACAAGAAATGCCGAAGTCGCTTCTTTTTGCTCTAAGCGTCGGCATGATTAGGTAAGATAGGATATTATATAATCATAGACGTTACGTAAGTATTTTACATAAGCAGTGACGTAGAGGTGCCAAGCATCACCAGATCACGTGTTGCTTAGCCCGAAGAGGCAACTTCAGAGCGTCAACTTTCGTTTCTTCGAGGTTGACGCTTCAACGGATCATCTCAGCCCACCACATTTTAACCTGCCAGTTTCTCCAGAGCGCATCCTCACAACCTGTCAGTATGGGCGCGCTTCTATCCCTGCCTTTGATGGCAGTCCCAAGTATCGGAACGGTGCGTATCTCTGTCCGCCATCCCGTTGATCAGCGACTAACCGGTACACAGTTAGTGACGTTTGGCGCATCATGTTGCGGTGCTGCGACCTGCTCTGCGATATGCAGTGCATGCGGGAAGTTCCAAAGCAGGTATGCCGCGATGTCTCGTTTTATTCTCTTTTCCAAGGCTACCAAGATAACTGATTTTGTCTGTTCAGCATGGCAACCCGAATCGCATACGCCTTCATACTATTAATAAACTCCATCCTATCCTGGGTCATGCTCACACGATGGGCACTCAATCAACTAGAACATCTTACGTTCGACTTCCTTCCTATAACGTGCGACGGCAAAAAGTGCCATGGTTGGGTAGCCGTCCACCGAATCAACTTCGCCCTCGGCCTCTTCCATATCATACTTGCTGTGCTTCTCCTTGGAGTCCGGTCTACGAAAGATGAACGAGCAAAGCTACAAAACGGATTCTGGGGCCCAAAAGTTATCGTCTGGCTAGCGTTCATCGTCTTATCGTTCTTTATCCCGGAAAGCTTCTTCATCGTATGGGGCAACTACATTGCCTTTGTCGGAGCTATGCTCTTCCTCCTACTCGGTCTCGTCCTCTTGGTCGATCTTGCACACAACTGGGCCGAGCTTTGCCTGCAAAAGATTGAAGAAAATGGATCCCGGATGTGGAAGGGTTTGTTAATTGGCTCTACGCTCGGAATGTATCTTGCCTCCATTGCCATGACCATCCTCATGTACATCTTCTTCACTGGCCATAAGTGTGCCATGAACAAGGCTGCAATCACCGTAAGCCCTGAAACGTCTTTTGTCCCCTATCGTTTTTACGCGATAGTATACTAATATTGTTAGATTAACCTCCTCGCCTTCATCATTGTTTCTCTCATTTCTGTACAGCCAGCGGTACAGGAATCTAATCCTCGTGCCGGGTTAGCCCAGGCGGCTATGGTCACCGTCTACTGCACTTACCTAACCATGTCTGCCGTGTCCATGGAACCGGATGATAAAAATTGCAATCCTCTACTACGCGCCAACGGTACGAGAAATGCATCTATTGTCCTAGGTGCCGTAGTCACTATGTTGACAATTGCCTACACTACAACCCGTGCCGCCACCCAAGGCTTCGCAATGGGGTCCAGTGCTGCGCAAAACAATTATTCAAGTCTCAGCCAGGATGAGGCAGAGCACGGCCTGGTAGTCCAACAGCCAGGACTCACCCGTCGTGAAATGCGCGCCGAAGCCCTTCGTGCCGCCGTTAACAGCGGCAGTTTACCTGCCAGTGCTTTAGATGATGACGATGACGAGTCAGACGATGACAACAACTCGAAGGATGACGAGCGTAACTCAACACAATACACCTACTCCCTGTTCCACTTTATCTTCCTGTTGGCAACAATGTGGGTTGCCACTTTGTTAACACAAAACTTCGAGGTGGAAGCTCAGGACAACCTCGCGCCTGTCGGCCGAACATACTGGGCCAGCTGGGTGAAGATTGTCAGCTCCTGGGTGTGCTATACCATATATCTATGGACTCTGGTGGCACCTGTTCTCCTCCCAGACCGTTTCAACCTATGAACTCCTTTCATGCTTCCCCTATAATTCTTATCGCCGTGTTAATTTTTGAGTTCAATTATCTACATACCCTATCATCCGTCATGTCATTCGCTAAGAGCTTCCCCCCGTTTATGTACTCCATGTTACTGTATTGAATAAGAAGAATATATCTTTCACCTTTCATTAATCATTCTTCAAAGCTCCTTAAAATTGCATCGTTAAAACACGTAGAAGGCGATGACGTCAGGGTTGAACAAAGGTTAATTTTCTACGCGACGCGCAAAAAACCATCAATAAGAAAATAATTCGTAATTCAGGCGACGATGGAACACCTTCAGGACTTCAACTCGCCGCCATGACATGAACATGGCAACAATTAAGCCTATAGAGGCTCGATCGGTAAGATGATATGCTGTGTTTCTGTCTTTTTTCAGCCTTCTAACATCTCTCTGTAGGTCCACCAAATCCAGTCTGGCCAAGTCATTGTTGACCTCTGTTCTGTGGTGAAAGAACTGGTCGAGAATAGCCTTGATGCTGGAGCAACTTCTATCGGTATATTAATATATATATTTTGATACTCTGAAGGAGTGGCCATGGCTGACTTGTGCTTTTGTTTTAGATGTGCGGTTCAAAAACAACGGCCTAGATTTGATAGAAATTCAGGATAACGGCCATGGCATCTCCCCCAACAACTATGAGTCCCTGGGTAAATACCACACTCTCTTTCAGGCAGGCCAGTTTGGTTAATGTGGTTTATAGCATTGAAACATTACACTTCCAAGTTATCAACCTTCGCCGATCTCACCGAGCTCCAAACGTTCGGTTTTCGTGGTGAAGCCCTCTCTTCACTATGTGCCGTTTCAAATCTAAAAGTTATCACTGCGGAGGCAGAACAGGCTCCCAGAGCTTCGAAGCTGGATTTTGAATTCTCTGGAAAGCTCAAGAGCACGCAGGTGGTTGCTGGCCAGAAAGGGACTACTGTCTCTGTTGAAAATCTTTTCAAATCACTACCGGTTCGGCGGCGTGAACTGGAGAAAAACGTAAAAAGGGAATATGGAAAGGTACTTGCGCTGCTACATGCGTATGCGTGTATAAGTACAGGTGTTCGATTTAACGTCAAGAATCAGATGCCAAAAGGGAAGAGTGTGGTGGTCTTCACTACGAAATCGAACCCTACGACAAGAGAGAATATATCAAATGTCTATGGCGCGAAGACCCTCCTTGCGCTAATGCCGCTTGACTTGGACCTGGAGTTCGAGCCGAGTCCGGCAGCCAAACGGTTTTCGAGCAAAGCTTCCAACAAGATATTCGTGCATGGCCACATATCTAAACCGGTTTTCGGAGAAGGAAGACAAACACCCGATCGCCAAATGTTCTTCGTAAATTCTCGACCATGTGGATTACCCCAGATTGCAAAGGCCTTCAACGAGGTCTACAAATCGTTTAATTTATCTCAGTCACCGTTTATTTTCGCAAACTTTGAGATGGATACGGCCGCGTACGATGTTAATGTTTCGCCAGATAAGCGAACAATCATGCTACACGATGCCGGTGCCCTGATCGAATGTCTAAAGGCATCCCTTACTGAGCTATTCGAGCAAGAAGACCAAACCGTTCCTGTTTCTCAGCTTGCATTTAGCAAGAAGAGCGAGATAAGACCACCAAGACAAAAGACTCCTCCACCCTCAACAGATGCAACACAGGATAATCCAGAGGAGCCTACTGGTATTGCACCTTATAGCCAAGAACTGGGGGAGAGTGATGCCGTGGAACATAACGATGTAGAACCCACTCAAACGCCTCAATCATCGATGAAGGAAACGATCCAAACGTCTGGAAATGATGATCAGGCAGCTCAGCCCCTTGCGGTTGAACATGATCCCGTTATTCCTGAATCTAGCGGGGCGTATAATATCCCATCTAATACCAATGAAACAGAAGGTGATAGAAGCTCATCTCAACCACAGTCAGCACAAGAACACCATGTTTCAAGGAGCCCCTCCTTAGGCACACCGACTTGCAAGCCCGGGATAGTCCAGAATGCCTTTGATCGAATGCGAATGAACAGGACACCTGTGGATGTAGCAACTATTACTATAGGGAACAAGACTTATCAATCGACTATCGGCAGGGAACCTGTGAAACGAAAATTGGAGAGTTATCCTGGATTGCATATGCACTCGCCAGCATCAAAGACAAGAGCTATAACTGTCAGGAAGGGTAAGATCGGCCGAAGCTTCCAGTCTTTTGCCGCCCCGGGAACTCAACAGGAACAAGATGAGCTGGATGATGATCTTATTGAAGACGAGGAGAACAAGGAGCGGGAAAGTGTAGCCAACTTCAGAAGCGAACAGGAAGAAGAAGAAGAAGAAGAAGAGGCTATGGAAGATAATGGAGAACACGAGGAAATGGATGACGAGAGAAATGCCGGCGAAAATCAGGAAGAACGCCATCAGGTGGAATCCCTTCAGCAAGACCGACAGACCATGCCTGGAGACATTGATTCTCCAGCCTCGGACTCCGATGAAAGCTATGTTGACGATGAAGAAAGAAAGTCCCGAGAAGATGCAAAGGTCAATGAGCTAATAAGAGCCGCAGAGGAGGCTTCGGCTGTTCCATCAGAGCAGAGTATCGAGCGAGCAGAGAGACTAGTTCGGAAACCTCGCAAGAAAGATTCCACGCACGAACTTATATGCACAGTAGACACTTCGATTGCGAAAATTGAGTCTCAGTTGAAAGCTCTCCGAGAGAGAATACAATCTTTGCATGGCGAGCGTATAACCAGCAGTGTTGATGAGGTTGAGGATGGTGACCAGCAGATTGCGCCCGAAACGAAGTTGTCTCTTGCAGTCTCAAAAGCTGACTTTTCGAAAATGCGTATCATCGGGCAATTTAACCTTGGCTTCATCCTTGCAATAAGGCCGGGCGCTAGTAGAGGTGATAACTCGTCTCTCGCAGGGCCGTCAGCGGAGCAAGATGAGCTATTCATCATCGACCAACATGCCTCTGATGAGAAGTATAACTTTGAACGACTCCAGGCTGAGACTACCGTGCAAAACCAAAGACTTGTTCAGCCAAAAACACTTGACCTTACCGCGGTGGAAGAGGAGGTCATCATCGAGAATCTCGCCGCATTAGAAAAGAACGGGTTCATTGTTGAAATAGATACAAGCGGTGACGAACCCATCGGTCGACGATGTAAACTTATAAGTCTACCACTAAGCAAAGAAGTCGTGTTCAATACTCGTGACTTGGAAGAGTTGATTGTCCTGCTGTCTGAAGCGCCACAGCAATCACAGAACCATCATGGGAAACGGTCAATGAACGAGTTCAATAGTGATGCTGAGGGAGCTGATATCGAGCCTCCAGGCATCTCATCTCCCTTCTCAGACCATCTTGTTCCTCGACCGAGCAAAGTGAGAAAGATGTTTGCCATGAGAGCCTGCCGATCGAGTATCATGATCGGAAAGAACCTTACTCATCGACAGATGGAGAGTGTAGTCAAACACATGGGTACCATCGACAAGCCGTGGAACTGTCCGCATGGGCGACCTACTATGAGGCATCTAGTGAGTTTGGGACAATGGAATGAATGGAGTGAATGGGACAGCCATAAGGAGCGCCGGTCCAGAGCCGGTAAGCGAAAGAAGAGCATAAAACATATATGGGAAGAATTTGTTGAAGATTACGGATCTTAAGAGGGATGCCTATTTTTGGGTTATTACCATTTGGAAGAGCTCCATCTACTTGTTTATAAATTTTGGATCCATATAATGAAACAATTTATGAAACTTAGCTCTCGAGCTTCCCTAACCTTGCAGTCCTGTTTACATGCCAGTTGGGTGTCTATTGAGCCATCTTGCATTATCATATCAACAATCGATAAACCCAATGCAATAGGTCATCCACCAGGGTTCCAATCTAATAACCATATTCATATCAAATCATCGAGTACTCAACCGCATCAACACCATCCTCACACCGTGGGTATGTCCCTAAAACCACTTCTTCAACCACCCCTGTGCCGGCTTTTCGACTCTTCCCTCCCTCCGGTCCTCCTCTTCTGCCAATCTCAAAGTCTCTTCAAGGACCAACAAATCCCTCTCCATCACTTCAGCAAAATTCTGCAAATCACCAACTTCCTTTAGACCATTTTGTCCTTGATCTAGCAGCTTCTCCAGCTCTTTGCTTTGCTTGGATACTTCTTGGGTCGTTTGCTTCAGATCTTCCTGCTGCTTCTCTATGATGGCTGCGTTATCATGCAGAGTTCCTGCTCGAGTGCGCATGTCTGCATCTAGATTGGTTCCGACTGACTTTAGAGAGGCTGTAAAGGCAGCGCGAGCTTCTGCCGTTTCATTTGAGCGTGATTCTTCAGAGGACATTGTGTTCCGGCTTCACTTTGGATGATGGTATACCAGCCTGTTGGTTGTATATCGATAGCCGGACAAGGGACAGATCAAGAGGCTAACTATATGAATGGGGCTCTCTTATTTCTGTAAAGTAGCAGCTTGACTTTGATTCTTCGAACATGCAAAGATGTTGACCTTTTCATGGAAAAACGCCTGATGTATTATTTAGTTATATATTAATAAATACCCCGCATCTGCACGTCATTTACTATTTGAAGGGCCAGTTAGAGAGGTGAATATCAAAACTACCAAATACTATCTATTATCTTATATTTCTTGCTAGACAACAACGTTGTTGGTTGTCAGTATTAATTAAAGATATTAACCTTGACGATATTGTTGACCCAGCTCGAATGACCCGACGAGCTGTTATGCTGCCTCCAGTGCTAGAAGTATCAATTTAACGAGAGGAATGATATAAGAGAGCAAGAGTATCTAGTTGCCTTAACATTTATTAGCACCTTTAACAGTGTGAATTTAATACCCTGAACAACCCCTGACGATTTTGCTGCAAGTCTGCGTCCAGTTTAAGCACATGGGATTGGCCATGCTATACACAGCAAGATCCCAATTACGTCGTATTCGAAGTAAATATCAATTCTTGAACCGTCGTCTATGCTGCTGAGTGCACCTCTACATTCCTAGCACCCGGATTCCTTGCAATAACGTCCCCTTCAGCAACAATACCGCCGTCCGAAACACCCACGACCATATCACCAAACGATGCAGCTATTTGCTCGAGAGTCTTCTGTTTTGTCTCCCTATTTGTCTGTTAAGACGGAAGAGCCTATATAATGTGGGAAGGCAAGTAACTTACGGGAAATAAAAGTATGCAATAACTAGGAAGAAGGAAGTACATGTAACGAAAACATAGTAATAGTTCTCCTTTATGTTTGCAAAGGCACTAGGCCCGGCCTCAGTGACTATAGCATGGTTATAAGAAACGAAGTAGGAGTATGTAGGGTGTGAGATGACGTACCGGCAACATTGACTATGAAGTGAGATGCAGAAGCAAGGCCCATGACTTTGCTGCGAAGCGATATTGGCAGCACCTCAGCGCCATATAGCCATGTGGTACTGTTAAGCATGCCATCTATTCGAGTTTAATAAGCATCGAATCAACCATGGATATACGAACTGAGTACTCACAGTAATTGACGACAAACAGGTATATTCCAAGAATGGCAAACCCCTTTCCAACTTTGTTGTCAGTGTGTTGAAATTCCCGCTGCATGACTGCTGCGTATATCTCTATCAATATAATGCCAGCTAGGCCGGAGAGAATCATTCTAAGAAGTGAATTATTAGCACGCCTGAATCATTTCGATTTGCAGACTGCCACTCACTTTCGACGGCCCCATTGATCAGTAAGGAACAGAGTAGTGATAGAATTTGAGATGAACGCAACCGTGCCGTAGACAGCAGCTAGGGCTAATATAGTCTGGGGACCAATTCCTAGAGATTTATACAAAATCGCTAGGCCTCGTTGTTAGTAACATGGCCTTTGGGAGAAAAAGATAAAGAGCTTACTTTGATAGTACTGTATAACATTAACACCAGTGAGACTGGTCATCGTCTGAACGGCAATAGATACAAGAGCACGATGTTTGAAGAGCCTGAAGATCTCCCGAATGGAAGTGACTTCTCTCTTCATCTCATACTCAATCTGTGCCTTCATTGCCATAAATTCTTTTAGGGCATCATGCGGATCATAGTCACGGCGCGTTCTGAGGAACTCAACGCGAGCTTCATCCACCTTGCCGATTCGGATGAATTGACGGGGCGAGTTTGGCATGAAGGTAGCAAGGCCGATGTACATGATTATCCCCCAAGGTATCTGGATACCGAGAGGGAGACGCCATTGCAGGGGGCCATAAGGTGCATATCCACATGCGAAACCTACCCAGTTAGACATCATTGTTCCAAGGGAGATACCACAACCGGATATACCACCGATGAGCCCCCGTTGGTGCGGTGCTGATATTTCACTGAGATATATTGGAACAGTACCAATCAGACCGCTAGATTGTTTCGTATGTCAGTATATAACTAGTTACAGGTCCAAGCTGTGAACGAACCGCAGGTAGAAATGACGAGCTTACCCGACAGCATAGCCAGCCAACGCACGGCCAGCAAGAAACATCCCAATGTTGATGGAAGCCGTCTGGATGACAGTCCCAATGGTCACCATCACACACATGAACTGCATGAACCGGATACGACCAAGCCTGTCCCCGATGAAGGTCTGCGTAAGAGCTCCAACGGCTTCCCCAGCAATATAAACAGCAACAACCTAGCCGATTTTTATCAGTTACTGAGTCTTGATCAGGGAGATGAAGTTCATTTTCCAAGCTTACAGCGCCTGTCAGTCCATTGGATGGGTTATTCATATAGCTTCTCCAGCTATTGTGTGCAATTGCTAGATGACAGTCAGCTTCCCGTCTTGCTGAGAATCAAGCCATAGATCGTATCTTACTCGTCGTAGCAATACCGGTGTCGAACCCCTTTGGATACTCAATTAGCTGCAGTTCTTGCCGTGCAGAACATATGAGAACATACGAAGAGAAATGTCCCTATAGCCGCAAAGAGGGCAATGCCAAAAGTGTACCCGGATCCCATGCTGGAAGCTGTCCGGCAAGCCAATAACGATAACTAAGGGGGCTCTCCTTTTCAGGCCATGAAACAGATGGTTTTGACAATATATATATATATATAATGATCTGCAAACAAAAAATTAGTGAGGCTGGAAAAGAATCAAATGAATGGTCAGGGAGAACTCACCGGTATTTATACATATACCTCTGTACGCCGGACTCATCTAGCCTCTGGTCCACTCTGCCATGTATGGGCCTGGCTGTCTACATCACTTCTCCTGGCTGCCGACAACGGTGAAGATGCCATGACTTGCAGCGGCCAGAAGAAGCAGACGGCCATTTTAATATATTATTCGGTGAAGGTATATACGACGGCGCCTCCGCATTTCCTGTCCATGTCTGCAAGCCACGAACCTCACAGTAGGTTGTTGGTTGTTTAGTCAAGTTATCAATTGGCCAGTAATAAAAATAGCCGAAACTCCATCGGCTCAAGCCCGAAACCCCAGGAACAGAATCCCTGATCGGGCTATGCTCCGTTAACACGCTGGAACATACTATGTAGCTGTAAGACCAGAGAGAATGCAGGAATATATCAAATGATATATAAGAGTAATGTGGACAGTGTCCAAAAATTTTTGAATTGCATAATAGCTATCGCTCTGTGTAGTGTCTAATTGGGTTATCTTGAGCATCTATACGGCAGCCAGCCCCCTTACCTGCACCGCCTGTCTCCAAACGGGGCCCTTCCAAAGGACGAGCAGGCTACACAGGTAAAATACAACCAGGATAATTGCCTCGATGCCAAAGCCTAGTCCATATCCGACAGCTTCGTTCAGGTTGGGGCTCCAGAAGGGGACGGTAAAGGAGACGGTCTGGCGGATGACGTTGATCAGCTGCAGAACTGAGGGCGCCTTGGATGGATAGCAGTCGACGCAGTAAGTCTTGAGGGGCGTGGTAACCAGCTGCAGCCCAAAATTAGAAATCGCAAACCCAAGACAAGGTGCGATCCAGTGGGTGCGGTTTTGCAGGGTCACGCCAAAGATGACCACGCCCACGACCACAATCACGTAGCCGGGTAGGCCGACGTATAGACGAGATTCCAGGCGCTCTCGGTCATTGGCGGCGGCAGCCCGGCGACGTTCCCGGTTCATGGCCCAGTCGCTGCCCGGGCCGCCTAACCGCTCGCCCAGCAGCACGCCCACCAAGGGTCCGAGGAAGAAGAGGCCCTGGGCGATCGCGCCGAAGCCGTAGAATTCCTCCAATGCTAGCGGTAGAATGACGGAAATGCCGGGAGATGTGATTGCAAAGGTGACGCCGTATGCCAGAGCAATGAGGACCAGATGCGGAGACTGCAAGAAGAAGATTGGCTCAAGGAGAGACCGGACGCTCAGTTGGCCGGGCAGGAACCTTGGGAGGCGCATCAGCTCTGAAGGATGGTACATGCCGAGTCCGGAGTGCTGTCGATGTCGGTACGATGTCTCCGGACAGGTGAGAATAAAGCCTAGCAGCTGGACGCCATTTATGATAGCAATAATCCACTGAGTCCACTGCCAGCCGAGATAGTGAACGACGGGGCCACCGATTACTCCGCCCAAAGGAGCTCCTATAGCCACCATCTGCGTCCAGATCCCGTTCTTGCTCCCCCGTTCCTCGGCGGTGAAGAGTTCCACGACGATGACTCCGGGAACGACAAACCCAGATGATATGCCGATGGACTGGAACACTCTCGCCGTCATCAGGGTGCCGTATGTCTTTGCGAAGCCGCCGCCCAACGCCGCAATGCAGGAGAGCAACATGCTTGCCACAAGTACTGGTCGTCGTCCATACGAGGACATGATCGGGTTCCAGAGAAAAGGAGCCACGCCCAGAAAGAGGACATGGACGCCGATGAGATAGGTTGCCGTCTGGGGAGCAACATTAAACTGCTCTGTCATCTCGTGGATCCCGGGGATGGGGAGAGCACTGGTGAATCCGGGACCGGCAGCATGGAAGCCGCACTGCAGCAGGATAAGATGCTTGCGAAGCCATGACCAATTCTAGATTTCGACGAGTCAACATCCGCACCTTTGGCGTTTGTTTCCCAGGGGGTAAAGAAAAATGCAGACTCACTATGGGGGCATCCTGCTCTGCGCCAGAAGATTGATCGCTGTGGACGCCCACAGGCTTGGATACATCTCTAGACTCCATTTCCAGCATTCTTCACGCATTTGGCTGAGCGTGATGCCGGCTCAGAAGTTGCCCGGGGTCGATGGCTTTATAGATGAGCGAAAACCGCCACCGGATCCCCATCTCGTCTCCAATTCTCTAACTTCCCCGGCTTGAACGCTGTCTTTCTCCATCTTCTGGCCGTATAAAATCGCTATCGGTGCGGCGGAAAGGATCCGCGCTCTGCCAAATAGCCGGCGCTTGAGCCGAAACTTAATTAGTCAGTTTTGTCAGCATTTGAATATCAAATCTTTTTTCTTTTTTTCGTTGTCAAGCCAAATATTAGTTCTTCACGACACGGCCTGAACTTGGCAAAGATGGAGAATACAGGCTTACGAGGGCACCCGGAAGACAAAAGTCGCTTTTTTGGCCTTTATGCTAGCAAATTCCCGGGCGGAGTACGGGGCGCGTTGCAAGTGAACCCACAACCACAGTTTAACTGCCTCCGCAGAGTCCTGAATCCTGGTCCTGAGCAACGTCATCCATGATAATACTGACAGAAAAGCCTTGCAGTTCTTTATTGATACTTCATTCAAGTGTATGGACAGGGTGGTGATCCATATCGAGGGTACAAATCTCGGCTTCGATACACAATGCACCGTTATTTGCACTGGGTGAATTAAAAGCTGCCTGGAATATTCTCGAATTTCAGGGTTTCCTCAAGCCCAATCGGCAAAGTCAAGCGTTTCAGTTTGTCGCCCATATGGAGTATTAACTGCTTTTTTGTTGGGCGGGACGACCATGGAGTCACGATTATTCCTGGTTCCTTAGTGCTAGTTTATGTGTTGGCCAATCAGCCTGTCGCCTACTTAGCCGCCAGCAAAAGTGATCAAGGGGGTTGAGAGCCTCAGCGGTTCGCATAACCTCTCTACAGCCTAAAAAAAGGACTGCTTCAGGTAGGTTTCCCTTGGGCGGCAGAGTGACAGCATCAAAGTGTTGTCGCGATGAAATTCAAGAGGTTTTCTTCCCGCTTCTTCCACGGCGTCGGAAATTAGTTAACTATACCGACAGCCAGCGAGGCCTCGTTTGCCCTTCGATGCATAAAAAAAACAGAAGCAACTTCTGTAGAATTCTAGAAATCTCTGTTTACCTCCAAGTTTACGAAGCATAACATTTATGAATCGGTTTCTGGCCGAGCTGCATAGCTATGGAGACAATTATACCCACACAGGCGGCAAGCCAGAGTCTAGAATGACAACTCGGCTGAGGAGGCACAGCAACGAGAATAGATACCCAAGACAGCATCAACGGTACGCCTTGGGCGAGAACAATCTGCAAGTGAGGATCATGCTGGGCTTGCACAGCATGAATATCGGCCTAACCGCCGGCTTTTTGGGGGCGAAGCCAACATAATGGACAATGGACCGGGCATGAATATCACTCCGAGATCCCCTTGTCTCCCTAGCGCTAGACTATTGGAAGATCCTGTCCAGTCATTTTCCATACTGGGTCTATTCGAGCCTCATGTGCCCGGCAGGTGAGGCTTAGGTGCAGTCTCATATGGATGGGCGCTTATGGAAATGATTGGTGTTTGTCCCTGCCTCTTGTCCATGGGGTGGTTGCTGCCTGGCGAACAACCCCTCCTATTGACTTGATCCATGCTCTCGCGCAATGCATGCTAGGCCACATTGTCCAAATTCCTTCGATGCACTTCCAGTGCTTGCTGTCAACTCCTCTAGGCAGCATAGCACAAGTTATAAATACCCTCTCAAATCCCCCTCTAGGGAAAGATATCTCAAGACAACAAAAACAAGAATTCAAACATACTCTGTTACCAATCCTACAAATTTACTACATTTCTGCCTTATCTGAACTCCAAACAACCACAGCCATGGCCACTACACTTCTTGAGTACCTTACCCAGCCCAACCCACGCGTGAACAACTCCCGCTCGCTTGAAGGCCTACCAACGAAAGCCGAGTCTAACGAGGATATCGTCATCATTGACTGGGAAGATTTTACCTATGAAACTCTAATGTCATGTTATGGTGGCATTTTGCGCGCCCAGTTCAATGGACAGTTACCTGAAATCTTTCCTCCTATACGGGATATTGAGCGTGAGATATACGACGAGGATTCCCTTGACCACCTACTGACGCGATCGGTCGTGGCCCCCGTCAGCGAAAGCCTGAGCATAGCCTGGCAGCGGTGTTACCCAAATCATCAGAATTTCCCAATTTATATGACGCGCGGGGGCCGAGCAAGGGGATCTATAAACGATCTACCTGCAGATGAGTTAGCAGCCTTCCCTGACTGGGCAGGAGCCCAAAGGGGCCAGGGCTCATCAGCATATCTAAACCGTTGTCCAGGGGATACAAAGCTATCAACAAAATGGCGCTCCGGCACAGATAAGACTACGGCCCATTACTACTGGCCTTATGCTCAACTTATTAGGTACTGTGGGGAAAACTGGAACACTAGGTACGGGTATTTGATTACCCAAGAAGAACTTGTGGTTTTGCGTATCTCGAGGGCAGCGATTCCATCTGGAATCGCTAATAAAAGGTCTCCTCGCAATGTCGTTGCTCAATCTTCCCAGGCTACTAGACAGGATAGTCCTCCCGTTGTGCCCTCTAGTTCCCCTGTTCCCCAACCCCCTGCCACTCGGTCCCCCCCACGGCAAGCCCATCTACGCAACACATCCGTTACTTCGGCATCCAGTGCTATGTCAATCGACCGGCCATCAGGACGTCCTCGCCGGACATCTGTCACTGCCAGCTTGGCGTCTCTATCCATGAGTGAAGCGAGCGAGCCAGCCGCAAGCAGCAGCAACCAAGTCCAGAGCAGCCAATCATACAAAGATGATGGGACAGGGGGTGAATACAGGCCTATTGAAATGAAAAGGATTCCCTGGGGTAATTCAGGAGGGGGGCGGTTGACTATAAAGCTTGCTTTATGGTGGATTCATATGATGGCAGGTGCCCCCGGATGTGATATCACCATTGGGCCTGACTATCCAGCTCTCGACACATGGGTGCTTCGCAATGGAACCTATCATCACACCACAACAGGAATGACTACAAACAATCTTCCAGAATCCGCTAAGACTATATCTCCTAGACATGCATCTCGTGGTATAGTAACGCCGCCGCGCCAACAACTGCCTTCCAGCTCGTCACCTTCCAGTCAGCTTTCTTCTGCACCCCCTACTAGGGAAGAAATCGCTGCTATAAATTGGCTACCACAGGAGGCACAATGGCAGTATCGCACAACAAATAACTCTCGAGGCCTTATGCGTGATAGGACCTTGATTTGGAGTGACAGGCTAAACGGCTGGTATTATGCACGACTAGAACAGGGAAGGGCTCAGTGGGCATCGGCAACACCTGATGAAGATGAAGACGATGAGGATGAGGATGAGGATGAGGAGGATGAGGATGATGAAAGTGATGAAAGCATGGGTCTCCCACCGGCTCCTGGCCCGAATCGAAAGCGTTAAACCACTTATGAATCTATTTACTCTTTGTCTCTGTTATTTTCGATGATTTGTCGACCTTTTCTTTATCTGGTTTGATAGTCTCACTCTCTTTAGTGTTCGGTTCCTGCTCATGAACTCCTTGAAACTTTAAGAAGTTAGCTTTTTCCCCTCTATTAAAGAAACAAATAAGTGGCAACTCACTTTTGCGGCTTGTATGCGTAATTCTTTAGCTCTTAAATGATCCCCACACTCTTCTGCAAAGGCTATTCCTCCTAAAATGCCCTCTTTGAGTTGTTCATTTACCCAGCCGTCAATAACAGAACCATCTCGCACAGACTCCTCCCATTCGCTAGTATCTTTATCGAACCACTTGAAATACTCCATACGCTTAGAATTTGACCATAGTCTCCGCGGATAAGGGTATGTGCGGACACGACCAAGGTCAACAAGAAAGGAACCGCGATAGTTCCTAGGCTGAGCATCCTCTGGGAATAGCAGTGCTTTGCGAGCAATCTTCATCTTGCGTCGTATTTCCGGAACATCTGTAAGAGCCACAGGATGGGGGATATAGTCCTTAACAATCGCCCATGGAGTATAATCTTGTAGAAACTTGGGTCGTTGGTCACCGGAAAGTTTTATCCAGCCATGGCATTTAACGGCCCAGGTACCGTTTTTACCAATACTATCTAACCTAGCGAATGCCCTTGCTTCATTTGCTATAGGACTCACGTAGTGGGTTTCTCTCTCCCTCAGGCGGAGCGACTTGGGCCCTTGGTAGGTCCATTGTTTGAACTTTGGTAATGTTACTAAAAATAAGAGAAAGGAGGAATATATGGTACTTACTACTTTAAGAGCGTAGTTGTTACCTTCAATCTCAACATGATAAACTACACCTTCGGCGCCTCCACCGAGATTATGTAGATAGCGGATTGGCTTTTCGTGGTGGATAAAACGACGTAGCTCTGGCTTCGATGTTGATTTACGAGTTAGATCGTCCATCGGCAGGTCTGACAGCCAGCGGCCTATCATCGAATCGTCCATAAACGTCATTTTTCCTGTATGGTTATAACATTATCAAAACTAACGTAGTATAAAGGGGGATGAGTTCTTGAGATGTTTATCTCTGCCTGGAATAAGATTGAGTTAGACTTTAAGCAGTTATCGGATTAACTAAGCCACCGGCTTGGCGCAACCCAAAGCCAACAACAAGTCAAATCTTTGTATCAGAGACTCGATGGACGCGGGGATTCTTCTGATAAAATCGGCTTTCCTTTTAGTGGTAATAAACAAACTGTGAAATTCCCAATATTACGAGCTGACTAAATGGTTGCACTGTGTCTAGGTTCGATAGTACTCTTCTGGTCTTCAGTTAGCCCAGAAACCCCGGAAGATACAAGAATAGGAAAATATGGCCCGTATAGTCGCCAGGAATCCAGATACACACGTAAAACGTGCCCGGAGACACATGTTTCCTGCATCAACAATCCCCCGCTGAAGGAACAAGAAGACAACAAACGCTCCATGGAAAAAATGTATACTAAGTATACAATTTTCCCTTCATCAGACTAATATGTCCAATCTCCTCTCACACCCGCGAATCACCCACAAGCTAAGGCCGCAGTACATCACACTGGTCAAAACCTCCGGTACTAGAGAATTGTGGCTGGCCACATATCTCATCTGCATAATCATCCCCCAAAACGGAACATGCTCTACCCATCCCGCACTTCCGACCACCCGACGAAACCCGTACAGGAGACCCAGGGTCGCACTCCCAACGGTCCGTATAAGAAATAGCACTGCGGGTAGCGGTAAAGGCATCACACCTAGGTCGATAATCTTGTCCTTTCGCGTCGCGGTCGCGTTGGCAAGATGATATGTCAAGCCATACCCAATTCACTGTTTCATCGTGGCCTGCTCTTATATAGTACCCAGTATGAGGCGGTTAGTCCGGTTCAACATCACTGTTTCAGTCCTTCTGAAATCGACTGGCGCCGTTCTACCTTCAATCAATATTGGTGTTGCCACCCGAAACAGGGCACAAATTCCTATCAACTTGATATTGAAAGTACCAGTTTAATCAGCTGATAGCATTTCCACAGGAACCTGCTAGTAGCAGCATTCATTAACGGCTTGTTCTATGCTGCCTTCACCTTCATCAGTGTCTCTCTCTCTTTCCGTACAAATATAGGAACGAGCCGTTGGGTCGCTGACTAAGTACGGATTATCTATAATCCATATGTTCGGATAATTATATAATCATTACATAATCCATCCCTACCCCGATTAGGAAGTCTACAACAAAGCTTGAATACAAAAAAGCTGACAGAAACAACAAATTGCTCGATGTTGCGGACGTTTTGATACTCGATAACATAAATATTAATAACATAGATGGCCGATTGGCCGGTGTCGAGGCGGTTCTAAATCAATTGAATCGTTTACAGTTGCCCGTAGCTAACATAACGCATTCCTACACTCCCCGCAAGCCAAGTCAAGCTACAGCCAAGCTGATTTACTCCTGGTCATATCGACGAACAAACGGCAAATATGGTTAATTAGGGCCGTTATCTGGCTCTTGCAGCAGTAGAGTAGGCGACTGTCGAGGCGTCTGGTGATATCCGTCCTCGAGTGCTAATATATATTTTCTTTTGCAGGGAGTTTTCCGTGTTGCAGTGAATGCCTTTGTTTATATTGCACCAAGCTGACATCCGAGTTCGCCCTCCAACCACAGTTGCCCCATCACAGGAGAAGAAACCCCTGCTGCCGCTTAATTTTTAGGCGCAGCTGCACATCTTCCTCGACATCTTTTGCTCTTACTTTTGGTCTTAAATACACACGAATCAGCCTCCCACACCAAGTGTTCGCAGATATAACGCGTTTATCCGCAGGCCACGGCCGCCTCGTTCGCCGGGAAAGCCCCCAATGCAGCCCCGACCTGAAATGATAGCAAGTCTAGACCGGACAGAGAGCTTTGTGTCTGGAGCAGGGGGAGATGGCAAATTACAGCAGCTCAGGTTCTAACACCAGCAGCGGTAGCGACACCAGCAATTCTCTCGGTTTCAAGAGCAAACCATCATCAGCAGCCCACTCATTGAAGATAACACCCGCAAATTCTCCCATTTTCAAGCCAGCTTCGAATTCGAGAACTCCCTACAAATCAGCGAGTTATCTCACCACACTTTCCCTCCAAACCGTTATTGGCACAACAACATCAAACCCGAATGGTTTCTCGTACCATGAACCCTCCCGTTCTTTTGCGTTGTGCGCAGGCTCCGCTGCGGTTCTCGCCGAATTGGATGAGGACTTGACTGTCTCTCAGCGGTTCTTTCGAGCACGGCCAACAGCGACCGGTATCAACCCGGTACTCTCCTTCTATAATCCCCCAGGTCCGCCAACTACACCAGAATCACGACTCAGGCCACCACAGAACTTGCTACGGGCATCTACGCCGTCCAGTTCACCGTTATTTACCAACTCTCCTAGTACAGCGGACTGGACAGAGAGCAATGGGTCAAGATCGTGGACGTCGCGGGAAAGAATAAAGGCAGTCACCAGTGTCTCTCTAAGCCCTAACGGCAGGTTTCTGGCAGCTGGAGAGGTGCGTTTCACCCATTGTACGCTACCACTGATTATGGATATACTAACAACTGCGATATCGCACAGACTGGCTATAACCCACGTATCCTCTTGTTTTCTACAGCCAAGGACTCTCCTGCAGATGTTCCCCTCTCGATAATCACAGAACACACCTTCGGCGTTCGAAGTCTCGCGTTCAGTCCTAATTCGCAGTTTCTAGCAAGCTTAGGCGATATTAATGACGGATTCCTCTATATCTGGCAAATAAATCTTAGAAATGGCTCCGCGAAGCTTCATTCGACGAACAAATGCACGTCTTTTGTTCGAGATATGTGTTGGATGGGAAATAACTTAATTACGTATGCTATTTAACTGATTTCTACTAGGTTAGATCTATGCTAATGATACACTCAGAGTTGGGATAAGGCACGTCAAAGTTTGGAGGCTCGGAGATGTCGGTAGGCCATCTTCCCCGTCAAAGCAGCGGCCCAGCGCGGACTCCTCCAGTATATCTAGCAGTCCACTGCCAATAGCCTTGTCCGGGAGGAATTGTCTACTAGGCAATCTACACCATAGCACATTTACGTGTGTCTCCAGCATTTCCGATGACGAAGCAATTATATGCTCTGACTCGGGGGTTGTCTGTTTTCTGGATGACTCCAATGGCCAGCAAAAACTTCAATACGTCAAGAGATTTGATATTGGTGTTTCATCTGTTGCCGTAGATTGTAGCTCTGGCTTCATTTGGTTTGGTGGTCGTGGCAGGCAGCTAGAAAAATGCTCAATAGATGAAATAAGATCATCTCCTATGCTCTCACCAACTTCAGCAAATATCGATACCCAACCATGCTCTGCACCAAAAAAGGCTGCAATCGTTTCCATGGGCATAATTAATACTCATATGATAACAGTTGACTCATGCCGAACCCTACACATATGTCCCCTTGACCCGTTGAGTAAGGACAACATTGAGAGTGTGGCGGATGTCTCCGTATCCGCACATCGGGATTCTGTGTTAGGCATCAGCACTGTTGAGACACCCAACCCCAAATCCGCGGAATTTTTCACCTGGTCGTGTGGCGGAACTGTCAGATTCTGGAATGTGAAGGGAACCTGCTGTGATACATATAAAGTCGACCTGGAGCAAATCTCGGATGAGGACGAGGACGCAAACGAATTAAAAGTTTTACGGGCCACAGGCGGTATTAAAATGTTTGTTTCCGGGGATAGATATGGTGTAATAAGGTAAGCGTCTCTCTACTTTTATGCGTTCAAAGTCGACTTATCCTGAATCCTAGGACAATCAACGGGGAAACATGGCAGTGTCAAAATGAAGTCAGAGCGCATGGAGCTGAAGTAACGGATATCGCGATCTACTCGGATCCTAATACAATTTTGATTGCAAGCTGTGGGCGTGACAGGATGGTTCAATTGTTCAGAAGCACCGATTACTCAATCGATGTAATACAAACGATGGATGAGCATGTCGGCGCCGTTGGGCAGTTACTATTCACCAAAGACGGTAAAAGGTTGCTCTCTTCCTCGGCAGACAGGACAGTTATTATTCGCGAACGAATGACTCGAGATGACGACGGTGTCTCTACTGTTGCCTTTCTTCTCTCAAAAGTTATCACGCTGAAGGCATCGCCCGTCTCGATGATAACCCCTCCTGGTGATCCAGATACGCTTATCTTATCCACGATAGATAGGCTTATCCAGAGATACCATATACCGTCTAGCCGCCAGGTTCATTCTTTCCGCGTTGTTGACCCGGAAAGCGGTGATACCGCAGTCATGAGCTCACTTATTCTCGAGAGGGATTATCCAGAATATGGCCCAAGACTACTGATTGGTGTATCAACAACCGATAAATCTATAAGGGTGTACGATTCGGAGAAGGATACACTCCTGACTCGAGAATTTGGCCACACTGAAGGAGTCAGTGATGTTGTACTTCTCGAAACCAACGAGCCAAACCCACCTGGTGTTATCAAGAGAACACTCATTAGCACTGGCCTGGACGGAGTAATCATGGTGTGGAATCTCTCTACCCAACAACAATACTTGCAGGAAAGCCCACATCTCGTTGCTCATCCTGAAGAGGAGACTCCAACGAAAGAGCTTACCGCTGCCAAACCTCCACTTCGTCGTATACTCTCTAAAACCGAATTGGCTGGATTCCAAAAGCCTGATAGTATCTTATCGACTCCAACTCCCGTTCGTGACTCTCCTCCCCGTATCCGCAAAAAGACCTCTAGACATGTGTTAGGGGGAGGCTTTAAGAGCGGCATCAATGGCGTATCAACAGTATCTACACCGCCACTCCCTCCTCCTCGTCGATCACCCACCACACCATACTCAGATAGCAGGAATCAGGGCAACCGGTCTCCCTCACCCCCCAGTCCTCGGCAGCTGTCCAGGACTATAACCAACAAAACAAGCAGTGGCAGCCTCCGAGCCAGCGGGAGCGTACGGCGGCCATCTATGCTTGAAGTTCGCACTCGCACCTCCAGCAGACCCAACTGGAACTCGTCACCCAACAGCAATTCACCCAGTGAATTTGGAAGTCTTAACATGTCCACTGAACAAGTCTGCCGGACCCTACGAGCGTATCGCAAAAAGCTAAACATCTCACCAGATAAATTCAGCCTCCAGGGAGCCAGTGAACTCGAGCGAGAGCTCGATCTTACTGTCCGCTCCTTAGGCGACAGGATGAAAAAAACACAACTTAACGGAACGAAAAAGGATTCCCATTCCAACGGAAACACACCCTCCACTTGCAGAAATAAAGACTTATCACCTCTAGCTCCTAAGCAAGCTCGAGTCGCTCGTCGAATACCTTCAACCCCTAATCTAGGCCAAGCGCGAAAAGAGAAGGGATATCGAACTAACTCTCTCGATGCCGATGGAGAAGGATAGCGGCTCGACTGCTTCTCATATTTAAAATATATTTCTTTTCCTGTCATGACACCTTGGCCTCTCCCCCTTTTTCACAGCTGTCTCTTTTTTTCTAATTATAGCCTTTCTTTATTCCGACTTCTCAAATTCATTTGCTCTGTTCTTACCTTACTTTTGGCATAGCCAGTTATTTTCTTTGTGTTAGTTTGTGTGTGGGCGGTTGGTCGGCATAATATGGTCTGGATGGAGTCTTCCTCTTTTGATCGAGCAAGTTTCATTTGCTATCGGGGATTTACTTCCACCTCTTTCCTCTCTTCTATGATACCAGGGTCATTAGTTTGACATTCCATTCAATTTCTTGGCCGGCATTTATTACTAAATGATTTTTATTAAGATCTTGCGAGGCATTCAATAATACCTCTCTTCCTTCGTTTTTTTAGGGAACCCCTTTTCTTTAGTTAACTCCATAGTCTCTGTAAATAAGTGCACAAATCCATCCTCATGATTTCTTTCCTTATGGATGAGATCAATTATAGTTAGAACTACAGAAAGAAGCACAGCATTCTCACAAACCCTTTCCTACATAATATATTAAGCTTAACATTCCTATCAAGCTTATTTAATCTTACAAAGCTAGGTAGTTTGATCACAAAAGACCATCAGTTTGCCAAGTTCAAAGTCCCGTATGCTTCGCTCATCTTTGTAGAGAGGGAGTCTGTATCCCAACCGTTATGTTCTATGCACTTGGTTAGCTTGATTGCCTCGCTATACCATTCTTGGCTCAGCTGGTTCTTCATGTCCTTGAAATATAACAGCGATTCATTATACATGTCAATTGGTAACCATTGCATTTCTCCTCTGAGCGCTGCTACCGTGGTATGGGGTAGTTCAGGTGCAAGAAGCGTTGCCATGTCTATTAACTTCTTTGCTCTATCGGCAATAAATTTGACACAATTCTCTTCACATTGAAGAGCAAGCCGGTAGAGACAGCGGAGCCAACGCAATTGTTGTAAAACATCACATGGACTTTTCGACGAAAGAGCCGTGTCCGTAATTCGCTGCGTATATATCCTATCAGTGTGGATCTCATAGTACGGGCTATTTAACTTACTCGAAAAGCTTCATATATGACGGGATCTGTTAGTTTCGAAGAAATTACCAGATCCGCAAGAACACAAATTTGCATCGGGTCTAAATTTGTACCGCAATCCTCCAGGATCGCGCAGATATTTGCTACTTGCTGTAAACGAATAGCACATTCGAAGTCTAACACGGCGAGCGAGGGCAGTGCCTCAGATAACTTATCCAATTGTTCTTTAGATAACCCCTGAGTATGGCCCTCAATGTATTCTCGACAGTTGTTTATTTGTGACCTTGCACTAGTGTAATGTATTGTCTTCGCATTTTTAATTTTAGATTTCCATTCTATTATTTATGCAGACAGAAAATGGACTTACTTGGTGAGCAGTGTCAGCAGCTGCTCTTCCTAAATCCACACAGGCTGTAATTGATATGATATGGCACCAGAAGTTACGGTGCCGAATGTTGGATGACGCATCGGTTCCTAGCTCAGCGGGATACAGGTCTATAATCTGAATGTAGCGTTATAATCTAGATTCAAAGCAGATATGTGTAGGAACTTAAAGTCAAACCTTTATGCAAGCTTTCATGAGCCGTATCGTATATGTTGCCTCCCATTGTAGGCGGTATCCTACTACCAAGTTGAGGCCATTGCGGGAGAACCATTCAAGGTATTGGATCAGCTCCTGTTCCGGGATTTCACATTGGCAAATATCAACCGAAACTAGTGAAGAATATCACAGTTAGCTTTATAGGTTTCCCCTATATCGGCTAAGGCATCTTCGGCCAGAAGAAAAGGCTCCTCACTCCGTTCGAATGTATGACATATCACCTCAATAATCAATTTTGCTGATTCCTGGTTTGTTGATAATCTCTTGTCCATAATGCTGACCATAATGCGGATTGAGCATCTTAAAAGGTCAATGAATTGACCAAGCATATGAAAACCAGTTAAAGTAGAGTGAATCTTACTTAAGGAGAGGGGCCTCGCGCATGGTCTTCTGATACTCGTCGAGTAACTCTCCGAAGGTGATGCACAACATAGATGTTTTCTCGCAAGACTCAGCGTATGCAATGCAGGCATATACAATACTGAAGTCTAATGGAGTTCCACGAACTATTTTTTTCAAGCTCTGCTTTACTATCCATATCCTCAAGAATCAGAAGGTGACTCAGAAGCTTTGGGAGTGTGGCAAACCTAAACCAAGATTATCATGCTTTAATGCATATTGATATACCATGAAGTGTGAATAAATGAATGATTCGTTGGACTCTGCAAGCTCATCGATAAAATCAAGAGGCACTGCATTATCTAGATGTAGTGCGTAAAACATTATCTTTCTATATGTGTCATCAATGAGGAATTCTTAACTCCTTGAATATATTTCCCTTTAGATTAAGGATAGTATCTTACCTCCTAATTATAGCTTCGTCTTCCTTCATAAGCCCCATAAAGGCGGGGTGTTGGGTTAATTTGCACCATTCAAACGCAAATGTGAAGTCTTTTGCACCGTAACAGATATTTGCCTTCGAAAGAAATATCTAATCTAGTGTCAGCATGTAGAAGAACCACATATATGTGTACAACTTTACCACTCGTGCGGCATGAGAAGCATCAGGCCCATGTTCAACAGTTCGCGGCCCATCTAAGTATAGCAACATGAGGAGCATCGAGGCTTGGCTTAAACCTTCAGCTGAATTCGAATCAAATGTACACAGCCGCAGATATATGAGTATTGCTTTCTCTAGAAGACTTGGGTCGCTCTTTATGTATTTGATCTTCTCTGTTATCAAGCGTTGGAAAATTCGATACGCCAGGACTGGTCTATTCATTATCAGCTCTATCAGAACCAGTCATGGTTACAGGGGCTCAACAATTCAACGTACTCCCAGTGCCAGAATTTGTGGATGCAATGAAGTATGCTTAAACTGCGTTAGGCGGGCATATTCTTGCAGTTGGGGGTTTCTGATTATTACCTGTTGAAGTTGGATTCAATTTCCACTTTATCGATGAGGGACTGAAGCTCTGTCGCGGACGTTAATACCAATGTTCCAATTATCTGGTTTACCAATATTTAGTAACACTTACGATTATCACAAAGTACACTTCCATTCACTATATACGGCCCTAGGGCATGGAATACTTCAAATGCCAGATACCAAGTACTAGGTTCAGAGCCATAGTCCTAAGTGAAACATCAGTCGGAAGCGGTCCTCTGGAAAAGCGGGTACATACCTCTTGTAAATCATTAAGTAAATTCCGAATGCATTCTGAGTCCTCCGCCGTAAGCTTCTGTAACTCTAGCTTTGCTCGTACTAAAGAGAATATGTCAGTGTGCATAGCTCAATGTATATAAGGGTAATTAACCACATACTAAGCTCATGCAAGACGGATTGTCGAAGAGCCTTAGACGCTTCACTAAAACCATCCTGCTCCGCCATCGAAATAATGTCATAGCAACGTTGTAACCACTCAATAGCGCTGGAATCACACCTATTTTTCTTCGCTATCCCGATCCAGCAAAGGATATGAACCGCCTTGGCTCTCCATTGAGGATTCTCCTGTATAGATAATGGAATTGGGTTCGCAGAAGGCTTAGAGAGTTGCTCGGTCGGGTCCTTCCATAGCTGTGATCCTTAGTTAGCCCAATGATGTATCTATATTCAATACATCTAATAGTGCTCACAAGTATAGAGTGTTGGAATGAACACTTTGCTGCTAACTCCTTTACCTCTTCAGATCCGATTTGGGAAATTCTCGCATCATGCCCAGCTAACCTTTCAAACACTTTTATGGCAAGGTCCGGATGGCCCATCTCTATCTCTAGACGTCAATTTGATACGTCGGCGAAAATTATATCTGACTTGGGCTATACACTAACCGATCACTCTCCCAGCACTCTTTAAACCAACATCGAACAACCGAATATAGTCTGACCGTCTCAATGAGTTGATATTCCTCTGCGCTGCTTCATGGTATGCTACTAACCTGGGCTCTGGACCCCATCTTCAATGGCGCATTCAAGGAGAAGAAATGCAATGACTATCACTAAATCAGGGATATTAACAACCATTCTCCACCTAGAAGGAATGAACGTATACTAACCTTTACACATGTCCCTTAGGTTTTCCGCTTTGTTGATTCTCTCTGGTTTTACAAACTCTAGGTTACATGCATTCCATACTTCAACGCCAGTATCATCCAGCAGCTTTCGGTCCTCTTGTGTCAGGAGTGTGAGGTTAAGGGGGAACGGCTGGCTGATATATTCATCTAAATCCGTCGTAGGTGGTAACCGGGTGGCCTCATCAGACGTCTCGTTCAGTATACTGGTGAGGTCGGCACGTAGGCTAGAGACAAACACTGGGGGAGCGTTAGGTATGAAGCCGTCACCGGGAAGAGCAAATAACTAACCGCAAGTCCAATCATCTACACCTTCAGCCATCTTGCCAGGCTCGTTCCACTCTTCAACTTCTTCCCGGTGTAGTGAGTGGTTCGGAAAGTTGTTTGGCTTAGAAGATGATGTTGATGTTCATATTTTGTTGACGTCGAGAAAAAGGCAGTAACCGTGCACCTTTCCATATCGGGTAACATCAACGCAACGCTAGATATAGAGACGGAGAGACATAGAAAGTGGTTAAAACAGAGGAAGACATAGGGGTATGAGTGGTATCAGGCGTCAGATTGATGTTCTTCCCTTAGGGAAGCTATATACACTCTAGATATATAAGAAATCCCACTTTTTCCGTAGTAAACGGGGGGAAAGAAAAAGATGTCGCGCCGTACCATCTTTTTGATGACTTGAAACAGTGCAGAAACTCACTGTTAACGAGAGAAAAAAAGGAAAAAGGAGAGAGTAACATGCCAAAACCAAAGAGCTGTTGCCCACAATTCTCTCAGCATACAGGTATACGCATACATAACTCCCCAAGGCTTTATCAAAAGCAGGGGGGAGACACTCCATTCGCAGAATACGAACGGCAAAGGGTATTGGATAATATTTACAATAAAAAAAAAGAAAAAGAAATGAAAATAATTAGGATAAAGGAGGTATTCATCCTATCGGTGCACGTCTACGCGTTTTGTTGGTAGGAAGTTCCCTACTATCAAGGAGGGGCTTGACAAGAGCCCGTTAGTAAGGCATTATCGATATAAAATGAGATAAAACTTACATATTGTGGTTGTCTCGGCGGATGGTAAAGGAAAAGCAGCAGGGGATATTCTTCTTAGGGCTGTTTGGGTCAGGGCTCTTCAGCGTACAGCTTGTAAGCATCGCCTTTTGAGAGCTGTCGAACGCGATGGCGCCGAATTTCTCCCAGTAGCTGACAAGTTGGTCTTCAACCACTATTTCATGAATAGCAAGTTTACCCTGAGGAGTTGTTAGAAAGAGAAAAAGGGAAAAGAAGACAAAACTTACATCTCGCAAGGAATCCATGGGCACATCGATGAGCTGAGCCATCTCTTGGTTGCCTCTGAATATCTGGCCGGTTCTCCGCCATAGGCAGGCCGGAATGGCCATACTTGCAAACACGCGATCGTACTCCATTAAACTTCTCTCAAACCACATCTCGACTAACACTAACTCAATATCGGTAAGGGCATGCATACGCTCTCTGAATGCAGGGCGAAACTTATCCAGCTGACGGAGGATTTTCTGTCGTGAACTGGGTTGCAAGTGCTCTTCCATGTATTTATTCAGTCGAGCATAGCCGTTTACATAGTTGAACGGTTTCAACAGGCCGGCGTCATATTTGGCCTTGAGGAGCTTATTCATACGTTCCTCCGGAGGGTCAGTGCCGGACGGGTCAGCAGCTGTCATGTAGTATGTTTCTTTAGCCTTGTCGTTCCCGACAGTGCTGTTGGGTGGCTGTATGGAGCCTCCCTGGGTTGCCAGTGAAGGATTGATGAATTGCGAAGGGGATATTGAGGATGGTTGTTGCTGTTGTTGGAAGCCATCGTTATTCCGGGATAGGTTCGTGGCCATCGAATTTAGAAGAGACATGTCGGAGTAGATACCCCTTACCTCTTCGTTGGGGTACATTGATCCGTCGTCTAGAAGGCTAGTGCTGAGAAAGTCGTTGAGGAGGTTATACTCGTTGGTGAATTCGGGTGCATTAAACATGTAAGATGGGTGGAAAGTGTGGATATCTTGAAACTGGTTATTCTGCCCACCAAGCCGCCATTCGTTATTATAGCCCATTACTATGCAGGAAGTCAGTTTATACTACGTGACAGCATATGTTTGGTTCATGGTCTTACAGCCCTGCTGGCCAACGTCAATACTCGGCCCGGAAGCGGCTATATCCTGCGGCGGAGCGTTCTGCGAGGAGGTCAAGGAAGGCGGTTGCATGGAAAGGGCGGTATCCGGCAATATTTGCTCATCTAAGGTTTCACGTCCTTCGATAGATTGCGACATGCCTTTACTCTCAAAGTCATTGTTTGCAGCAGGACTATCTTCAGTTGCGGACGCGGCGGCAACGGTGCCTTCCGAGTCGTTCTTCACGCGTTTCGTGGGTTCACGAGGTTTGTCATGACACAGGTGACCGATGTTGCGTTTTATACAGCGGCTACATGGTCGTCCCTAAGAAGCAGAGAGCCGGATCTCCCGGTCAGCAAGGCAGCTCGCCACTGTAGGCCAACGTGTCATGGGATAAAAGGGTCCCCTAGGGCAATAGAGGTGGTCGTACCGAGTCGCAAGTCATATGCTGTTCAACGTCATCACGGAACAGAGTGATTTTATAGTCAGCAAAATCTGTATGGCACAATCTGTACCGCCAAACCAGCATGGCGGCCGTTGTTATGCATCGTTATGTAGCGGTGACCCTCTTAGGGGCCTTGGGAGGGGCGGGGGAGGGAACATGGAAGTGGGATGAAATGCAGGAGTGATAAGGAAAGGGTTAAGGAAAATACGATGATGAAAGGAGATCTTGGAAGCTCACCGATCGACGGCAGTAGACGCATGCTGTAGAGCGAATGAGTGGTCAGCGGTTTTTACTTCCGATGCGCGCCATGGACAAAAAAGCAAAGAAAAAAAGAAAAGAAAAAGAAGGAAAGCAGCAGCAATGAGTTTCATAAATATAAATTTATGTGAAGGGGGGGAAGAGAACGGAGAGAACGGAGAGAAGGGTAGAAAAAGGTTGAGCCCTGCAGGCCTGGTTTCCAATGTGGAACCCGTATACATCCGTTGAAATGCAAGAGGAAAAGGGAAGAGGAGAGAGAGATGCAGGTCCTCGCAGATGATCTCATGCTGCTTTCCAGCTTCTCAAGCTTCTTAGGACTCACCGTGATTGACCTTCCGTCTCTTCTTTGGGCTGGAACCTGCTGGCAACGCCCTGTCTGCAGCTCCTGCAGCCGGTTGAGTATCCCTAGTGCTCATCACCCCCATCGTTGGCTTGGCCTTCGCGGTGTCCTGGTCTTGTTCAGCTGAAGCAGCAGATACTGCTGGCTCTGTGGCACCATTGCTATGCTTGCCTTCCCCCAGCGTTCCCGTCGCGGTCTCGGCAGCCTCACCACCCATTGCGCCAGCGCCCAATCGTTAGGATGGCTACGATCGGTTCTCCGGCGGGAAAGTTAGGAGGGAGGTAAAAAGAGGGTTTCCGTCGTCAGTTTTCTGTTCTGAACGTTCCACACAGGCCTGGGCGAAAATGGCCTGTCCCATCAGGTACCACTGCAGCAGCTTTCGACTGGGGTGTGTTCGAGTGTATAGGCAGAGGTAGACCGGTAGACGGGCGGGATGGCGGAACAGCGGAACGGCGGGAGGCCCCAGAGACAGCCTAATGATATTAATGCAGAGTTTGCACGTCTTCCAGTGGTGATTCGGACTGTAATATGTGTGCGCTGGCGGGAAGTGTCTGGGATGGTTGCGTTTTGGCTGCGTTGTCTGTTTCAAATTCTGGGCTTGTCGGCGAACAAAAAGGCCATCGCACCAAACAAGCGTCCTCCTCCAATAGATCCCGTAACTAACGCGCGCTCGAGATAGAGAAACATGGAAGCTCTCTCTGGTGTCTGTCTCGGCGCATAAGTTGCTGTCTTGCAGCGTTGAAGTGGTGAGAGAGAAAAAAGTAGCCAAAAAGAGAAGAAAAAAGAAAAAAAAACGGACGCCACTTGTTGCATTCAAGGGCGTCGAAAGTCTAAAAACGCCGAATATGCCCCAAAGCCATGAACAAAAAGACGTTTTTATTTAAATATGAAGAGAAGCGAAGCTGAGACTGACCGAGAGTCATCGTAATGCGCATCTCCATCATTCATTTGTTACTTGTTCGTTGCATGTCGAAAATCCCCCATCACATGCAGCTGTTATGCATTGCCGAGCATGATACAATTCAATAGTTAATGTCTGGAGCTACTTGGCAGCATCGATGACTTGTTAGGATGATCCCAGATGCTTGTCGGGAGGGGCCTTTATGTCTCTGTCGTCTCTGCTTCTCCTTTGCTGCTTCTCTTGCCGGTGTTGAGATGTTGGCCGGGTTCTGGACGGCGAGCGTCGAACAGCAAATGATTCACCGTGTGATATCCTCAGGAGGGCCCCTGGGATAGCGAGGTACAACGGCAGAAGCTTCCAGGCCTGAGATGCATGCCCCATCTAGAGACACTGCATAAACCTCCGCAGTGGAAGTATACCGAAGCTGACATCTCACCCATGTCCAGGATAATATATAAAATATATGCCCCCAAGTACCTTGCTCGTGCAGGTACGAGCCTTCTCTCATTCTCATGTCTCTGCCAAGTCCATGAATCATCATTTTATCATCTACGCTCGTACGAGCTTTCGCCAACATTCTTCCTTCAGCCAAGAGGAAGCATGTCCAGCGCTGCCTTTGCGCGGGTGATGGCATGGCCGATCCCACGTACCTGAGCTGCATTGCCTTGCATGGATTCGAGATGGTTGCGTAGCTGTTTGATGGTTGGAAGGAGTTTTGGGTCGGCGTCGATCTTGTCAAAGCAGCCTGTCAGCACTAATACCGTCCACTTTCAAAGCGAACGAGATACATACTTCACCAAGAACAGTTTCCTCATTTTTCATCTCCAGCTTAAAGTCCGCATTGGCAGTCTCGTTCATACTCGACTTATCAAGTTGTTTTAAAACTGGATGAACCTAAAGTTGAGCTAACATCAGTACCGTCGTGGAAATGGCTATCCGCAAGAAATGATACACACGTTCTTGTTCAGCCTCTTCCTCTCTGATTCTGCTGCCTTTGCGTTCCGTTCCAGCTCCTCCAGCTTCAGCTTATCCTTTGCCAGTTCGGCCTCCTCCCGTTTGATCTCGGCCTGTAACAGTCGAATAGAGCTCGTAGTCGTCGCCAATTGGCTCTCTAACACTCTCTATAGATGCTAGTCAGCTTCAAGCCTATCCTACACCAGCATAAAAACCAAAGTATACGTACACTCTCCCCCAGAGCACTCTCATAGTCAAAACTGCCATCTCTCGTACCCGCCGGAAAGGGCATCTTCGGCAACCGTTTGCCCAGGTTCTTGCGCACCGTCGCAAGCGCAGACTGTGCCTCGACGCGCTTCTTCTCGTCTCGGTTTCGGGTTATGACCGGCAGCTCCACGGATAGGAAGAGCTGCTTTACCTTCTCCTGTGTGGAATCCGGTAGCGTCGTCCATTTCGACTTTATGGTTTCTTCATTGATGTGTCGGATGCGAGGCTGGAGGGCCGCGAAGGGAGGGTGATTATTGGGCTTGCTGCGTTTTGCTTTGGCAGGAGATGCAGGCTCGTTGGAACCAGCCTGTTTGCGTTTAGCTGGCATATCTGTATCCAGAAGACACCTGTGTATTATGTTATACCTCGTCTCGCAGCTCTCGGCTTGTATAATTGATATCAAGAGAAACCCTTCATCGTCTTCGTCTGCTTTTTTCCTTATCGCGACCCCGGGATAACTAAGGTAAACAATTAGTCATCATAAATACGGGGTTATGCTCTGGTCATGTGAGGCATACTGCAGAAATATCAGCTGACCATGTTCTGTACGTTAGAAGTCATTAGTCACCCTCTTATTCTATCGCGCGCTCGCATTTTTGGCCAAAGAACAGAACTTTTGACATTTTTTCTTCCAGTTTGAAGAATTTATTATTCCCCTACTGTTTATTTGATATTTAAAACTGGGAATCAAGTGGTATTGGCCTTGATTATACCATTCCCAAGGATACTTCACTCGGTCAGGGTAGTATTGAGATGCATTTGAGTATTGCTGTTTCTTTTTCTTCGCCGCCAACTTGCCAGGCACCATATGCACCCCAGCCGATCCGCACGCTAAGTAGCTAAATGTTTAAGTGTGAAGCGCAAAAGCAACGCTGATGATACCCCTTGCCCTGAATTTGAATCCCTAACGATATACAACAGTGTATCCTCGTTTCGAACATTCAGTATAAAACCAAACACAAGCTCCATTAGCGAGAAGCCACCAGGCCATACACGGCCCACGTCGATATCCAGCTCTCCTTTGACAAAATCAAAGAGTGTGCGATGGTTGGCTAGTCCAATCCCGTACTCTATGCTGTCTTCCGTATCCATCGATATAGCCGCAGCCTGCTGGGCAGTCCATACTTTCTGCTACCGTTCATGTCTTATAGGCCACTGGGAATTGTACCAAACTTCCCCCTCATAATGTATACTCTGTTCCAGCTAGATTATTTGATGCCTTAAAACTTCAGGCATAGGCCTTAGGAACAGGGAGATGACCTATTTTCCTCGACTATAGTAACCAGCGTATGAGAGGAAATAATGGAACAGTCCAAATGAATGGTTCACCGTGAGCTGGAATCTTAACTCCAACAATGGTAGCTGGCGCTGGAGATGATGGCGGTTCTCTAAAAAGCTCAAAAAGGAGAAGTTGAGGAAGAGAATGGAGATATAGAAGGCAAGAATACAGAGGATGACGGAAATATGGGGCCACATAGCAAAGTCAAGCTGTTATCAGAGCAGTGATAATAATTAACGGAGATGTGTGGAGAGCACACACGCGCGATTCTGACGCCGAAGGACGGGTAAACAAAGACACGAGCAAATCTGGAACTCGACTATCGCTAACGGGCCATCCCTTGCTTCCGTGCTCCAACTTTCCACTAAGCGTGAACCGGGCTGTGGGACGGCCAGGCGAAAATCGAGCCTACTGCTTGTAACCCAGGTTATATATGTATGTATGTAAAGGGATTAACTCATTTAACCTCGTGGGGCGGTAACCAGGGGTCCTATCTAACTGGTTAGTATAATAAGAATACGCCTAGGCTACCAAGCCAATTCAGTCGAGATATCTATCATGCCTAATATAGCTTCTCTCTAATACTGGCATTTAGGAAGTTATAAATAAAAAAATAGGCAAAGTGTCAAGCTGATTATGCAACACGCTGTACCCCCAAAACTTATCTTCAAAGTCTCATCAGTCTGTATCTGTTGCTAGCTCCTGTTCTCCTCATTTATGATGGCTGCCATTTCTGGTCGAAGCACATTAAATCCACTCTTGCTTCCTGAGATTGTTGGGTTGGTTGTTGAAAATGTTCCCATGGTACCAGATCTTTTAAGTTGTGCCTGTGTGAACAGCATTTGGAATGTAGCAGCTTTGAAAAGGCTCTACACGGGCTCCCTGAATGACATGCAGTTCTGCACACCTGACATTGGGTCACTTAATTTTCTCTTTGTGGCATCACGGGAGCGCTTCGCCCGAAACATGAGCTTCGTGAAGCATCTTCTCCTTTCTCCAGAGGCACCCGCTATTGATGGAGCCGCATATCCAGAACATAGGCTTGCGTGCTTCGAGAAATGTCGTGCGATGCGTCATCGCCAATATGCCGAGCTCCTTCTACGGCCGAAAGGAAGGGGCCTTGAAAGTCTCACAATCCCCTTCGAGATCGATGGTCAAGATTGGTCGCTCATTTCCGACCTTCTTCTCACTCCAACTGTTGAGTTTTTGGCTATTGATAACTACTATTGTGAGCTCTTGACGGCCGGCTCCAGTTATTCCCGAGAACCGATCACCTCCGCCGTAAGTTTTGCCATATTAATGATAAGATCCAATATATGTGGCAGACCAATCTAGAAATTGAGACGATTGGCTAGCCCGTGGTGCCTTTAGAAGCATTTTCTGATCCAGTGCGGCACTCCACGACCGCTAACTATACTCGGTAACTGGAGGTATCGTCTATACGGACGATTATCCACGGACCACGCACGGTATCAGGGGCCTTGGGAAGATTTTCTCATTTTAATTTAGCGCAGTTCGGCCAGAATGGACCGAAAGTAAGCAATTCGCAAATTATCTATGAAACCACGACGGAGAAGGCCTAAACAGAGAAAGCAGTCGGGAAACAAAGAAGAAAACAAGGCAGCTATTATGTAGATAGGAAAATCACATGTGCAGTGAATATTATAAAGTTTCATAAATATAGGCATCTAATTACATACAATCCTTCAAAGCCATAGGGTTAGATGACCAGGTGGCTTAGAGAAAGTATACTCATAGCTTTTCTTACAATTCAAGACCACAAGCCCCCAAAGGAGTGGACCTGAAGGGGTTTCCATATAGGCACGGTCGCGTGTTACAGTTTGTTTACGGCGGACGAAAGCTACCAACAGTAAGTGGGTGCAGTTTGTTGGTATATGAATCGGACTCGATGGCACTGTCAGGGCTTTAAGCAATCGGCGCAGAGGGTGGTATAACGGCTTTCACCTCGGAGCCATCAGACGTAAACTGGTAAACTCTGTGGATAGTTCTAATCCTAAGCATTCAGGTCTGAATTAAAATAGGATATCGAGAGTTGGGTGTTTCAAGTATTTGTTATGGCTTGCATGATTACCATCTAATAAACAATCCAACTTTGATCTCTTGACGTTTGGCCTGCAAGTCGTTCTCATGATTATAGAGTTTATTTAATGGGCCTAAATTAGCCAATGAAACGCTAGTGTTATTAGTGGGGCCCCTAACCATCTAATCTGATCTGATCTGATATGATAAAGATCCCTCAATACAAAGGCCTAGCGAAGCCACTGTACGGAGCCTACTGTGTAATTCAGCCTGTGTAGTTCAGACGATGGTTAAATAAATTATTTAGGAGCTTTAAACCACTCTATTGACAGATACATGAGATGTAGGGTACTTCTCTGCCCTGGATCTAGTTTCATGTATCCCGCCTGCATTGACAACCAGAGCCAAGAAGAAATACTGTACCTATTAACATCTATGCATCTGGTCGGCGGCACAACCTCTTAAACATGTCTTCTAAAATTCGTCAATGCGTACCGGCCTTCTACTCATGTACAGACCCGATATTACGTATATAACCTCCTTTTCGGGCTTATTGTCCGTTCCATAGCCAGCCGTATAAGGGATATATAAGCCCCCTTTAGCCCCTAGATTCAGCCTGACAAATTGGAAGCATGCACCATACTGACATAAGCGTAATAAAGCGGTTATAAATAGAGTATAGGCTTAGTAATGATTAGTACTCTGCACATATTCAATGGTGGATGGTGTGCGTTAAGTGTGGATGGTAGCAACTATTGGCCGGCGCAGTTCTGGCGTAGAACTAATATCTCACCTTCTTAGATGCTCTCAGTTTGCGTTTTCGTCTCTTTAAAATGTCGTGTAGAAGAGCCCGTCGGATCTTGAAAGATGAGCAACCCCTGTGAGAGTCTCAGTTTCTCCCCTGTCGCCAAGAAAACAAGGTTTATCAACCTGGGGTTGCTTCTCTCCACAAAATTGTGAGAGATCAATAGCACTTCATGTTATTACATATTTCAGCCATGCACATGCTCATATTACAAGCTTGCGAGTGAAGTTTTGTCATGGGCAGCTATAGTAATGCTGTGCCTTTTGTTGACGCATAGCTCTTCCAGGGGAGAATAACCAGGGTAGGCGCTGTCACGGGGGCTGCATCATATCTATATCTTTCCAGTATTTGGCCCCCGAGCGGCAAGCAGGTTATGCCCCTATCTAAATATGTTATGCAGGGACATCCTACCTCCGATGCCATACTCAGCTAGATGCATCGGATATCAGGTCGACAGAGGGGTAAGAATTTCCAAATAATGCATGACGGCATTTCCATCAGCTTGACAGGGGGAATTTCCCTATATAAAGATGACCATAGATCCCTCGTCCCTGCCCAAGTGCATCCTCATTCAAATCACCAGGAACCCAACAAATCTCTATAGAAAATTAAATCCTTACCTTGTGCTGAACATCATGAAGATCCCTTTCACAACACTGCTGGCTTCAGTGGCCTTCTTCCTCGCTACCACTGAAGCTGTTGAACCCTGTGTATACGTTGGCATCAGTTCTTCTGAGTATAATGAGACACTTAACATCAAGACGGCCCTCGAATATCGCCCCACCTATGTTTCCGCATACGCCAACGCCTATGGTGAAGCAAGATATAATGTCATCTTTGAGAAGCCCTCAGCTACCCCAGCATGGCATACAAACTTTGGGTATAACGCCAATGATTTCGACAAGACCTTCGAGGAGTACAAGAAGGATGGATTCCGACCTACCCTAGTGGAAGGATATTACTCTGGCGGAGAGCGTCACTATGCCAGTATCTGGGAGAAAAACAACGAAAACATCGCCTGGGAAGAACGCAGAAACATGTCGGAAGATGAATTCACAAGCTGGTACAATGATTTCGTTGGCAAGGGTTATACACTCAGGCACCTTAGCGGATACTCCTTCAACGATCAAGAGCAGTTTGCCGGCGTGTTTGAAAAAAAACCTAGTCCACCGCGGAAAGCGTATGTTGGCCTAACTGCTGATGAGTACCGTGTCAAGTCCAGTGAGCTAAAGAGCGATGATTATTATGCTGTCCACATAAGCACATACACGGCTGGTGGCAAGGCCTGGTTTGCTGGAATATTCGAAAAGATGGATGACAAGAAGAATAAGCCGGAAGTTCATATCGGATGGGCATACGCTAGGGCTGCAGATGCTACGTGGGATACGATTGGGCATAGGCTAATTTCGATGGATGGATACGTTGACAACGGAGAGAAATTTGTTTTAATCTTCAAACAAGGATTAGATTGAGGCTCGGAATCGATGTACCTAGTTATGCGTTTATTAGTTTTAGTTTGTTTTGTCTAATTGCGGATCTTCCAGTTCACTCGGTTCAAAAATGACACTTCTTTGTCACCAAGTAGCTGAAGTACCTAGAGTTTTTTGGGATTCGATCACTGGCACTTTGGAATTGAGCCCTAAACTTTTGCTCGATGACTAATGATAGTAACATCTTGTAGAATCAAGCCAATGAGAGATTTGCAGGCTTCGAGGTAATCTTATCTGATCTGGCCGATCTTATCGATCTTATCGAGTACGAAAGGAGGGGGGAAACGTCGAAATTCATGATCACAACCGGAACGGTTTACCTCTCCTGGCACGAAGCGTTGGTTGGAATTGCAAATACGACTAGGCCGGCTGTCATTTTTTTTTTGCCAACTCTCCGAGCGTTAACGACCTCATCACCGTATCTGGGGATGATTAATGACTGATCTAGTGTTGGATATTTCCTCATTCTTCCCTCTTGATGGTTACTATCCTTCGTAGAGGAGAGGTAAATTCGAGCATTGATTGTTAGAAAGTGAATCCTGGGGTACATCGTTAATTGATCTTTGTAGGGCCTTGCTGCTGGTGACTAGAGCTTCTTCGTTTCTAGCATTGCTGTCGCCAAGGTCCTAGAATTCTCCTTTCATCGAAATGCCAGCGCTTAGAGGAATACAGACAATTATGTAATCTTTTCCTAGAAGCTTGCTATCCTCTGTACAGGGTGCCAGAAACAAAGTGGGTATGATTGCGTGTGCGATCCAGGTAATGAGCCTGCTACTGAGGGTTTCCGGAGAAATCTCCTCCTCGGACACCAAAACTGGCTCATCTCTCCCGTGGAGGCGAAATATATCCAGCTAGTAAACCGTGACAACTGAATGCTCTAACATTGCGTATCAGTTGCCACGCTCCAGGGTCAGATGAGGCTTAAGAAGGTCCCTTCTCCAACCTTGGCAGTATCCAAAATTAACCTTACATGGTACGCGGAGTAATATGTCAGGTGCTATACGTTAGAGGCACATCATAGTACCACAACGGCTAGAAATGTGCCCCCCGAAGAATGTTCAGGAAGGTAGAAGTGGAGGCTTGGAAGTTCGCTGAGCCATGTGGTGAGGGGTATTTGCTATTGGAGGCATATGTAGCCAGCGGAAGGCCGACGAAAAGGGGTATCGAAAGAAGTCATCCAACATGCCGACGAAGCCCCTCGGGTCAAAGGCCGGGTCAAGTCATGATCGATCGAATGGAAAACTTCTCCAGATGACTTAGCCCGTCGATGCGGAGAGACTTCAACGCTCAGCGCTGAACCAGACTTCCCTTTTTTCATCGAAGCCTCTGGGGCAACAAGTAACTAAGCAAAGCTCATCTCCACCCTTGCATTATCAAGCAAAGCGAAGGGGGGAGAAAAGGGCGCACCCAAGGGTCCATTGCAGATCAATATCAACCGTCCCCCACATGTATTGTATATGTATTATATATGCACTCGGGAACCCGTTCCACCCGTGGCCATACCGGCCGATATCGCCCATTGCCGCCACCAGGCAGCCACCAGCTAAACTCCAGGGACCAAAACTTGAGAACTGGACCACGACTCAAAAAAAGGGCCGTGAGCCATCCATCCAGACCGCACAAACGAACAGATCGACCATTCGTTCGCTGTCACAGTTGTTGAAACATGGAACCCTCGAACGGAAGTATAACTCAACTAGGCCCAAGCGTGAAACCAAGCCTGGGGAAGAAGAAGAGGAAGACTGAAGAGAACAGCCCACAGACCACAGACCAGCTCCTCTTCCCTTCGTCCATCGAACCCCCCCCCTTCACGTTATGTGCTAGTTCGAGGATATGGAGAAACGGTACTGATTTACCTTTCAAGAATCCGCAGAGTTCCGAAGTGTAAAAAAAATAAAAGTGGGCTAGCTCGTCCGTCGGGATGTTTGTCGCGTTTAGGTAAATTCCCCGATGAAGACTCCACATGGAGTATGCTTATTTGGTTGCTATTTTCTGCTTTGCTTGCTTTTTGCTTGCTTCTTACTTGCTGATGTGCTTCTGGGCGGTGGGAATGGTGGCTGCTTAGTAAGGGCAGAGGAGTGGGCGGTTGGCCTGTTATATACATAGTATGGGGTGGATGGGGGATGTTGATAGGATATGCGAGGTGGTTGTGGTACAAAGTACACGCGGTGTCGGGGAGGCCGTGGCGATCTTGGAAGAGACTTATTATAGGGCAGTGTATGTAAATTATGGAACTATGTAGTATGGGTATGTATGGTGATTATGCGAGCGCTCGGTGATGCCGTGCTGATGCCCCGTTACGTCGTGAGAGGAAAGAAGGGGGAAGAGAGGTAGAGGAAACATGAGTATCATCAGATAAGTAAAGAGGTTATACAAGGAACAAGACGTGGTATATAGTAAACGCACCAAACACAAAGGCTAGGTTAAACAGGCAATCCATCCGTCCAACGAAAGAAGATAAAATAAAACACCGGACATGAATGATATATAGTAGTATATGTGCTTATGTGCACCCATCTGTCATCCCCCCTTGGCCTTGATGTCCGCCAACTGCGCCTTCAGAAGCTCGTTGCCGGCCAGTAGATCGGCCAGCCAGTCGCCTGCCTGTGTCAGCATAGTACTCTTGCTGTACCCTCCGCCCTTCAGCTCGGGTACCAGGGAGCACAGATCATCAAACCCTTGCTTGATCAGGTTCCGTCGTTTTTGCTCGGAAAGTATATGGTTCGTTCGCTTCTGCTCTTCGGATAGATTCTCTCGCACCGGTTTGATGGTTGCCTTGCTACCAGTGGGGGAGGTGGCTTTTGACTTGCGAGATGACGGGCGAACAAAGGTACTTGTGGATGGTGTTGATGACGATGTAGTGGTGGCGGTAGATGGAAATTTAGACGTTGACAGGGCGCTGACTAGTTCCGTGTCCTCTTCTTTTATCCTGTTATTGCTCTTCCTTCGTTTCTTCGGCCTGTCTTCATAGGAGGGCGGATTTGGGTTTCGAGATGCCGCAAGGGACTGAGTGTCTTGTAGCTTTCGAATAGGACTGGATGGGCGAGTATTCGCTGCGCTGGACTGGGCTTCTAGGCACTCTAAGTTGTGGAGCAGGTGTTCTGTTGTCTCTTCGACCGTGGGCTGGCCAGGAGGCAGACGATAGCCCTGGTGAGCGAAACCAGAGTCAGATCCCCACTGTAACACACCAGTGTCCAGCTTTGAGGTGGCTGCCCCTGTGTTGGGCTGTTGGTGGTCGTTGGCCGGTGAGCGATGTGCGGCATGGTCGAATATCATGGTGCTGGTGTGTATCCCCTTGGGTATAACAAGAAATTCCTTCTGCGGGGCGGACCCATCATGGTAGCGACCGAGCTTTGTATCTATCTGGTGGTGCTGCTGCTGTACATGGATGTTGTAGTGGTAGTTGTTGCTGTTGTGGTCCAACAGGCCGTGTTCGGTGTATAGCTGGCTCTGTATGGAGGAAACGTTCTGGTGCCCGTTCTGGTAGAGCATCTGTGCCGCAGCCAGGACATCTGAGCTCAGGGGTCCCGATCTATCGGGCGCGGACAGGTCTCTCGATTGCTTGGCAGAGTGAATGTGATGTGACTGTTGCGACGGCAGGGTGGTGGTAGATCCCTCAAAGGTCGGCGGTAGATCAGGCCAGCTGAAATTACTACCGGGCTCAGCGCCGTTCTGGTCGCCAAACGAGAGCCAAAAGTCGTTGTTATCGAACTGACTGGCATTTAGGGATGTAAAAAGATTGTCTAGCATGTTGGACTCGCTATCATCCAGCAGGGCGGGGCCTGGAGGACGTTCTGGAGCAGAATCAAGCGGCGTATCTTGCGGTGATATCAGGGCATCTACCATTGTTAGTTTTCTTTCTTCTCCCGATTCTTTTTTCATCTTCACCATCTCTCCTATCTCATGTGGTTCTAAAGGGTACGTACAGCCAAAGGGCCCTGGTGGAGGGGTTGATGCACCCTTCATATGGTGGACAGACTCAGAGAGGCCAAGCTCCATGCTACACGCGAGCCCACCGCCTAGGTGCGAGTTGGAGTCTGATTTGGCAGAGAAGAGGGACGGCCTGAACGGCGATACCGTCTCAGTCATGCAAGAAACCATTAACGTGGCCAGAATGGGGGATATATATATGTAGCTGTGACTGTAGATATGACTGTGTTGTCGCAGATATGTGCCCTTCCCGTCAACTTGAAGTATAACTGCGATGGTAACCCGTGCGGTCTTGAGGGGCCGGTAATCGTGTCCAGAGTGAGCGTCAAGAGAGAACGTCGTGAAGAAGCGAGAGAGGCGGTGATAACTTGTAGATGTAAGAAGTAGTCGAAGAGTTGGCAAGCAAAAAAAAAGAAGTGTGGAGGAGCAAGCCACTTTTTTATCTTATCACATGCGACCACCAGCAAAAAAAGACAGGAAAAGAAGAAAAAGGCGGCGGGCCGTGTGATCGCTGGATGAGATAAGCAGGTTTCTGGCCAATAATATGTGTCCGGAAGAACGTCGCCCCGATGACAGATGAGGAAAAGATGGAGAAAAGACGGAGATGGGGAAGATGAAGTATTTAGCAGAGAAGAAGAGGAGGAGGAGGTCGAGGAGGAGACGATACTGAGCCTGCTAAGACACCGACATTGTGTTCACCGGGCTGTCCCCCCGATCTTTCTTATGGAGTAACTCTGTCTCCCCCCCTAAAGGGCACACCTCTTATTATAGACTTCTGTTTGCCCCAGTTCTCTAGCGCTGAGGCTATTGCGAGCTAGTTTCCAGAAGTGTAGAAGACTCCGTTACCTTAAAAAAAAAATATTAGGACGAGACAAGAAATTGAGAAATCTCAACTCTGGGGCCTAGCTCGTCGCATGGCGGTATTTCCTGGTCAATCAGGTCTCCGCGAAAAGGAAAAAAAGGGGATGCCCTAGGAAGAAGCAAGCATAGTTAGCATGTATTGAGAAAAAAAAAAGCAAAAGAAAAAAAAAGGAGAGAACGGGCGCGTCATCACGTTTGCCCCGATCGATCTTCGGTACAGGTTTTGAATAATTCTTATACTCAATACCTGCAGATCTGTGTGTGAATGTTTTTTTTCCTTCAAGGGCTCTGCCGCATGGGACCTAGACTTGTTGTGCATACATACGAGCTACTGGCCACTGTCTTGTCTAGCGGCCCGCAAGTGACTGGGATGGTAGTGTTGTACCATGCTAAAGGCCCTTGCAAGTGCTGCCAAAGGCGTCATCGCCATATGGCTTCTTTTCTTCTGTATATGTAACATAGCGTGTCTTTCCCCAGCTTGAGTAGAACCCAAACCCTTAATTTTAAAATTAGCGACCCACAGTGACCGAGATCGGTTAGGTAGGCGAGTCGAGATGAGATGCAGCTCGGAAGAGTTCCTTGATGTCTACCATGTAGGTCACTCTCTGTAGGTTCAGTGGCGTTAGCTATCGAGTGGTGAAGCAGAGAAAGCAAAGCAACAAGTACCTGTCGATGAAGTTGAAGGGTCAAGAGCCGAAGATTGAAAGAATGAAAGAATGAGGGGACTTCCCTGATCCCTGACTTCGGAGGTTTTCCCTCCCCTATTTCTTCCCTCTCCAGAGCAAAAAGAGACCCCAAGACAGCGTGAAGGTACAAGGAAGTTACTTGCTTTCTTGGCTTGGGCGGCTAACAACTTAACCGCGGCTCGCCTTCACGTGCTTGTACTTCCCTTGTACCTTTTTCAACCTCCAGACGAAAACATCGAACTTCACATCCAACGCTGAACATTTATTTTCTATTTACTTACACTACACAACCGGACTGTAGTAGACGTCGACAGGTATCAATGGGATTTTGCCCCACAATCGGACACTTTCCGACATCCGGGGCGAGATCATCGACTTCTTTAAAGGGCCTACTCCTCCCTTAGCGCGCCGGTTTCTTCATGGGTGTTTTCCCCTCGCGTGTCTATCACCATCCTCCTCCAGAGCCCCCTCCCCCCGGCCAGGGCTTTAACTTGGGACTCGGTCTCCGGTTCGGTCAAGGGCGGTGTTTATGATGGAGCTGCAGCGCTCCAGGGTCGTGCTCGACCGTCTACGCATCCTGAAACCGTGTGTGCCGAACCCGCTCCTATTCTTATCGTGCGTCTTGTCCTGAGCCGCTCCTTTCTAACTTGGCTGCCGGACAGGGCTGCTCGGGCGTTTGCGCTTGGATATCTGACTACTACTCTGCCGAAATTTATCTCCTTCTTGAAAACTCTGCGGCGGAGAGACCTGAGTACCGTGGAGAAACTGGAACGTGTACGTTCATTCCCCTCATTCTCTCTATCTCTCTCTCTTAATATATAGGGCATCTCACTGATCAACTGACTAAGTTTATTCGCATCTTGCATTGTGGATTGGAATGGGACCGTTTCCCGGCATTCTGTGCCCTACTGGCAGGTGGCTCCTCCGTCCTGCCTGAAGCCTTGAGAACTGTCAGATTAAGATTCACCTACAGTGGGTATCTCCCATCCCTGTCTAAGTCTGGTATTCCACTTTCGTCAGACTGGCCATTGCGGTTCCTGGCGGCCTTCCTGTCTGCCTTGGTCTGTTTTCCCATTCTCAATAGGACAACAAAACATCCGCACGGCCGGCATGCGGAAGTTAAGAAACACGCTTCCTCTGACCAACCTGGCCAAGCTCAGCAAACGCTGGCCAAGACCAATGGCCGCTACAAACCTGGCCTTGCTGGCAGGACCCTAGACTTGACTCTCTTTGCGGCAACTAGAGCTGCAGATTCTATAGTTAATCTGTTATGGTCTCAGTGGAAAACTTCCCGCGTCCATGGCAACGGCAAGGCCGGACGACGGGTACGCTCCCTCGCTCCAAAACTAGCGGACACCGGCCTCTTCGCAGTCAGCTCCGCTATCGTGATGTGGGCTTGGTTCTACCTCCCTGACCGTCTACCTTACTCCTATGGTAAATGGATCAGCGAAGCCGCTCAGCTAGACGGCCGTATCCTCGAGGCCCTCCGTACTGCTCGGAGAGGCGACTGGGCCTATGGCCGTGACAATGGTGATCAAATTGTACTTGAGTCGATGTGCGCTGACTACGGTTGGCCCATCGAATGGGGCACTCCTGAAAAGACAATTCCCATCCCCTGCGAAATTGTCCACATGGGCTGTGGCCCCAATTGCGAAAAGACAGCCGTCTGGCGATTCGCTAGAGCCTTCAAGTTTGCTTGCGCCACCTACATCCCTCTTCAGATTGTGGTTCGCTGTCGATCGCGAAATATCAAAACATACATCCATGCTATCAAGAGTGCGCTTCGTTCATCGACCTTTTTAGGTTTATTTGTCAGCCTTTTTTATTATTCGGTGTGTTTGGCGCGAACGAGGCTGGGGCCTAGGCTGTTTAGCCAGAAGATGATCTCGCCTATGATGTGGGATTCTGGCCTCTGTATTGCTGCTGGATGTATGATGTGTGGATGGAGTATCTTTGTTGAATCAGCGAGTAGGAGGCAGGAGATTAGCCTGTTTGTCGCGCCCAGGGCGTTAGCCACGGTTCTGCCCCGGGAGTACGACAGAAAGGTACCGTTCCTTAACTTTATTTACTCTAGCCTTCTTCACACTAACATACTTTTTCTACTCTGCAGTATCAATGGAGGGAGAGGCTGGCTTTCTCTCTTAGTACCGCCATCCTTGTCGCCTGTATCCACGAAAATCCAAAAATGGTTCGCGGCGTATTCGGAAAGTTCCTTGCTCGCGTATTCATGGCATGATAGATCTTCATTAGCCTGATGCTTCACTCTTGTATGATTATATTTACGTCATTTAATACTACTACTAGATATAATATAGATGTCTTCCCGCGATCTTCCATCATTTTGATATCCAGAAGTGGATTAAACTGCTTTACATAATCAAACTAAATTTATCACGTAATAAAGGTACAAGCTTAATTTTGTCTTGAAGCCCCTTTTCCAAAGGGAGGAAACAGGGAGCCAGGTTGTTGGTTTATTTTGCTGATACATCTACAGCATCGGGACGGCGGAGAGGATGGATTGCTGCGCCCCAGTGTATATATGGTACTCCGTACGAACACGAACACGAACACGCGGCCGTTAGCTGGTTTATTTACATGATAGGGAGGAAGAAAAGTCTGCAGGTTCATTTATCACTAGGGATAAGCTTGATCTGCTCAGGGGATCTCGTTTTAGGGGCACCAAAAGTATTGTACGACCTCTTACATGGTACATCCAATTGCCTGCACGGCACCTTCGTATATCCACGATGCACGAGCAGCCACGCGGCCGGATTTTAAAACAAACCTGCCTCGTGCGATGCTAAACGATTCAAAGTAAACAAGCCTACACTATATGTTTTGCAGTCGTATAGAGCAACGCAGATCGAACTGAGCAAACGCCTTATAGGGCTAAGATCTTAACCTTCCTCTAGCGATCAGAGTATCAACATCGACGATGTTTATGCTTATTTCAAAATTTGGCTTTGTATCACTGGAAAATGCTACTAACGTTCTCTCTAGCTAGTCCTTACGTCCGTAGTAATATATAATCACAGACGGGATGTATACTCCGTAGTGGAAATATCTGTGGAGCGAGCTGTTCGAACTGAGCAGGCGTTCGACAGGTTAAATGATACGCCCTATCTATCCCTGTAATCTTGGAAGAAAGGGGAAGAGGCACCACTTCAACGGCCCGGGACAGATGTGGAAAATGCCAAAGTTTTCCTCTTGCTCAATAGTGGGTATGGACATCAAGCTGTGGACAGACATTTCGTAACGTCTTTAGGTCCCCGGCGTGGACTGGCATGGATCAAAGTTATCAACAGGGATAGCTGTTTGGTCGTTATCCCTGGCATAGTTCGAAACCAGAGCTGGCTCCTTCAACGATCCAGACAATGCAGGGAACAAACTTCAGGATCTTCTTAGAGCGGATATTGCGCCTTCTCGACGTGCAGGGGACTAGGGTCAAAGGAGCCGCCGTTCGTCCCTGAAAAGTTTTCCATAGAAAATACCCGATCTACCTCCAGAGGACGGGTCACATTGTATACACGAAGTCAAGGCCGATAGCTTCCCTCGTAAAAGAGAACTAAGCGTGAAAAAGCCACGTGGATTGCTTTTTTTTCTTTTCGATGTTGCACTATTGAACTCTTCTGCCGTTTCTCTCTCTCTTGGCGGGATGAAAAGATTTGTTATGTCAACTTGGCGATACCCTCGAGCCGCTTCACACCATGAACTGGACCAAACTCACCTCAAGTTGGAGTATCAAACGAAGGTTGACGCTCACCGCTTGGGCAAAATGGAAAAACCGTCGGAACATACCGAGATTATATAATCGTATTATATAAGCTATTATATAAGCCCCCGCCGGAAAATACTTTAACCGGACTTTCCCTTTTGAGTCATGCCGGGCAGTTGGTTGATATTGCGGGATATAACAGAAGAGAGATTGATGATATTCACATTGCCATTGACGGCCAATATAAAGCTATAACGATGTCTACACCCTCAAAGAAACGCTGCGGTAAGCCTGTTCAAGCTGATGATAGAGAACTATACTAACATCTCTCCCAGGCGTCCTTGGAGCAACTGGCGCAGTGGGCACGCGATTCATCCTCCTACTCTCCCAGCACCCTCTGCTCGAATTGGTAGCGGTAGGCGCCTCAGACAGATCGTCGGGTAAAAAATACCGTGATGCTGTGCGCTGGAAGCAATCGTCCCCTATGCCCGCCCAGGTGGCAGACCTAACAATCCGCCGCTGTGCCCCCTCAGAATTCTCAGACTGTGATATTATATTCTCTGGGCTGGATCCTGATGCCGCAGGCGAGATTGAGATGGCCTTTCTCAAAGCGAACTTTGCTGTGTTTTCCAATGCGAAGAACTATCGATTGGACCCTATGGTACCTCTTGTAGTGCCCCTTGTTAATGCCGGGCATATCGATGTGATCCCCGCACAGAGGAAGCACTTTGGTCTCAACAAGGGAATGCTAGTGTGCAATTCCAATTGTGCGGTAGTAGGACTGGTTGTCCCGGCCAAGGCACTCATCCAGAAGTTTGGACCAATTGAGTCAGTGAGCATGGTCACCATGCAGGCTGTCTCGGGAGCGGGCTATCCTGGTGTCAGCAGTAAGTTTCATCATCTCTAATTACATACTGCCCTAAATCCGACAGGAGCTAATTCACTATACCAGGCATGGACATTTTTGATAATATCGTCCCTTATATCCCGGGGGAGGAAGGAAAGATATCTACCGAAGCACGCAAGATCCTAGGAGACCTAAACTCTGACCTGGCTGGATTCAGCGACCAACAACCTCTTCAGGTTTCCGTCGCATGTAACCGTGTTCCTGTACTCGATGGACACACTGTTTGCGCATCACTACGTTTCGTAAACCGACCTCCACCAACGGCGAGTCAGGTACGTGATGCACTGCGGGAGTATAAGGCAGAAGTTCAGACATTAGGATGCCCCTCTGCTCCTAAAGCAGGTATCCATGTCCTGGAAGACGTGGATCGACCACAGCCTCGTCTTGATAGGGACACCGAAGGCGGATACGCTTGCACCGTAGGCAGGATCAGGGAGGACGACAGTGGCGTCTTTGATATCCAGTTCGTTGCTCTCAGTCATAACACTGTCCTTGGGGCATCAGGTAGTAGTATATTGAATGTGAGTTTATCTCCTCTTCTACAGTGCTCGAATGGGTGAATGTTAACAATTCTATGTAATATCTACAGGCAGAGAGTGCCATTCTGAAAGGCTACATTTAGTTTTGCCCCTGGTAGGTTACTTGTTTCGACGAGCCGAGCTTCCGCTATGGTAAAATCTTGAAAAGTAGAATCCACTTGCGTCCTAGCATTCAGTTCACTTGCATTCATTCTCTGTTAATACTTTTGAGGTCATGCGTATTAACATGACTGTGTCCTGCCCATGCACCCTCCGCCCTGACATTGCAATAAGTGGCTGAAATACCACCCATGTACATAGAATTCAAACCAGGATTCGGTATGATCATATTAATGATTCCGGTAAAGGGCCAAACAACTAGGATATCGTTCCTTTCATTATACTCAAACTTTTGCCCCTGAAATTGTAACCTGAATATATATCACTATAGCCGAATGTCCGGTCAATGTCAAAAGAATATCCATCATAATAATGCTGAGTTATATGTGGATTGTATACCAATGTCAACAGCAGCAAATTTGAAGCAGAAACAGGTTATCAATTAAATTATCTTAGATTAGTTACGGAACTAAAATTCCTACATAGGTAAGAAAAGTCTTTAAAAAAGTATCATTGAATAGACACTAGACAAATTTTCATCTTATGTTTCCTATATACGGGTACAAATATAAATATATATACAAGAGAAAAGACCGGAGAGCCTGCAACCACGACTTCCGCCTGCAGAAAAGAGGCAACTTCAAGTAGCCATTATAATGTATTCCATGATACGAAGGATCGACCGTCTAGCAGCCGACGTAGATAGCTATACAGAAGTTAGTTGAGTGGGAAATATCAAGATATAGGGGTAGAGAATACATACCATTTGCGAAAAGAGCATAGGTATCAGCGTTTTGGATGGCCTTGGAGGCGGGGAGGGCAGCGACGCGGTCATAACCGTAGCCAAGATCCTGAGCGAAAGGAGATACAACAGCGGGGTTGTGGGTGAACTCGTGGAGAGTGGTAGTGGCCTGGTCCTGGCCGTGGCAGCGCTTGTTAAGAGCTGGGATATCAGAGTAGTAGATGGGGCAGTTGACAACAAGGTTCTGGGATGGGAGGGTGTATGCAAGGACACCTGGGTGGCAGCCACCCATGCTATCGTTGCAGTAGTAGGTAGTACCACCAGCAGAGTTAGAGCTAGATTCACGGGCAACGGACATGAAACGGCTGACAACCTTCTGGACAGTGCCGCTATCAGTAGCCTTGAAGTATTCCTGAAGCTTGCGGGGGTTGCTCTGAGCGGCTTTAGCGGCGGCTTGAGAAAGACGGGCAGAGTTGGCGAGGGCGGTTTGTAGGACCTGGAGTTGGTTTCCGTGGCAGCTAGAGGTGACGACTTTGGAGCGTTTATCAATGGAACCAGCCTTGACCTTGCCCATAGCCTGCACAACAGCGGCAGCCTTGTTTCCATCAACTTCCATAGTGATCTTGTTAGACTCGTAAACGGTGTGCCCGGTAATGGTGGTTCCGTGCTCCTCAGCGGTAGGAACAGTTCCCTGGGCCATAACGGTGATCTTTCCACCACGGCTCAAGTCATGCGTAGCAGCGAGGTCAAAAGAATGCTCAACGCTGGCCTTGGGGCCAAGGCTGACAAAATAGTCAGGGGTGAGGTTAGACATCATGTAGCGAGGAAGCATTCCAGTAAACTGAACCTCAGCGCCTGTTTCTAGTTAGTAAATATTGTAGAAGCAGTTGCTTCAAGGAAAGCTGTGATTGGCTTACCATTCTGGTAGACCATAACCTTGCGGGTTGGGTGTTCATCCATGATGGTGTTGAACCTTAACAAGTTCAAGGCACGGTCACCATTGTTAGTGATAGTAGCCTTGACCATAGAGTTTCCAGCAGCGGACAGCTTAACATCGATCATGGAATGGTTTAGGGGAACACTTGGGATAGTTGCAGCAAAGGCCACAGGGACGCCGAGAGCGGCGAGAAAAGCAATGAGTTGCATCTCAGGCTTTGGAAACGCAAAGGATGGAAAAATAAATCAAAAATGAGAGAATGTAGAAAAGAGAAGAGAAATAAAGGAGTGAAAAGGCTGTCTGGTCTGGTTCTTCAAAAGGGTATCATGATGGTGAGAGCCTGCTTTATATATCTTCTCAAGGAGTGCATATTATTGTCTTTCAGTGATATCCTGCAGAAATTTGATAAAGCTATACACGGTTAGACTAAAACCTGTATCAAACATGCTTCAGCGAGCCCCCTGGAATGATATCATACCCGAGGTGCTGGATAGTTTGTTTTGGGAACGGACGATACGGTACTCCGTAGAGAGAGTATGAATCGCTCTTTCACACACATACATGTTTATTGCGCAAATATGATCCACTCGTATCTAATCACTGGGTAAAGTGACTAGTCACAGAAGGCTACTATGATAGCCAACACGTGAGCGAATACCGGTCTCCGAAAGCTTGCGAGCGAAATTCTATATGGTGATCCTATTCTAGCCGAGGCACAGGGCAGCTGATGATGTTTATGATCCGCGCAAATGCAGATCCAAACACCTCTCAGGCCAGGCAGATACTATGTATCTGTTGCAGCTTCGCATAACGCGATCTTCTTCGGGGGCAAGCCACCATTCTGGGCGAGCTCAATGAACAGTTGAGCGGTTGCAAACAATGGATGGAAACTCGCGTAATTACCCCTTGATTCCAGCTTGACCCTAGTCAGTTTCTGGCGAAAAAGCAAGAGCTGTCAGAGAACAAAAGTGTCCCGTTCGGAGAACGTCTAACCAGTCCTTATCCACTCGGACTTAGTATATCCCATCTCCCCTACCGAATGCTGGCCATGAGGTTGCATCTACAATTTCATACCTGTTCTAGATTTGCACGTTCTCACATTCGGATCCATGTAACTTATGAAAGGGCGAGCTAAGCATACTGCAACTCGTTAGTGATCTTCTCCGCATAAATGGAGCCATGCAGGGTCAGAGCTGAGCATTGTTAGCGGAATATATAGCTCATAGATCAGCTTGACATAACAGAGCCAAAGAAACGGGCGAACAACCACTAGCCTGAAGAGTTGCGCGGATGACTTCCACGCATTCGGTGATTCGTTGAGTTGAGGGAGGGGTGGGATCATGAAGAGATGTATGTATTCCATTCCCCGTCATCGCTCTCTCTGAATGACATTCGAAAAGAGCTGTACCCTTAGGCCGCTGGTTCATCATGTGAGGTAGATTGCAACCCCAGAATTATGATACCAGGATGCCCAGGTACCCTATCCAATATTGCCCTGGCAGTTCGAAGAGTAGAACTTGATTCACTGCCATATACGTAGTATGCATAGTTCATGTGCCGGTGTAGTAACCGAAATCAGGTTTCGGGGTTAGCAAATGGCAGTGCGTGTGGGGTGTTTTCCCCCATGTTCACTTGAAATAATAAAATTGTAAGACGTAAGATATATGTGTACATAGTAGGTTCGCTGTATTATTCCAAGACACGGGAGAGCAGCATTGGAATGTTTTTTCCGGCTTCAACAGCTTGGTAGTCGGTATGTTCCGTAATTAAACCGTGAAATGTTAAAATCTTCCGTTGAAACGGATGCAGCAGACATAAAACACCTTTTTGGCTCCTGGCTAAATTCGCAATTCATTATCTTCTCTTGCTGCTGAATGTAAACCTTATCAGCCGTTGTAATGCCAGACGAGGCTACATAGTCAATCTCAAGCTGAATACAGCTTGAAACTCCCAATATGCCCATGGGAATGCCATGGGATACGGAGTATTCCGAAGTGGCTCTGATTCTATGCCTCTGAATCTAGTATTGTCGTGTATACCTTCTTTAACAAACTGGTATCAATGTCCACCGTCACTCCGTCACTCTTGGGGAATGAAACTCATATACCTCCACTTAATGCGGCTCTGTGAATCAACGAAGGCACAGAAAGGCCGGGTGGTAGATAAACAATGTGCTAATGCATGCACGCAGTGTGGTCTAAAGATTGGCTGGAGGTCGCACATTCGATCACATTTAGTCCAAAGATGGTGCCCCAGCTCCATCCTCTGAGATGAGTCTGGTTTGAAGAAAAGTGGGGAGCAGGGATAAGGCCATTTGCGCAGTCGTTTGAGGTTGTAAAGCCCTGACAGTAGCGAGTGTCATGTTTGTAGTTTTCTTTCTTCGAAATACGGAATAATTACAAAATCGAAGGCCAGTGGAATCTTGGATTCTTTTGTTATTCATTCAAATGAGAGTTTTTCCTCAATGTGATGTTGCGGAAAGCTGAAAACTGGCAGCTTCAGGAGTTGAAGCTGGATGAAGTTGAAGTTAGCGTTTCCCCTTTTAGATCAGCGGTTAACTAGTTAGTCAGTTGGATGACTAAGCTCAGAGTAAATATCCAGCAAGAACTCTTCTTCATACTTCTCCAAGATAGTTTTAGACGGCCGGTCGAACAAGTCTTACAAACCCTGAAACAGATACCATATGAGCCTTATTATAAGATACGCTACGCCCATTCGAGCGCTTGTGGCACCTCTCAAAACCTGACAATTCGTGGAAATGGCATCAATGGCAAGACAGAGCTCTCCCTTGCCAACGATATACACCTAGAATACTCCGCGCTCATTAGGAATGAGGATACCAGCAGTCTTGCAATTATTGTGTTCTGTATACTCTTTACTATGTACGACACCAATATCATTTAATAACTATACCAGAAGAAACATATATATGACCATGGGGAACTGTTGTTTCTAAGCCTACAGCTTGGAATAAAGCAAGTACTGGAAACGTGCAATGCTCGCACGTACAGCCGACAGACGCGAGACACCTTAACATTCGATGTGACCAAAGCAAGCAGACTTACCACGCAAAAGAACCGTGGAAGTGCGATATTATAAGACTGGAGTTTTCACCCCGTACGAGTACGGAGCATCTAATTTTCTATTTCTTCATGAGCCTAGAAACCAGAGGGGATCAATCAGTACGCTATATATTTGTTATTCAAGAAGGGAACGAGGGGAGGACAACGCTAACTGTTAGCCCTCTTAGCATAGTCTTGAATAGAAATATGGATAGCACTTTCCAAGACATCTGTCCGATGACAGCAGCTTCCTGGTGCAATAAGTGCTCAGCCTTGCACCCGTCTTGTGAACTCATTACAGGTAGGGAGATATGGTACCAGGCAATGACCACTATCAGCACGTCTAAGTGCCGATACACACGACCTTCAGAGCATACACTTGATATCACCGGTTCCTCTCCATGTTTTCAAGAATCAGACCTAGCCAATTTTCTGACAGGCAGCTGTTATCGCACAAACTAAGTCCCATGGTCAATGTGAAATCTAGCGCTCGAGATTATTTATTACATTGAAGTACCATGGTCGTGCTCTTTTTAATATGTCTAAGCACGTTTCGCAACGTCCATTGACCTTCAAAGACAAAACTAAGCATCAAATCAATCAGGCAAGGAGAAATTGCTGCGGTCCTAAGGAAACCGCATGGCCACTGGTCACACCTTCGTGCCTTGCAAGGAATCTGGGGAAGAAATTGGGCAGGGCTAGCGACGTCAGACGACATAAACACTGCCTGGATTCATGATGTAAACATGTCTCTGGGGTTCAATTAACGACAGGTAGGAGATAGACGCTCTTATTTATCATGAAAAGAATGAGAGGGAGGATAAACGAACATATGCGTTTTCGGTCGCGCGAATTTGCCTTTGGGGAAAGCAACTCGACATGGATAGAAGAAGTGTAAGGACGGGTTATTGAAGCCGGTCTCTCAAAAAATTAATGAAGTTCCTCAGTCCATGCAGGCAACCATGCAGCCTGACAGGTCTCAAAAAGCAACCCACCAAATTACCCAAATGCTAACCCTTTCGCCTATCTAAAGTAAAGCTTTTACACTTTGGGATACTCTCTGTTCCGTACAGTATACATAGTAGCCGCTACAGAGTACTATGTACTCTGCATATATCTTCCTCCACCACCTAGGCATAAGGGCATATCTATCTCACTCCCTAAAGAATAGCCCTAACCCCCGAAGCCAGTATGTATCCAAAATGCAAGGGCTTTACCCTATTAGGCTAGGCTGACAAAAAGGGTGACATCCAAGCAGTTACTATATGCAGGCACAAAACAACCCCCTACCTCACCCCTGAGCTTCGACCCCTATATAAATATATTATCTTGACAGAAGGAAGGTATAATAAATTGTTCCCTCTTGAATACTTCATACAAAAGACTCGAACCTGAACGACAAAAGCTGGTTTCTTTGTGATATCCAGTGGTCAAAGTGCTTACATGTAAACCTCCTAAGCGATAACTAGGCGTATACAGAGCCCATTTCCGGTTAGAGCGGTGGATGAGACTAGTACTTCAGTCTCATTATTTTGCCTTCTTATCCCAGGAACCAACCCTGGTCGTGTCCACGCCCAAGAAAACGCTATACATAGTATGGAAGTGATGGTACGCATAGCAGCATGGGACAGCAAGTTGGTGTCAACTCCAACAGGCATAAGAAGTGGTTGAGAGGGATGGAAGTACCAATGCCAATAGGAGTTAGTTGTCAGTAGAGACATCAAGGAGAGCCAACGCATCTGACTCGCGCATCAATTCACTAGGCCAACATCTCTGCAATGATAGAAGATGTTATACGAAGGACTTCTTCTCCGACAAGAGAACAAAGATAAAAACAGTGTTAAAGGATAGCGGCTTCTTATCGGTGAGACTGTCGTCCCTGATTTTCGCGAATTCGACCGACTTCGCCGACTTCGCTCACCGGCCACTATCAACTGCCCCATCGCGAAAACGTGGAGAAAGAGGGCTAAATATCCATGCAGATTAGTTTCACGCTATATACAAACCCGGTAGGCAGTTAACAGAGGAAACGTCTCGTATCCGCAGATTCTGCACAACTACGACCACGCACCAGGCTTTTCAAGGCAACATTTGACAAACAACATCACTCCCACAACCTGTCAAGGGGGGGATGATCTCACTCTGGTCCACCTCGCTTATATTTAGACCTTCTTTTTCCACGGAGCCCGGAGTTTACCATGGATAAACAATGTGCTTGCTGATCCCGAGCCCTGTCACAACTTTAGTGCAGACCCTTATGCAAGGTACTGAACCGGCATGGGCCCTTGCAAAGCAGCATTTTCACCTTGCGTCTACATAGTATGCTATTTCGAGCAGTTCGTTTCCTTGCATCCGCTCAGCCCCGGATAGTGTTAGTTGGTGCATAATCGCCATTCCCCATTTTCCAATTCTACAACCAACACTCCATACACGAGAAGGTCATCTGCTGCCAGCTATATACATAGCTATCTGTAATAGTTAATAGGAGATAAGGATTTTGACCAAATCCCCTGTTAGTACTAGGCCTGGATTAGCGTAAAACCAGCAACAATTCTCCTCTCTGTCCGCGATGGGATTATCAGAACAACTGATTTTGCTTGGGTGGAAGGCTCGAACAACCTGAAATGTATATTCTGCTGTCCCCGCACATTAGTTTCAGGCAGGAAAAAACAACCTGTTGGTCACGCGGCAGCCAATTGTATATATCTGACCCTCTACGGAGTACAGTCTGGACGCCTTATGCATGGAAAATACCCCGGTCGTGATCTTTAACTCTCGTTTATAGATGTATGTATGGTCGTATATGTATGGCACAGGCAATGAGCAAACGACAGGCAGCTTCCACATTTCTTATCCCCACGAGACTCTCTATTCCCCCTAAACCCTCATCCCCTCGATACCAAACCACGGATGATTCACTAGCTCTTTCATCGACGTACGGCTTGATGGGTCAGCCTTTAGCATTTTTCGAATCATGTCAATCATGAGACGCGTATTTCCTCCCACAACGGCTGTGGTATGGCTGTGGGTCGATATTCAGTGCAGTGTCGCGAATTCTATCCCATTCCTCGTCCCGCGCTGGATTCGAGGCCGCTGCATGAACTGTTAGTCAGCGTTTGTCCACCTCTCTATCAAAAAGGATTATTAAGAATATACTTGGATCGAGTACGAACCTCCAACATGTTTACTGTCTATGTAAGGCAGCCACGAGGTAGGCAACGGTCCTCCGCATTTGGCCACGTTAGATAGCAAGACGTCTTTGTCACCCCATAGATAAAAGAAGGCCTTGCCCCAAATCATGTCGTAGGCCTGGAGTAGTAAAGGTGTTAGAGTTTACAGGACGGGGTATAGAGGCTCAATGGAGTACATACTGTGCAGCCCATGGACCAGATGTCCCCCTGGATCCCCCAATCTGATGCGGCTTCCCCTTGGATCGTTGCCAAATCTCAATTTCTGGAGCTCGGATATACGGCGGTGACTCTGGCGGAGGTCTTGGATCCCCTCGTCGGAAGGCTAGATGAGTTAGCATATTAAGTTGATCTGTAACATGGAAGGACAAAGTACTGAAAGGTCAGGTGCTAACCATTTCCAAAGTCAATGGTCTTGACGCATAACTCGTCGCTCTTTGAGGCGCGGATGTCCTTTATTACCAGCTCTACTAGATTTATTGGAGGAAGCACGTAAGGGGGCAACGAATCCGTCTGGTTCGTTGGGTCTACAGTCAGAAGAACTGTTGCCTCCATGCCGCTGAAGAAATTCAACAGTTCAGCTTCACCATGTTTATGTAGACTAGGAAGCGCTAAGGCGAAGTTTCCTAGGTGGAGGTCTGCCAGGTATTATTTCAGTAAGAAAAACATGTAAGGCCATGGTAGTTAGGAGAGAAGGGGAATGATCATACCTCCATGCATGACACCCGAGCTGTGCAAGTACGACAGCCCAGTAAACACTTGTTGAAGGAAGCTCTTGACGTGGGAATTAAGAACATCGCTGGCATTCAATTGCATCCAGAAAAGGGACGCCACAGGCTCCATCACCAAGACATCATGCGCGCCATTTGGCCCCTTTACTTGAAAGGTATCGAGTACATGTGCAATATGACGGTATCCGGGATGTTCCTTCGACTGGTCTCTCAGCCAGGTCAGCAAGTGTGCCTCATTCCGGCTGGCGGTTGCATCCGCTGTAAGAATCTTCAGAGCCACATAGTGCCTATAAGTCGCCGTTAACATTGCAAGAAATAGAACATGTTACACAACAAAAGTGACGCCGTATACACGCCCTGTGGGTTCATCCTTTGCAAGCCAAACAGTTGCAAAGGATCCATGTCCAAGCTTGCCAATGACCCTATACTTCAAGTTCCGGTTGTTTCGAAAGACATCGCCGAGCTTGACTGGGTGGTATCCGCCTGGTTTATACATGCAGACGTTTTCGACTTCTTCCTGAGGAACAAAATGGAAATTTTGGATCGGCCGCATTGCGGCAGGGATTCTGGGGAGCGTCGACATCTGGTGCGAGAATAAGGCGGCCGAGGAGATATAATACCGAGAGAATACCTAGCTATGGAAGTAAGAAGTGAGGATGCGATAGGCATTTATCAAGGTGTCATCGAATGATGATTGGTTGAATAAGTTTGAACATGTACAAGGGTGTATAGTAAGCTTAAAGAGCTTTCTCTAGATATATTATATATAATCTAGTATTAAGCATATATTTAATATAAGCTATAGAATAGACTTGATAGTTTCTAGAGATTCATGCAGCGGTCGCCCGGGTATCATGAAGAGGGTGATCGGGGGCGAAGGGGAGGACGGGGTTATCACGGCGATGCTCTCGCACTCATCCTGCGCGTATCTCCCGACAGCTACCTAGGCAGTTGAAGAGGTTTCAGCTGGCCGGTATGGAGACCTAGTCAAAAGGGGAATGTCAGTACGAACAAGGAAAAAAGGCCCAGCCTCTCGGCCTCGGGTTTGTTTCTCTCTGCTGCAAGAGCTCTGCACATCGATGTTTCATCGACTTATTCTCCCTCCCGTCGTCCCTTTTTCTCGAATCGTCCATAACGATTGTCGCTGGCGCCGCCACTCCGATCCGGGTGTTGTCATAATTTATCAGCCTTGTCCCTGATAGTCGCCATCGGGGGCTCCAGCCAACCAGAAAATTCAACGGAAATCCTCTCGGTTAATTCTGGTTGGGTGAAGCACATAAACATCTGCGTGGATGGCGGCGGAACCTAAAGTTGAGGATCGACTTCCAAGCTCTTTCGTGCAGCTCACGACTCGAAAATCTCGTTTTCTGAAACGTTTCGAACGTTTCCACCTTTCTTAACGGAGTACGGGGTACTCTGTATCTCTGTCTTACTGCCTACTGTTGGAAAGGGAAAGATGTTCTCACGTTGAAGCAGCTCCTGACAAAATGCTCCATCGTGGTGGGTGCCTTGCAGTGAGTTCGGCGGTGGCAATTAGACCTGCAGTACAACCACCCAGCCCTGCCCCTGCAAGCTGCGGGCTTGTTCCTGACTAGTGATCAGTGATCCAGGAACAGAAAGTCTTTAGTCTTTTCGCTTCCAATGGAGTTGCTGCTGGCCAGCGGCCCTTGGTCCTCTGCTCGTCCGGCCGAGACATCCACCCCCGCTCTCATCTTCGATCGCGAGGATCGAACACGTTCAATTTGATATCCCACTCCAAAAGGGGGATTACTCCATATCGCGCAATTGAGCTCGATTTGCAATATGATGCAATGCTTATTACCCTACCATTTCTTGGAACGAGCCGGTATAATGGGCCGCCAAGGGATTGGATGGAGAGCCTGGGACCAGGAATACGGGAAGAGCTCGCGAAATTGTGGTGTGGTGGCCATCCAGGTTATGCATCTAAAGTTGTCCAAGCACCGCAAGGAGGGACTCAATGTCCGAAAGACGCACTAGCATTCCCCTTGCATTTTGACGAAAGAAGATGGCTCTGACCCTCAGTCGATCGATCCAGGCGGAGCCTGATCCTCTCTATCTCTAACGGACGATGTACTCGTGCCTTGTCCGGTCGAACAGGGTAAAGTCCGGGGCTAGTCTGAGATATATAATCCCAAAGGGCATCCCTTGCTATCTCTTTCTATATAACAGCCATCTCGATGTTATAGGCCTTCAGCTCTCTTGTCTATAGCACTTGCATTCGTTTCTGGCACATATACTACACACTCGTTATTCGCGTTCGTTGATCGATACGACACACTCCATTCTTTTATACATAGTGTCAAGCATTGCACATATTTCACACAGCCATCATGCTGTTCCGACTATATACACTCATTGTCGCCGTCGCACTTGTATGCTGCGTGGCAGCTATTCCGCTGCAAGGGGAACAAGCCAGTTCCATCAGTGAACGCAGCCCTAATGGATGGCCATGGCGTCGTCCACACTGGCCCCGGCCACGGCCACATTGGCCGAAACCACACTGGCCTAAACCACACTGGCCAAAGCCACATTGGCCAAAGCCGACCGAGGCTCCGACCATGACTCCAGTTCCCACAGCCGTCCCTTCAAGCGAACCACCAGTCACCACTCCAACCGCGGTTCCAACCGATGTTCCAACCGATGTTCCAACCACTTTCCCAACAATGACTCCAACTGCGGATCCAACCGTGGCTCCAACCGGCACTTCTGCCCCTACTTCAGTACCAACCACTGTGCCACCAGGTCCAGGCAACATTCCCTATGGCCAGGTCATCTCGAACTGTGTTGTCAATGGCACCATTGCCATCTCCTTCGACGATGGTCCATTTGACTATACCGCACCGCTTCTAGATCTCCTCGACCAATACGGCGCCAAGGGAACCTTCTTCGTCAACGCAATGAACTTTGGCAACATCAAGGATTATGCTGATGTCATTAAGCGCATGTACACTAGCGGCCACCACCTTGGCTCCCACACGTAAGTATATCCAACAGAGATCTTCAGTTCTTACACTCAATTGTTAACAATCTTCACAGTTACTCCCATGCCGATCTGGGTAAGCTCAGCGCCGCTAACGTTACAAATGAGATGAACATGCTTGATAGCATTCTTGCTACCATCATTGACGGTAACCGACCAACTTATATGCGTGCCCCATACTTCTCATACAGCGACGTCGCCCTCAAGACCCTGGGTGAGCTCCAGTACCATGTGATCGACGCTAGCATTGACACCAAGGATTACGAGCATGCCACCCCAGATGGTGTCCCAATCAGTCTCCAAAACTTCAAGCAGGGGCTTAACGCTGGTGGCAGCATTACTCTTTGCCACGACGTGCACCAGACCACTGTCGAGCTCTTGGTGAAGCAGATCCTGGACGAGGTCAAGGCCAGAGGCCTGAGAGGTATGTTACTACCCATATTCCGTCCCTGGTTGGATGTTCCACGCTAACATTGTGGTATTTTAGCCGTCACTGTTGGTGAGTGCTTGGGCGACCCACAGGCCAACTGGTACCGTCCATTGTAAATACCTCCGTTACTCTGGAGTTAGCCTCTTAATGTGATAGCAGAGAAGGCTCTTCTGTGGTGACACTGCTGAAGAAGGGCATGGAATGCACTCTTAATATACCCGGAGTACTTTGGATCATCCTCGCAGTGCACTTCAGCTCAGGGAAGAGGCGTGGCTTCAGCGAGGTCAAACGCTCAGATTACCGCTCTGCTCGATGCGTTGGGTAATCGCCCAGAGTCATGAACCCCCAAAAATTGTCTTATGCACATTCTTTAATATATATCACACCTATATAATTGCTATTGTTAGTATATTGAGAACTCTGGAAGCTTTTTGCACCGATTTGGCAGCGTCCTTTCCGTACGAGCTATTCCGCGCCGTCGATATAACTACTAGAAACATGATTAAGAAGCATTGGGATAGTTATGATGAAGTTCAGTTAATGTAAAGCCTACTTACGTACCAAGCATCTTATGTTGGATTAGTCATCCGTTCGACTCTACGACTCGCACCTTATCACTCATGTTTCCATGGGGCAGATAGGCCTTTTTTGTCCCGTGGTCTCATGGCCCGGTCCCGACATCTTACCTTAGCTTCTTTAATAGATTACTAATACTTCCCCAGCTGATGCAGGGTTTGCTTATGTAAGAAGAGAGCTAATCGGATTTACATAGGCCCGTAACTATATTTTGCCCGGAATGACCTCCGCCCAGAACCTGGAAGGCAGCGAAAGACTGCGGCGCACCAACATCCTCAATTGAAACCGGCCACACAGCCCACAATGGAGCGGTTGATATCATTATGTGTCCGACCGGCCGTGGGCATTCGCGCCGCAACCGCTATTAGAAGAACGGCCGGCAACTCCTGGTGCCGAATCCCAACTCGAGGGTTTGCCAGTCAAATTCCACCAGGACAACAATCAGCTCCAACCGCCACACGGAGCTTAAGATGGGATACCAAAAATACATCTACGATGTAAGTGGATAGCTGTAACCTAGTGAAAGCTCGTATATTGATAGCTTTTCTTTTTTAGGTACTATACAATTAGCATTATCATCGGGACGCTTGCCGTTGCATATGGCTCGGTCCCGATGTATAAGATGGTTAGAAGGCTTTTCCTTGCCCACTTTCAACCATTGATATTGCTTCCGTGCTCATAAAGCCCTTCCAGATATGTCAACAAACCGGCTGGAACGGCCAGCCTGTTTCAACGCATCTTACAAACACCGATACCTCCTCCCGCGTCATACCGGTCACGGACTCCCGCCGCCTTCGGATAACGTTCAACGCATCCGTGTCAGACGTGTTGCCTTGGAAATTCACTCCTCAACAGCGTGAAGTGCGTGTCCTTCCGGGTGAAACTGCGTTAGCCTTTTACACCGCGTCGAATAAAGGTGACCAGGATATTATTGGTGTTGCAACATACAGTGTAACTCCAGCTCAGGTTTCGCCTTATTTCAGCAAGATCCAGTGTTTCTGCTTTGAAGAACAGAGACTGAATGCTGGAGAAACCGTTGATATGCCTGTTTTCTTCTTTATTGATCCGGATTTTGCCAAAGACCCTGCCATGAAGGGGATTGATACCATCACGTTATCATATACCTTTTTCAGTAAGTACTCTGCCATTTTATGCATCTGCTGTATATCGTACCTTACGTGCTAACCGGGTATTCCTCTTTACAGAAGCCCGATATGATAAAGATGGTGTTTTACGGCCAACACCCTAGTTATCCGCATACTATAATAACGCAGTTACTTCGATACCACTTGATCTAAGACGCCCCATAGCTGTTGCTAGGTATGCTTCTGGAAACATAACTTCAGCTCTTCAGCAGTCTATGGGGTTATTTTTTGCATCTTTGGCGTTTGGTTAAAGGGTCTCCTCTCACGGTATAAACAAATCCCGGAACAGGGTGTGTATATTTATATGTGTAAATAAAGCTATCAGAATAAGCTAGTCTCAACTTGATACAATACTTCTTAGAGCTCTGGGCCAGAAAGGTTCTCCTTTATGGGCAAAGACTCCGATGTGGATGACAAGTATTTCACCTTACTCAGATTAAATCACCCGTTCCATGTATCGCACTACGGCTGTTGAAATTGAACATACGGCTTATTCCAAATTGATGCACAATCTGTATTTCCAGCAGTTGGTTAATAAGCTATACGCCCACCAAGTCCAAAGGCGAGTCACACTGACTGCCTTGTAATGATAATTAATGCGAGAAAATAACCTGTCCCTCGTCTCGGGGGTACTCGAATATGTTTAGTATGTCCTCCGATTGAAGTTCAGACAGCCTCCCATATATCTGAGGAGCTGTAAGGGGCCAGTCCTGTTTGAATGTTGACAACACCAGATCTAAGAGCTGTTGCAAGGTTGTGGGTTGGTTGATATGGCCGCAACGATCAGCCGCGTGTTCCAGTATTCCGAGCCGTTAAACATGCGCGTAGTTTTCTCTTTCGTCAGCGTCATGACCGGCATGGATTGAGAGCAAATCGAATTCTAGATCAAACAGGGTTATGGCGATCCACAAAGTTATTAGACTCTGTAAGAAGACGAGCACATTTTTGCTCGTGAGATCTGTTCACGGTCAATAGCTCTACTGTATAACAGAGCTTGGGCGAAGAGTTAGCAATATGCAGGGCGAGTTCAAGCCTCAAACAGCAAGTATAGTTCAAAAAACGAAGCCCCGATGTCACCGATGTCTCTCGCCACTTTCGGACGTCATGAGCTTTCTATCACCTTGAAAACCGGACTCAAGGCGACATAGCCATGAAAAAAGCATTTAACAGGCTAGTCAACTTGACTGCAGTTAGCCGAATTCCTCGATCACACCTGGTTCTCCATGGAATTATTGACCCGCTGTATCGCCTCCTCTTGAAAGAGTTATTGTGTCACTATCAGTGCCGAACCAACCAAGGTAAAAGAAAGCATTGGTGTTTCACCTGAACGATATTTGCCCATCGAAACCAAGGCATGTGGATGATATCCCTGACAAGATAGCTATTCTCAAGATTCCTTGCTTCTGGTAGAAACGAATAATTGCTTTAATAAAATATAACACCACTCCGCCGTGAGCCACGGTGTGTTCCCTTTAACGCTGATTTGGGCCCACACTACGACTGGAAACACTGGCGAGGATTGATTTTTGATAGCCATACTGCCTTCGTAAGTATCATTCGTTAACTCATTGTATTTTCGGATCCTATCGACATCGTTCCTGTTTTTTAACTGTTTGAATGCTGGTTCTATTCCCAAAATAGTGATTTAAGTATCTATCCCGCTTAGATCGTTATCCTTGAGCAAAGCTTTAAAAAAAAGGGTATTCGTTTGGGAAATCGGTTTGGGTGGATCGAGTACTTTCTTTTTAAGAAATTCATCCGAAAAGCAGACATAGCTGCAAGTTATTGGCAACCTAATATGCTTCAGTTGCAACCTGGATATCTTTTATAATGCACCCTTTCCAGTTCTCCTGGCAGAGTTATAAATTGAGAATTTGAGATCGAGAAGTGGATTTAATTGCCTGAGTCTCTTTAAGAGTTTCAGCGGCTTTCTGGTGAATTTGATGATGTACATGCGATACCGCCATCATTATCGGTTCACCAGCATCCAAGTATAGAATGTCGAGGCTCCTCTATTACTGTAGTCCTATTGATCTGCTGTTTGACAAGGTGAAATGGCGGGTCTCTGCTTGTAAAAAGGCGCGGATTATGTCTCCGTCTCTTTGAATATCTAATATCGCAAGAGAATATAGTGCTGAACCTGTCGGCTCGGTGTGTGTCTATTTAGAGCTCAGCCTTTGCATAGCGTTTAGAAGTTTGCTTCCCTTGGGAAGTTAAATTCTTAATCCATCTCCTGCATTTCCAACTGTGCTAGGAATTATTTCCGTTCTTGACGGGTAGGTACACACGTGTTAATCTCATAATCAAGTATTAATCCGTCAACAGGTGTTCTAAAACATCTGGCCTGGATCGGTCGCCTATTCTATTGTGGCTTTTCGCGGCTGTGTTATCAGAGTATAGTGTTCAGCAGGTATCGCAGTTTTGGATGCCCGTCAAATAGCCTTGTTTCCCTAGTTATCTTTTTGTAGTGAGAATCAAGGGCATATATTAAATATTCTGTGGTCACCAGACGACGTATTGACCTCAGTCTCTGTGATATCATGCTTGCAGCCGTCGGACTACCGCAATATAATATAGAAAGAAATATAGACGATATCTATGGCTGTATCGTTATATCTTATGTCCCAAGCCACGGACAAGTCCCGGGAAGTCCTACTGCTTCCGTTGAACCAGACTAAGACTCCTCTGTATTAAGTATAGATATGCCATAAGGGTAAGAAATCTAAAAGTTAATATATGTCTAAGCCGTAAGACACTCTTTCAGAGGGAGAAAGAAGAAACAGGAATCATAGAAATGGCGCTGGCAAGACGCCTTATTTGTAGTCCCAGTGCCCAAAGGATAGAACATGGAATAAAGGGCGGAATTCACTAGAAATCCAAGTACACTGACATTTACCATTCATGGTATTATTCACTCACGCTGTAAGATCCAAATTCACAGCAACTTTGAGTGAAAGTCAATGTTAGCTTAACCATGCCATGGTATTTTATACCTTCTCGAACTATTCTCAGAAATGGCCACTTAAAAATGTAGGTAGTTGGAGAGACTAGAAATATAATAGTACCATGATGGATCATGTACCAAACATATTCAAGCTCCCCTGTATAAAATGATGGATAGTCAATGCCTCCATGTAGTATGTTTTGTTTGAATGAAGTTGAAGTTGAAGTTGACAATCGCGTGCTTACTCAGCATCTACGCACGAACCCAGTGTTAAATAGGAATCGCGTTCTTTTGACGCGTTTGAAGCTTTCTTTGACATCAAGATACATAATATATAATATTCACCACGAAGAACTCGCCCATTAAACTATTACCACACCTACAATGGCACTTCTCGTTGACAGGCTCCGGCCTAAAACCCTCGATGCGCTTACGTATCACCACGATCTTTCAGCTCGCCTCAAAGCTCTGGTATGCCACCTTTTGAACTTTCTAGATTTGCATACCTGACCTGGCAATAGGCACAAAGCGGCGATTTCCCTCATCTCCTCGTCTATGGACCATCTGGTGCGGGAAAGAAGACTCGAATAATTGCTACGCTCAAGGAACTATATGGCCCCGGTGTCGAGAAAATTAAGATAGATGCCCGCGTCTTTCAAACCAGCAGTAACCGGAAGCTTGAATTTAACATTGTCTCCTCCATATACCACCTTGAACTGACACCGTCGGATGTGGGTAATTATGATCGAGTTGTCGTTCAGGAACTATTAAAAGAAATTGCGCAAACACAGCAGGTCGACCAGTCTGCCAAACAAAGGTTCAAAGTTGTCGTTATCAATGAGGCAGACCATCTTACCAGAGATGCGCAAGCGGCACTTAGGAGGACAATGGAGAAATACAGCCCCAACATGCGGTTGATACTGCTTGCAAACACTACCGCTAACATAATTGCCCCAATTCGGTCGAGAACACTGCTGGTTCGGGTTGCTGCTCCATCAGAGGATGACATCTGCCAGGCGCTGAAGCTTGCGGGGAAGAAAGAGGGCTGGAATGACTGCCCGGGGCTCAACAAACGGCTAGCTAAGGAGAGTGGAAGGAATCTACGCCGAGCCCTATTAATGTTTGAAGCTGTTCATGCACAAAAGTGGGTTACTAGTTCTATTGTACCTATGGTTCAAATGCTAACTATCTTTTAGCGATAAAGTTTCGGATAATACACCAATCCCTCCGCCAGATTGGGAGGCGTTGATAGCCTTGATAGCTGACGAAATCATGGCTGAAAGGTCTCCCGCTAGAATACTTCAAGTGAGAGCTAGGCTATACGACCTACTAACCCATTGTATTCCGCCAACCACTATTCTAAAGGTAAGAACTGCAATATCCAAATGCCATATTTCTCCCCAACGACTCGAAACTGGTTGCTAACTACACTAGACTCTTACGTTCAAACTAATACCTAAAATTGATGATGCTTTAAAACCTGAAGTCATTAAATGGTCTGCTTTCTATGACATAGGATAAAACTTGGAAGTGTACGTTATATCCGGTTAACGCTCTCGACCGCAACACTAACATACCTTGGTTGTTTAGAAAGTTATCTTCCATCTTGAAGCCTTTGTAGCGAAGTTTATGAGAATACTTGAAAGGTACTGATTGCTAACGACATTTTGGCTTGGTGACAATTACTAACTATGAATAGTTATATGATGGGTCTTGATTTTTAAGCGGTAAAAATTGGATGGGCGGTATTGTTACTTTGTCATGGAGAATACATGTAATAAAATGTCTAGTCGTTCTTCATTGTGAAATTGGAGAGATATATAGATGGTATGTGGTAACGCGCGTAATGGCATTTCTGAGTGACCGGCCTCATTATCTCAAGATTACCGAGATAGTAACAAAGGATAGAAGAGAGAAAAGCTCTATACCTTGACAAAAGTCTAAATTACAACTAATGTACATCTAACGCCATGATTCCGAGAATATCAGTCTTATGGAGGAGCCGGTTCAGATTTCGCTGCGGGTTTCGAATTGAGCGGAACTGCTCGTCGAGGTCTTTTCAGGGACTCCAGGGTAACGCCGTCTTTTAACTTAGTAATTCCAACAACGGGCGGGTCACCTTTCTTTACAAATTCGTACATTCCTATCGGTGAAAAAGCGTTAGCTTTAGATCATGGGTTGCAAACTCGAATCTCCAAAAGGTTAACGCACCAGGCATCTTGTGGGCAGCTAGCCTAAATGCCTCCCTAGCAACCTTCTCGTGTATATCACCTTTCAATTCGAAAATAACCCGACTAACTCCAACCCTCGCTGCCCAATAATCAAATTTACCCTTTCCTTTTCCCATCCGCATTTCATTACCACTCGTATAGACACCAATGTTAGCGCTGATCCGGGGATATAGCTTATAATTCATCCCTCTCAGACGTCTCTGAATTGCTTCATAGCCAATCTTTAACGACGAGGCAGGCATTCTTCGGTCATGGTCAACCATTCGCAGCCCATAATCACCCCAGACAACTGTTGTACCGCGAGAAGAGCCACCTGTGGCCATATGGGGCCGCCCCTTTGTTGATTTACTTTTCTCCGCCATTTTGGGAACAAGCCAGCTGGATGCTGGGGAAGTTGTGGAAAAACATCGTACGGCAGAGGTAGTTATCGAGGATACTTGGAAGTGTTAGTCGGGTGCCACGGAAAACAGGATGAAAAAAGGGCATACTAACTCCTCCATGGAATTGAAAATATCCCAGACGGGGCAAATGCTCTTGATGACGGCTTCATAATGTGAGCGAGCTGGACATCGGCGTCGAATGCTTGTCTCTTCTTTTTCTCTCTTCATTTGCGCATCAAAGCAGAAGTTGCAGCAAGATTATGTAATCATTAATTACTTAATCAAATTACATCACGTGTTTTGGCGCGTCTTGAGGAAACGCCAATCCAAAGTGGACGTGTTTCTCTCTTTTGCTGGTAAATGGGACTTTTGGACGGCACACATTGAGTGCCAAAGCAGCATCTCTGGGGCAGCTTTTGTTTGTTGCTGTGATAGACAAGATGGCACCAGATATCAGAAACTTTTTTGGGCCCAAGGGAGGCCAAGGGGCAGCTTCAAAGCCAGCTAAGCCGGCCCCCAAGGCATCAGAGGTATATACTCCAATCTATAAGTTTGATATGTAAGTTCGATGCTAATGACGGGGAGTTTATGTTTCTAGGATAAGTCGAATCCTCGAAAAAGAAGTATGTTAGTTTCTGGAGTGCTCATACACAAATATACTAACCGTGGGCATAGGAAGCAGAAAAGTTGTGGATGATAGTGATGACGATGAGGAAACGCCTGTTAAAGCACCCCCGAAACCTCAGCCCAAGAAGAAACAGTGAGATTCCATGATCTACGATTTTCAGAATTGGCGCATAATATTGACTGACGTCTATGCCTATAGAAAACCTGACGAGCCAAAGGCCGAGCCTACCACTACATCAGAGTACTTCAGCTCAAGTAAGAAGAATCGCAAACCGAGCACAACCACAGATAGTAAGCCGCCAAAAACATCCGAGCCTGAGAAGACGACCTTAGCCACACGGCAGAGCCCGCGGAAAGCTAGTAGAAACTCGCCGTCTATTGAAGTTCATGTACCGCCGCCAGTCGCAAAAGAAGTGAAGAAACCTTTGAAAGCTGAGCGGATAATTGATACTGAGGAGCACCTAGGAGGCGACGATATTTTTGCCTCCGAATTTCAGAGATCCGGAAAGGGCGATGATGACTACGAGGAGGAAGATTCGGAAGATTTTGATGATATGATTGTGAAGGCTCCGACTGCTTTGGATATATCCAAAAATGATACTCCAACCCCTGCGCTTAAACCCGAAAGAAAAGTGCAGAAGCGAAAATCGGCTGCATTGAGCGAAGACGAGGAGAGTGATGGCGACAGTGGAAAGAAGAAGAAAACCACCAAGGCACGCGCCCCGAAAGCAGCATCTAAATCTACACCTAAGAAACCAAGGGCAACTAAAGTAGACCAACCGGAAAGCAAAGAAATACAGGACATACTCAATAGTATCCCTGAAATCAGAGCGCCTTCACCGCCAACAGAGGCGAAGAAATTTAACTTTGCTGCGGCTGCTCAGCGAGCCCAATCTAATGGCTCCATGGACAATGCGGACCTACCCACCGGCGAGCCGAATTGCCTTGCTGGTCTCTCTTTCGTCTTCACTGGCGTTCTTGACTCTCTTGGTCGAGAGCAAGGGCAAAACCTGGTGAAAAAATATGGAGGCAAAAGCATGACTGCTCCAAGCTCAAAAACGAGCTATGTAGTATTGGGCAATGACGCTGGTCCGAAGAAGCTAGAGACTATCAAAAAATACAAGCTCAAGACCATCAACGAAGAGGGCCTGTTTGAATTGATCAGGAAACTTCCTGCCAATGGAGGTGACGGAAAGGCGGCTCTACAGTATGCCGAAAAGAAGAAGGCTGAAGAACAAAAGATTAAGGAAATGGCAGCCGAGATAGATCGTGAGGAAAAGAAACGTGCAGCATCAAAACCACAGGCTCCGAGTGTGTCGGACACAGAATCCAAATCCAAGGCCACTGGAGATAAAAGCGAAGGGATTGACGACCGTCTCTGGACAACCAAATATGCCCCCACGTCTCTCAGCATGATCTGTGGAAACAAAGGCACAGTTGAGAAACTGCAGACTTGGCTCCGTAACTGGCATGCGAACGCAAGAGCGGGCTTCAAAAAGCCTGGTAAAGATGGTTCAGGGACATACCGCACTGTTATGATACATGGCCCTCCTGGTATCGGAAAGACGACGGCTGCGCATCTGGTCGCTAAGCTCGAGAACTTTGATATTGTTGAGACAAATGCTAGTGATACTCGAAGCAAAAAACTACTCGAAACTACTCTACGTGGAGTTCTTGATACCACGTCTCTCCAGGGATACTTTTCGGGTGAGGGGAAGAAAGTTGAACCTGGGAAGAAGAACCTGGTATTGATTATGGATGAAGTCGACGGAATGTCCGCCGGGGACCGAGGCGGCGTTGGTGCTGTGGCTGCCATAGCAAAGAAAACTAGAATTCCCATCATTCTTATATGCAATGAACGAAGGCTTCCTAAAATGAAACCCTTTGATCACGTCACATTCGAGTTACCGTTCAGAAGGCCGACAGCAGAGCAAATCCGTGCACGACTGTTTACCATATGCTATCGAGAAGGTATAAAAATACCACCCCAGGTGCTCGATGGCCTAATTGAAGGGACACATGCGGATATTCGACAAGTCATTAACATGCTGTCTACGATAAAACTCAGCGCCAATAACCTTGATTATGACCAAGGCAAGGAAATGTCAAAAGCATGGGAGAAACATGTTATTCTTAAGCCTTGGGATATTGTTGGGAAGATCCTCAGTGCACAAATGTTTGCTGCAAGCTCAAAAACAACCCTCAATGAGAAGATTGAACTATATTTTAATGACCATGAGTTCAGTTTCCTGATGCTCCAGGAAAATTATCTGAAGACAAACCCCATGGCCGCCAACTCCTATAGTGGCAAAGAGAGGCAGTACAAATTACTCGAGTTAGCTGACAAGGCCGCAGAGAGTATCAGTGATGGTGACTTAGTGGATAGAATGATACATGGCTCACAACAACAATGGAGCCTTATGCCTACGCATGCCGCGTTCAGTTTTGTGAGACCCGCCAGCTTCATGGCTGGAAACATGATGGATAGGGTTGGTTTTACTAGCTGGCTGGGAAATAATAGTAAACAAGGTAAGAGAACTTGTTACCAATGCTTTCGAAGGTCTAAAGGCTAATTATAATATCTACTCCCACCAGGTAAAATGGCCCGACAAATCAAGGAGATTCAGGGGCACATGCGCCTACGTGCTTCAGGTGACCGACACGACGTCCGCCAGCAGTACATGCCCGTAATATGGAACAAGACAGTCAAACGAATGGAGATTGACGGCAAGGAGGCCGTCGACGAAGTCATTGATTTCATGGACAGCTACTTCTTAACTCGGGAGGATTATGATTCCATCACTGAGCTCGGCCTCGGGCCCATGAATGAAAAGAACATCAACATCAACTCCCAGACAAAAGCTACTTTCACACGTCTATATAACCAACGCTCGCACCCGTTACCATTCATGAAAGCGTCCAGCGTTGTGTCAACCAAGAAGCTCCCGAAGGTAAAACCAGACCTGGAGGACGCTATCGATGAATCTGACGATGCCGAGGAAATTCTCGGGGAAGAGGAGGTAGAAGAAGAGGAGAGTGACTTGGACTTGAAGAAAGACAAGTACGTTAAAGCTGCCAAGACAAAGAAGACTGGGGGTAGTACAAAGAAGGCCGGTGCAGCAAAAGCAAAGCCTAGAAAGACTAAGAAGACAGTTGATGATGATGATGAAATTGAGTCCGAAGATGAAGTTCCAAAGAAAAGAGCCCGGAAGCCAAAGTCGAAAGGTAAAGCCTAAGGCGGGTGCATTTTCTGGGTTTATCTTGGGATGGTTTGTGTCTGCCAATTTGGTGGCATTCTTCCTCAGCACTGGCTGTTATCCCCCCATTTGTATATTCTACCATACCTCCATGGTACTTTCACTTATATTTTTGTCACCCCCTTTATGTATTTGGAGCATCATCTCGGACACAGGGCTATGATTTTTAAAAAGTTGAGGCACAAGGGGTTTTGATATGATATAAAGATGTGTTCGATGTCGCTACTGGCGCTTCAAATTACATTATATCCATCTTTTTTGAGCAATGTATAGTTAGCCATTTCTATTGGGAATATTTCAAAATTGGGAGAATTATTACAATTACCGAATCGTCGTCTAAATATGGGGCTCCAAAATAATAGGTTGTCACAGGGGTAGTACCTTAACAGCCAGAAGTCGCAACATCAACGCTCATTTCATCTCTTAACCCAAGGAACTCTGACACCAAACTCATCAGCAAGACGCATAGCAGATACAACGCAACCTTCTAAAAGAACCATCCCGTCCCAACACCAACTACCAACCAGGAAAACGTTTCCGTCTCCATTTCGCCACCCAGGGGGTTTGGCTCTCGATTCCTGATCAGACGAGGGGCTTGTTTTGTCAAATATACGATTGACTATTGCCCTACTCTGTGGAGTGCGTAACGTTCGTGTGAAATAGGAGCGGCGCACAACCTTGCTGGGATCGATAGGTATTAAGGGTGAGGTGGTTATTATGTATGACGAGGGGTGTTCATGAATAGATTCAGTCGATTCAGCCGTTGAGCGGAGATGAGCCCATTCTATATTTTCCTTTGACGCCGTTTGGGCTTTTACCGATGCAGGGAAGACATTGGGTAGGGTGGATGCGTCAGTATGGATTAAAGACTCTACGGATGTGGTGGGTATAGCTGATGTTTCTTCTCGGAGAGGTTCAAAGATTGCTCCCACGGCATTTGGTGGTATGGCGAGAATGACACGATCGAACGTTCTCTGGCAGCAGGACATGGGGGGTATTTTTTCTCCTGCCAGCCCAGAGGCAGAGGAGGTGGCTTCCCAGCATACCATGACGGAAGAACCAGCCGGACGGACAGAAGTGACGCGGGCTCCGAGTCGGATGTTTAGCCCCTTGGAAAGGGTGTGTTCGACCGCTCGAGTTCCTCCGCGTACAAGATAATGCGGTGCTCCGTACGTGCGCCGGATATAATGTACTATATCACTAGCTGGAAAGCTGAGCATTTCACTGTGCGTGCATGTCGACATGCTGGACAACGGAGGTAGGATGTATCGATGCACAAAGTACCGCGGAAGGCGGACGCGGTGGAAGTATTCCTCTAATGACTCGGACTGACCCTGGTCCGCTGCCGGGGGTTTTGGATGTGCCTTGCCGGCGTTTACCCAGAAGCACGCAATGACGAACCAACCGAAGAAGAAAGTGACATAGAAGAGCTCTCCGAGCCATGAGAAGAAACTCAGCCCATCGGGGCGGAGGGGAGGAATCCGATGGTTGTTAGACGAATATAGGAACGACACCTTGGCCTGCGCTGCTTCTTCATGGGCCTGGTCCGACCCACTCCCTGGCTTTGCCTTGGGTATATACGAGTAGCTGAAGAGGAACTTTTGCGGATCACACTTGATGCCGAGATGCTCGTACATGAGCGTCATATATTTATAGTAACCATCATCGATGACACGCATCGGATGGCTGATATTGATTGCATCCTTCCCATCCTCTGATTCAATGTTTTCAGCTTCGGCGTCCAGCGACAATGCCTCTTGCTAGATGTTGTGGCTGTTAGCTTCCCGTACCTGTGTCGCCTGGTGGAGGGAGAGAAATGCAGTGCATCCGGAACAACTCATCGCACACGAGAGGTAGTGACACAGAGATGCCCGGACCGATGCTCAACATATTTGAACAGGCACAACCTTTGGGCCGGGACCAAAGCAGATACAACAACGTTGTGTCATTTCGGATATATCGAGTTGCACCTGGGTATCAAACAGGAAAGGGGAAAAGAAGGACGAGAAAATTAAAAGAAGAAGAGGAACTATGCTTACCGACTCAAAGACTTCGATATCAAACTTCTGGCGCTCATCATGCTGCAGGAGGTACGCCGTCACCAGACCTGCCATGCCGGTGCCAATGACTGCCACCGATATGCGGGATGCATCGCTGCCACCCCCAGCCTGTTGATTGGGGTTTTCACTTTCCGACATGTGTGTAACGGGTACCCTGACAGTTACGAGGAGTGTCTCGCAAGTCGCGAATGCAGCTATTACCTTGGGTTGGAAATATATATGTGTCTGTGGGTGCTATATAGGCGAGATGATACGGGGCAAAGGAATGTGGTGTGCCCTAGACAGGACTGGAATAAGGACGACAGCAGAGAGGTGAACGAACAGGCGCAGGAGAACGAACGATATACGACCAGGAGAGAGCGAGCTTCTTGATATATAACAAGTTATTTATATATTGCATGGTTACTCGAGATCTGGTTGAAGCGATCTTCACCCATAAAATAAGTATCCTTGGCGCCCGTTGAGGTATGTACCGGCACATCATTACAGTCGCAAAAGGCCACTGGATGATCAAGCTCCCAGGAAGCGAAAGGGAAAAAAAGAAAGAGTGGAAAGGGGGTCGCTAGGATTGAAATTCGGCCATGCTTATTCCTTATTTACGACCGGGTTGTGTGCGCGCATGTTGTTGGGCGGTGCCGGTCAGATGGCCGAAGCTCCTCGCAAACGGAGAGATGGACGAACCCGACAGAGAGTTGCGAGAGAGTTACGGGCGTACCTGGCAAGCCTAGACTATCCCGTCTACCCTCTATACTCTGTACGGAGTACATAGTCTGTCATCTACGCATAAGTTACGGACTATGGCAAGATCGATCGAACCCTGTATAAAGAGAGATGCCTTCCGGTGGTTCGATGTCTAAGACAGGAGACGAATTCGATGCAAGACCTTGCTTCTTTTCCTTCTTCTCTCTTCCATCTGTTGTTCCGGTTCGTCGGGTGGTGTCTCGATATACGGGATTATATGCATAAGATATATGCACCATCCAGCATGTCAACTCACCACTCCCCATGCAGCAAGCGACATCCATCGTTCTCTCAGATCATCTGGACACCTGCATCCTGCATCTCGATCCCCATCTCGACCACCACTCCTCGCTCTCATCTAACCTGGTGTTTCAGTACCTGTCACGACGCGGCTGTCACGGTACTGGACGGTACATGGGAATAACTTACGCCTTCATCTCTCTCCCTCCTCCTCATGCCCAATCACCAAGAGCAAGGCGGGCTCTAACCGTCGACGGCCAACCAGCCAGACCAAGGGGGCTCCACCGGACTCATGTATCGAGATGCGTCCAACCGCCCTTAGCTGTATAACCCGTCCACCCCCCAAATAGCGTCTATACGTATATACGTATATATTGTTAGTTTATCCGTCTTTATTCTCTCCGTAGAAGAGTAAAAAAGCCCGTAACATCGTTACAGGGAGGGAAAAAAAAAGGGGGTAAAGCCTGCGAGCGCCCCCCAAAAGAAACAGAGCCACCAAAAAGTTCCCCCCCTTTTTTTTTTCTTCTCAGTCTTTGATTCTCCCCGAGCAAGAGAGAAGAAAAAAATAAAAAAATACAACAACCAAGAGAAGAACATCTTCGCCCTTCAGCCCGTTTGCTCTTCACTGCACTCGCTTGGTCTTCTCTGGCGGTGCGTTGCCTCTTCACTGTCTCTCGTTCATTGACCTTCAGGCCCTTTTTGGTTTCGCCGTTTTTCCCTTTTTTTCTTTTTTCTTCTACTTTAATAATTTTTCTTCCCCCTTGGTGAATTTCAATTTCTTCAAGTCGACCAGCAAGGAAGAAAAGAAAAAAAAAAACAACCACACTCGCTTTCACCTTCGACCTCCGTCGCAATTGATTCAGGGTACGATCGATCTCGATATTCTCTGTCCTTCGTTTCTGCTTGCTTCTTTCTTCTGCTTTGCTGTCTGCCTTCGTTTGCTGACCAGGAACCCGCGATCAATCAGGCCCGACCTTCTCTCCTGCAAAAGGCCGACTCGCACTCTTTCTTCGAGATAAATAAAAATAAGAGCTTCCTTCACGATGGGTAAGCCTCGAGTTTTTTTCCCCTCTGTTTTTCCATTCTGTTTACACTTGTGCATCTCGCTGTGGTGTTGTCCGGTTGGCTGCGATTAAAGGGGGTTTCACACAGTTCGACTGGACTTGGGACCGTTGAAGACACACCAAGCTGCATCTTCTCTTCCTGTCTTTCTGTCTCAGAGGGATCAACGGTGTCTAGACAGCCATGGGAGAGAAGATGGAGGCGAAGACGGGCAAGTTGGTGGACGAAAAGGGTGCTATCAAAGCCAGGATGCTCAACGTCGTCACTCTGCCTGAAATCCCTATTACAAAGCCCATCCTGCCTGAGATTATCTGCGAAGTCGATACGGACTCTGCTTCTGACTATGACCGTGAAACTGACAATGATTCTCCTCCGCTTCCAGCCACGTCTAACGGTATCCCGACTCCTACTCGGCCTTCGCCAGCTCCCCCTTCGCCCCATGTCTCTCCGCACGTCGAACGCAGCAACCCCATGGGCCAGGGAGTGGCTCAGACGGTCAGCTCAAAGGACCCCAAGGCCGCTGCCCAGGCTGCCAGTGACATGAAGAACGTCGTTCGCCGGAAACTCGCCGGCTACGTTGGCTTTGCGAACCTGCCAAACCAGTGGCACCGCAAGAGTGTACGAAAGGGATTCAACTTTAACGTCATGGTCGTTGGTACGTTGTTATTTTTCTACACATGTGTTCTTTTGATACAGGGCTTACGATTACAGGTGAGTCCGGTCTTGGAAAGTCTACACTGGTCAACACTCTTTTCAACACATCCCTATACCCACCACGGGAACGTACCGGCCCAAGCCTCGATATCATCCCCAAGACCGTCTCTGTCGAGTCCATCAGCGCAGATATCGAAGAGAACGGTGTCCGTCTGCGTCTGACCGTTGTCGACACCCCCGGATTCGGTGACTTTGTCAACAACGACGACTCCTGGCGCCCAATCGTCGAGAACATCGAGCAGAGATTCGACGCTTACCTTGATGCCGAGAACAAGGTCAACCGCATGAACATTGTCGACAACCGTGTCCATGCCTGTGTTTACTTCATCCAGCCAACCGGCCACTCCTTGAAGCCATTGGACATCGAGGTCATGCGTCGTCTTCACACCAAGGTCAACCTGATCCCGGTCATCGCCAAGGCCGACACCCTTACCGATGAAGAGATTGCTCTCTTCAAGCAGAGAGTACGTTCTACATATCCATTGCTACTGCTTGTTTGCTAAAAAAAAATGTATCTTTAGATCCTCTCCGATATCCAGCACCACTCGATCCAGATCTTCGAGGGACCCCGCTACGAGCTCGATGACGAGGAGACCATTGCCGAGAACAAGGAGATCATGTCCAAGGTCCCCTTCGCCGTCGTTGGTGCCAACTCTGAGGTCACCAACAACGAAGGCCGCAAGGTCCGTGGCCGCCGCTACCCCTGGGGTGTCATCGAGGTCGACAACGAGGAGCACTGCGACTTCGTCAAGCTCCGCCAGATGCTCATCCGCACGCACATGGAGGAGCTCAAGGAGCACACCAACAACACCCTGTACGAGAACTACCGTTCCGACAAGCTCACCCAGATGGGTGTCACCCAGGACCCCAGCGTCTTCAAGGAGGTCAACCCAGCCGTGAAGCAGGAGGAGGAGCGCGCCCTGCACGAACAGAAGCTCGCCAAGATGGAGTCCGAGATGAAGATGGTCTTCCAGCAGAAGGTGCAGGAGAAGGAGAGCAAGCTCAAACAGTCCGAAGACGAGCTATTCGCCAGACATCGCGAGATGAAGGAGCAGCTCGACCGACAGCGCCAGGAGCTAGAGGAGAAGAAGGCCCGCTTGGAAAGCGGACGGCCGCTGGAAGACAAGATAAAGAGAAAGGGATTCTCTCTCCGTTAAGCTCGTTACCGCCGTCCTCTCTCCTCTCTCTCTTCCGCCCTTACTCTTCTCCCTTCACCTTCCATGCTACGTATCAGTACCGTCCAGTCCAGACACTGTGCTTCTTTTGTCCCTTTCTTTTTTTTACTCTTTTACCATCCTCTCCCGCTCACTCAGTCTCCTTCCTTTCTCCTTTGAATTAATGGATCTAGCGCTCTCCCGAGATACTCTTTTTTTTACCCTTTGACTTGCGTCCCGAAATACCACGCCCATGGCCGACTTCTACACAATACACCACCACTCTCACATTCATTCAATTCCCCCTTTACTTTTATTATTTGTTTTTGTTTTTTGTATTCCTCCGTACTCGTCTTTTTTTTTATTTTAATGAATTCAATATCCGTTACCCCCCGAGTCTACTACTAACCCTCGCCCTTTGCCATCAATACCACGCAGCGCAACAAAACCGCAAGTTGAAGCTGCCGATTCTGGTTTGGAAGAGAGAGAAAGAAAGAATTTGAATTAAGGAATGAACCCCTTTACGGCGGCGATTGGGAAGCAGGATCAGGAGCAATACAAGGGATGGATTGGGCATGATAGGATAGCACGGCTGAGGAGGCAGATTCACGATCACTTCTTCTCTCTCCTTTTTATTATATCTCTTTCTTTTCTTTCTCCTTTACCCTCGAACAGACTAATTAATTCTTCTTTCATGTCCTGTTTTTGTCGTTTTTTATATCCCTTGACTTCTTGTCATGTATTAGCCCCAAGTTGTTGTATGCTGGTGAGATAAGTTAGAAACCCGGTACCCTCTACGTCTATATTCTACTCTTCTCCGTAGTCACTCTTGTGTTATCGGGTTCGGTCGATGGTCTATCACTCTAGCAACGGCTGTCTATATCATTCACCGCTTAGCCTATAGTACATATAATAGCCAACTCGCCATGCACCAGTGATATATATATGCATATATGCGTGTGCGTATCTGATATATCCCATGTGCCGCCTGATATCCCACGAACGCTTCCTCTCCTGCAACCACACCGTCCTCTGCCATCTCAAACACCCTCTGCAACGCTGCCATGCCCCCGACGGCCACCGATTCCGCAACCCAGACCCCAGGGGCGAACCGAACCGCGCACCAAGCCGATCCTGCGCAGAAGAGCACTGGGTGAGCGCCACCATCGACACGACAGGGTACTGTCCCTCCTGCACGGAGCAGCAAGAGTACAAACGCCGTCTCCTCGAGCGATTCAGCGAGGACACAGACGGCCACGACGGCGCCGGTGCTTCTGCCGGGGGGACGGTGAAGACGTATGCGTGCGGCCACCAGCGAGTCCTGCTCTGGGCCGGTGAACTACAGGACTGCTTTGAGAGCAGGCACAAGACACGGGCGAGGATGCATCGTGTTTCCGACGTTGTGCACCGGACGGATAACAGTAGCACGCGAGACCCGCCCTCGTATGAAGAGGGCGTCTTCTCGTGGCGACGGTGGGAAGAGCTGCCGCTGAGCTGCGAGGAGAGCGTCGACGAGTGTCCTGAGTGTCGACGGCGAGCTTGTCTGGCTGCTGAGCTGCTTCATCGTGGCCTCAGGAGGCGCAAACCTCTTGGGTTGTCTTTAATCGTTGGTAGAAGTTGAATAGAATGAGTGTAAAAAATATATAGAAATGCGGGATGGAAGCCCTAAATGGAGCCGAAGTCGAGATACCCAAAGATACTTCTAAATACATATAAATTTGTATAGCCATAGAGGTATCTTTGAGTATCTCGACTTCTAACCTGAACATGCCACAAAAAGTGCCACGACTTTGCAACTTCAACGTCGACAACTTTCTCTCTTCTTCCTTGCAGACACTGAAAAAGTTGCAAACTTGAACTTGATCGCTTGGATTCTCTCGTCGTCTCTCTGTATATCTTCTCTTCTTCTTCTTTGCCTTCTCTTATCCTCTCTCTTGTTAGCTGCTTGAATACAATAATGGCTCCTCCCCCGCCCGCTACCCTGCCGTTGGCAGAGCGGCTCAAGATGCTGGCCCAGACACTACAGTATGCGCCCTTCTTCTGCTGTCTTTTCTAGGGTACTTCTACCTTGAGGCGTGTGAACAGGTTGCTGACGGTGTCGATAGGTTCGCCTGGTTTATAGGGTACGTCGTTTGCTGCTTGTCATGGAAGCTCAGCTGTGATCCTGCACACCGCAACGATCCCACGGAGAGAACGGACGATAGATCTGGCTATACTCTGGGAGAATTTTTTGCACGACGATAGATGGTATAGCTGTAGCTAACTCCGTGTAGTCATTTTACGTTGATTCTGGCGGTGTTCCGCTACGTCCTGGCCTGCGTCACGTTTAGGACCTACACCACCTTCGCCCAGGCATCGTACCGTTTCGCCTTCGTTGCGGCGGCCGCTACCTACGGAATTGTCGTCTACAAGGGATACGTCGCCCGTGGCCGTCTGGGAGGAAACATTCCAAATGATATCATAAAGCTGGCTGGAGACGAGAACGTACAGTATCTCGGTACGTGTATTCGTACACCGTCAGCCTGGCGCTAAACACTAATGAAAAATGATCTAGGAATGGCCCTTGTATGGCTGTGTTCGCGACAGCTGCTTTTCGCTCTGCTTCCGTTCGCCATCTACTCGTTCTTCCACGTCGCCACATATACCCGAACATACCTGATCCCCACCTTCCAGCCTTCTCCCGATGCTGGCCCGGCCTCCCCCTCCGGCAGACCAGCAGCCGGCAAGTCGTCTCCCCTCGCCGACAAGATCGGCCGCTTCGTCAAAACCTACTATGACACCAGCATGGCCATGGTCGCCGCTCTCGAGCTATCCCTCTTGATCCGCCTGATTTTCACCGCCCTCACCTTCTCCAGCGGTAGCTGGCTCCTGCTCGTCATTTACTTCTGGTTCTTCCGCTCCCGCTACACCCAGAGCTCCTTTGTCCAGGCCGTCGTCGTCCACTCGACGGCCAGAATTGACGCCACGCTTTCTCACCAGAGTACCCCTCCGGCCGTCCGTCAGGGATGGGAGGTTGTCAAGAACGCAGTCCGAAAGCTGTACAACGTCACTGATCTCAAGCCGTACCTTGCTCGTTTCCAGCAGCAGGCTCCCGGCAAGAAGCCGCAGTAGAGGCATACCATGGCACTGACGACCCGGAACGGAGGTTTTCTCAGTGTCGGATGAGCGGGGAATTATCATGACTAGTTCCCCAGCCACTGAAGCTTATTCTCACGCATCAGGCAAATTGAGCATAGCAGCAGCTCTATTCCACCCTGACAAACCTCCACACGTTAATCTAAATCTACAATTCAAACGACGTTACGTGAATCATAGCCCCCCCCCCACACACACACACACGAAAAAAAACAATCTGCCCTGGAGCGGCTATTTGGCCTGCTGAAACAGTCAATTAAAGGACAAATCATACAAGCATGGAGTATCGGTTTATCTGTGATTCTATCCTCGAAGAGACACTGGAAAGACGTGCATCTTCACTGCAAATCTGCAAATACCATCAACCCTATCTTCTTCTTCTCCCTCCATTTTTATGTCACCTAGCCTCGAAATGACAAAAAGAACATGGACATACCTGTGTACCTAATGCTAATGAAGAGGTGCCACGAGCTACTTTTTTGCCCTGTTGTCGTTTATGAATGCCTTTTATCAATGAAAATATATCTTGCCTTGCACCTCCATCTTATAACCATGCAGCAGCGGGTTTAACTGCCTACACCACCCGACCTCTACCCATCCTTCTCTTCCAAGGACGGAGAAAGCAGTCCATGCCTCTTGTATCTCCGACTCTTATCATAAAATCCTCCCCCTTAACGCCGATAAATCTAATATCAAAAATGTTTTCTCCGGTTTTTTATAGTACTGAAAATCGCTTCTCATTGGCCATCCTAGCTTAGTAATACGGATGATTAATCTTCCCTCCCGACGAATTTTCAACGGGCCAAAAAAAGATTTTTGAGAAAAAGTCGAAGTTTCTCAAGCGGTTTTCGAGGCTTTTGAATTCATTAAAGGTGCTGTTTCTTCTTCTTGTCTCTGTATAGATTTCGGTTATAGACGTTTGCTGTTGCGTATTGTTTCCTGCGGTACCGATACACCCGCGAAAAGCAAGGAATTGGAAGCTATACTCGTTGATATTATAGCGGGAAGACGAGGAGATAGACAGCTGAAGCTGCATATCTCAACGGCCACATATCCCGGGCGGCGATGAGTCTGGTGTCGCGAATGTCAGACTTCTTCGCGGCCTCAGACTCATCGACCCTTGCGTCTTCGTCTTCGGTTTCGTCTGGTGCGGACGGGAGCAGGCTTGTTGATGGAGGGATGGGACTGGGAGGGCTAAAGGGCGATGGCAGACTGAGGGTTGAGGAGAGGATACAAAGTCGGCATGGGGAGGAGGATGTTCGACCGCCGTATTTACATGTGGGTTACCAGCCGTGTTGGTTATTCCTCTGCTAATGGACTGATAGTGTATGCTTGCCGGTGGCATTGGCGGGACAAGCGGTGATATGCTGATGCATTCGCTGGATACGGTCAAGACGAGACAGCAGGGTGATCCGCATATTCCGCCCAAATACACCTCCATGTCTTCGTCGTATGCGACTATATTTCGACAAGAGGGCATTCGGAGAGGTCTATACGGTGGAGTGACGCCTGCGCTTTGTGGCTCGTTTCCGGGCACGGTTATATTTTTTGGTACATACGAGTATAGCAAGAGGTGGATGCTGGATGTGGGCGTAAATCCGTCAATAGCATATTTGGCCGGAGGTAGGATGCTATATCTTTGCCGTCTTGTCTTTCACTGGCTAACGCGGGTAAAAAAAAGGGTTTATTGCCGATTTTGCTGCCTCGTTCGTATATGTGCCGTCCGAAGTATTAAAAACACGACTACAGCTGCAGGGACGATATAACAATCCGTTCTTCAAGTCTGGATATAATTACAGATCCACTGCCGACGCATTCCGTACCATTCTCCGAACAGAAGGGTTCTTTGCCCTCTTCTCTGGCTTCAAGGCCACCCTCTTCCGTGACATGCCCTTCTCCGCGTTACAGTTTGCCTTTTACGAGCAGGAGCAGCAGCTGGCTAAGCGGTGGGTGGGACACAGAGATATCGGCTTCCAGCTGGAGGTCCTAACCGCTGCCACGGCCGGTGGTATGGCAGGTGTCATCACCTGTCCTCTCGACGTGGTCAAGACCCGAATACAGACACAGCAGAACCCCGATGCCGCGCCTACAACGAGGCCAACCGTCTCAGCCACCGGCGAAATACATAAACCAAGCCGTGTGCCAACAACATCCACCACACAAACACGATTCATCTCTACCTCATCTCCATCCACATCAACAGTCAAACCTGGTGCCGCCATCCTGGACACATCCTCGGTGCTAACGGGGCTAAAACTAATATATAAGACAGAAGGCGTGGCCGGTTGGTTCAGGGGCGTAGGCCCTCGATTCCTCTGGACCAGTATCCAGAGCGGCACCATGCTGGTGCTCTACCAGTACTTCCTCAAGCAACTCGAGTCATATCGACAGCTGAGCGAGCTCCGAAGCACATCGATATGAGCAGCTCCACACTCTACACACCCTCTATATCTGAACTGCAATACACTTGCACGAAAAGTCCACTCGACAGGGGACGGTGTCTGGCGTTTTTTTTTTTTTTTTTGGGGGGGGGGCGTCGATAAATAGATCTAATGCCTGGGTTTGCATCTGCTGGCTGTATATTCGAAAGAAGACATCTGTACGATACACTAATACATGTCATGAAGACTTCCTCTTTATCCTCTCTGTCTTCTTTATCCTCATCGTCCTTTGTATCAGGCTGTCCCAATCGGGCACTAGTGATGGCAAAAACACGCTAAGGACATAGAAAATGTAAACAAGAAAACAACGTCAACACCCCCACGGAACAACATTTACTTAACACTACGGCTTGCACCTTCAGCCCAGCTTTTTACTGCCATATATATAGCCCACAGAGCTTCATAAACACGCTGGAACGAGTCGCATACTTCTCGCGATCCTGTCGACACCAAAATATAATATATATATATATCGCTGCACCATGTCGGCTGCTTTACCCTACCTCCGCGCGCTCCGTAAGAGCGATCTCATCGTTCTGGCCGAGCTATCGGACCTGAAGGAGTACGTTTTAACCTGTCTGACGATGGCTTGATGCTGGGACTGCTCTTTTCTGACACTCTCTGACGCTGGTTGTACCGTTAGTTTCGGTGACATGAAGAAGACCGAGCTGGAAGCCGCTCTCGATAGCCATCTCTCGCAGAACAAAGATCGCCTCTCTCACGAAGCAAAGCTGGGCGACTACTACGAGAGGCTGTCGAGACCGCCGCGTGGGTCGCCTATTAAAAAGGAACCAAAGGCAGAGGTCTCCTCGCTGGACGGCTCGGTGAAGCGGTCCACGCGTAGACGATCTGTCAAGCCAAAGCAAGAGGTCGAGGCAACGTACGCGTTCAAGTGTTTAGCTCTCGTTGGTATGTCATAACTAACCCGGCGCATGTACAGAGATGACTCGGATGAGGAGGCTTCGGAAAAGTCTTCTCCATCTCCCCAGGTGGCTGTTCCAGCTGTTACGCAGACTCCATCGCGTCCTGCAATTAAGTTCCCTTCGTTGCCACCATCTCCAGCCGTGGTTACGGACGCGATTGACAGACAGACCACCAGAGTCCGCCAATCTATATCGGAGGCATGGGACCAGTCTGGCATGACAGAGCGAACTCACACTCTGCGTTCATCGCTGAGTAGCGTCAACTCCATCCAGTTTCTCATCCTCGCTCTCGAATTGTTCGGCATGCTAAAGGATGTTTTGCCGTGGATAAACGTTACCATCCCAGCCATCAAGAGCTTGAACACGCCCATGACTACCATAAAAGCTCCAGACATGTTCGCCACCTTGTCTCCATCTTTCTTGTCTCCCTTCTTGCTCTGGGTCACCACGAGCATTATCCTGCCTTCGATTGCCGCGTACTTCTTCAACATCAACCTCAAAATGAGCCAGTCTCATTCTACCTCACGTCGAGTATCTGCGTCTTCCGCACAGGACACGAGCAAGACATGCGGTGACCAGCTGGTATTCAACGTATCAAAGGCACTAATCGCCTCTTTTGTGTATGGCCACGGTTTCAACTTCTGGGACCTGTTCAGCAAGTCCTCTCTCCAGAGAGTCTCTGATGCTGTCCCGGGCGGCCTACAAGGCTTGCTGACCGGCTCGGCCATCTGCACACTAGGAAGCCTCTATGAGGCCATCTTGAGAAAGTAGGAAACGGAAACCCCGGTTAGAGACACTTCATCTCTATGCATCACTAAATACGATTGGATTTCTGGTCAAATCAAGGCTGCTAGATCACCCTTTTCGACAGTCGCTAGAGATACGGTAGATGCAATGCTTGGATCGTCTTTGTTCTTTTTTCATACTCACGGCGCCCTTTATGTTGGTTCTATCTGGTTATCGTGTTTGTCTTATCTTTCGCTTTACATGCTGGAAACGGACTGATTCGGTTTTCTCTTTTCCTCTATGTCTGTCTGTCTCCTCTTTTTCGAACTTGCTTGCCCCCATGTTACGCCTTCTCGGATAGAAGGAGGACGGCAGGACTATTGTTATATATATATATAATCCGTCTCCTTTTTATGTATCCTTTCCCTATTTCCCCATCTTACCCCATAGGTCGGTTCATTTATTGGCTGCGCTTTTTTGATTTATCGCTTTGGCTCGGTGTTGGCCTCCTTTTACATACTCTCTTCCTCTTACTGTCTCTTGGACTCATTGCTATGCCTCATTGTCTGTTTTATATGTAGATATGAGGAAAGGTAACTGGTAAGAGCTTAGAAAAGCTCTCTTAATACGTCTTGGAGTATGGCTCCAAGTTTTATATGGATCTCAACGGCGCTATTAAAGAGGCAGCATTCCAAAAAGTAATATTATAATACATGAACTTCTATTCGTTTCCACTCTTTTATATATCTAGTTGTACAGGTTGTTTCTTACACCTTCGTTGGTCTCTCTCCGTCTAGATAAGAAAAATCAAGGATAACTCTCACCCAGTGCGCTTGTGACGGGTCCTCTTCCACCATAAACGGGGATTCTGCAGAAGATATCTGGCGGGCCAAAAATACAAAAGTTTTTAAGATGGTCTTGCATGTTCTGAAGTCTCGACATTCTGCAGCGCTCCCGGTTTTCTAACTTGCCACCCTATAGCCGACGCAGCGGCTATTTACTCCTTAGAAGCGTTTGATTGAATGGCATCCAGCTCTTTTGTGATTGCTTCCTGGAGTTTGTCCTTGCCGGACTCAGGCTGGAGCTGTTCATTGGTAGTAGCAGGTGCGGAATCGGATCCTTCTGTTGAAGGCTTTTGCTCAGCTTCCTTCTCCGAAGCAATATGTTCATCTAGCTGTGCATCGACTTCTTCGTCGTCGAGCTCATTGCCGTATATATCGGGATGTTGTCGGAAGCAATCCTGCATGGCCCTAAATGGAGAAAACAAAAATGGCCTGGTTATTGCCGTGTTCCAAGGGGTTGTAGTTCGTTAGATACATACTTGAATTTATCGATGCAGTCCATTCCCTTTGGTTCTTCCTGAGAGTATACGAAGCATGAGAAAGCGGCTCTGAAGTCTTCTCCGCAGGGTCCGTGTGCCATGCCACCTAGGCAAGGGCAGTCCCAGTTGATTTCTCCAGTTTCGGGGTTGAACGCAGCTTCTTGGCCCTCATGGCCTTCTCCCTGCTCGGAATCACCCGTAGCCACTGGCGACTGCTCACCCCCCGTTGGAGAAGCACCGGTCTCAGCTGAGGCAGCTATCGATGTCTCATCGGACGGTGTTTTCTTGGGTTCCGAAAGTGGAGGAGTTGGTCGCGCTTTTGGCTTCCTCGCGGCTTCTAAAGACTCAATTGTAGGCGAGACGACTGTATCTTGCAGATTCGAAGGGGATACAGTTTTATTTACGACTTAATGGCACATCAATGTCAGTTCAGCCATCATCTCTGTAAGGCCGGATTGAGCTGGTACTTACGAGGTGGTTCCTCAGCGAATATAGGGCTTGTGTTATAGTAGTAAACGGCACCGACGGCAAGACCCCATCTCACCACTGTACTTCTCCATCCTTGCTTCTTCTGTACTGGCGATGATGCGTCGCTAATCCATCTCCGGCTTTGCGCAAATCGCAATTGTTGTGTAGCTGGTGTACCACGGAGCAATGTTCTCGACGCGGATCGGAACATGATGAAAGGAGGAAAAGGAAAGAGATCGATCTAACTGTTTAGAAACGAAAATGTCAAGAATGAAATGAATTCATTGAACTCGAACAAAGTGAGTGACCCGATTGAATATCTTTCTCTTCTCTTCTTCATCTCTTCGAGATTGTTAATCAAGGACGAAAATTGGTGATTATGTAATATTATCGGATAAATTTGCGCCGGAGAACCCGAGATCCCGTTTAGGCAATATCAAACATCACTGAATTGTTAAAACATGAGATACTCCGACTTTTGATATTCTTTAGTCGTGAGATGAGAGGGTGATTTTCAGACAATATGCAGTGGCATCCTGCTCAGTTTTTCAACGACTATGCTCCACCGGTTCCGTTCGCCCTGCTGATCCTTAACCAACCTATCAATAAGAATGCGTTCAGGCTTCTAAAGAGACATGGTGCGACAATAGGAGATATCCTCCCAAGATTAAAGGCTTGGAGTCACGATCTATACAAGTCGAAATCGACGAAGAGACTAACCGGACTGAACAGCATGCTTTATTATATGCGCTGATGGCGGGGCAAATCACTACTACAACAATATGAAGAGCATCGGCTTAGAGGGCACAGAGGTATGAATTCCTCCAGTGACCATACCATTTTATACACTATAATTTCTCTTGCCATGCATTATATGTACCGATATCTAACTAGCTGGGTAGCTTCCAAATGTTATTGTTGGGGATCTTGATTCTATCCACCTGGATGTTCTACGGCATTATGAAAGCCTCGGTGTAAAAGTCGTTAAAAACCCGGACCAATATTCGACGGACTTTATGAAGTGTCTTAGTTACCTTGCAGGTAATTGCAAGGATATTCTCAACACTGTCAAGCAGCAAGGCCGTGGTGACTCCGGTAGCTGTTTTAAATCCGAGGCCGGAGATCTAGATGTGGTTATTTTTGGTGGTTTAGGCGGCCGCGTAGATCAAGGTTTTGCGCAGATTCACCATTTATATTGTGCAACTCCATCAGCCTCCGAGCAGATTATAAGGCCGAATGGGGAAACATACCTGGTATCGGAAGAAAGCATCTCATTCTTTCTGCACCAGGGGAAGAATACGATATTCACTCCTGGAGGTTCGTCTTTTAAAAAAGAAAAGGGCAACAGAGCCGAGACTAAAAGCCCAAATAACATGTGCAGCCAGCTTTGTTTCTCAGAAAATATAGGAATTATACCCATTGGTGGGCCCTCCCTGATATCTACTCAAGGCCTAGAATGGGATGTGATAAATTGGAAAACAGAATTTGGCGGTCGGTTGAGCACGAGCAACCATATAAGAGCTGAATCAGTTGAGGTCGAGACCTCGATTCCTGTGCTCTTCACCGTGGAATTGGCGCCTTACTTGAAGGTAAATGCATCAAGTGGCTTGCTATAGTATTTGCAAATTATTTTCATCATGGGCCTTCCCTTTGATGGCTCTATTGGCGGGATTATCTTCAGCCTTGAGGTTGCAATAATCTCGCAGCGATGACTGTCGGCATATTTATTTCGCCTTATTTTCTATTGCAGCTGAATTCGAAGCTCGGGTTCGATCTTTAGTGGTCTCTGTTATTGATGCCCGATAAATGACCGGTTATCTGGCGTACCATCGGAGCTTACTATATTACCAATACACACTCATCAGCGTTTTATCTATCGGACTAAGGATAGAGTCATGGAACGAATTTTTTTGCCTCAGCGAAACTCGTGAATGCGGAGGAACGAAAAACAACGAGATCGGCACAGTTTGTTTATTAACGTGATGTTGCTTGTTGGTGTCTGGTCGTAGCATATAATGCGGCTTGACCTGTGTGGGACTTCTGGACAAACAACCAAACACTTGTTGACTTCACAATGTTACTGAAAGCTCTTCCTTACGAGATATACAATATACCTCGGAATTATACCCTATGTATGTACCTGCTGCTTTGCTTGATAGGTGTTGCGCTAACGATAAGGCAGATCAATTCATTCTCCACCTGGGCTAGCTAAGCCTGATATGCCCACGAATTCATTCGATGACAACGCCCGCCTTTATAAATGCGTTATTCTCATATTCCGCTCCACGACGAGCTAGAATATGGCTTGCTTTGGTGGTATATCTCAAAATCCGCATGGCCAGTCCACATTCGTTAAGAAATTAGTTACTAGAGGTGTCAATCAGCGTTATGATTTGTACAGAATACCTGTTGAATACTCAGCAAAGATCTATACGATTTCCTCCCATAAATTGATGCTGATATATGGTCTAATCCCTGCTCCGTAAAGGATGGACTGCGGGTTGCATGTACCCTACCAATCCGGTTTTCGAACATTTGGCCCCTCTCAACTTATCCACGCCCAACACCCATTAAACTCCAACCCTAACATACGTTGTATACGACTTGACCTTCCAAAATAGCTATTTATTTCTGGAATTGCTTTCATCACAGACGTTATTGTGATACCTAATATTCTAACGGTGTGCCGAGAGCGACTTAAAACTCTTAAATATATCCGTGGCCTGCCCTCTCGATAACAAAAACAATTTCTGAATCTGGAAATCCAATTGCGATTTATATCCTGGAGGTGTTATTTTGTAGATGTTCATATGGATACCTAGGCATTGGCCTTTTGATCGCCGCTCTCAAGAGCTTTCCCCTATCACTTCTCCGGTGTAATGGCCTTCCGGTGCGCCCGTACCAGACAGGCAGGAGGCTAATTTATACCTTTCTCAACTAGTTGCATGGCTACATGTATGACAGGTATTCTATCTTGCTTTATTGTTATTTTCTAACACAATTCAGCCAGACCGCAAACTAATTCCCAAGAACTTGTCTGCACACCTGGAGATGACTTAATTATTGCATTTAAGAAGCCAGACGATAGTGTACCATGAATTAGGCCACAAAACGAGGAAGAACGAAATATAAACGAGGTATGATGTGGGTTGCGTTGCTCAATCTTGTAGTATTGCCATAGCAGCACTCGCGCCCTCTTCTCCTCGTGAACCACCATCCTTAACACTCTATCATAAGGTCATAAGGAACGGGTGCGCTTGCGATTTTGACGACACATCAACTGATGTAGATATCTGATCGGATGCATCAATAAATATCCCTCACAGCCTCGACAGTTTACTCAGCCGAAGGCCAAGGCCCTCATAGCCTTACATCGTTTTGTTTCCCCCAAAGCCAGGCCTGGTTTATTTGTCGATGCGGGTGCGGATGATAAAGTCATACTGAGGTCGGCATACGTGAAGGGCGAGAAACTAAGTTAATAGGGTCCTAAGCTCGATTCTCGATTCCTAGATATGGATAGGGGTAGTTATATTTCGTAACGGTTATCTGGAAAGTATTTCAAGTCCTATAAAGAAATTTCAATGAACGAAGGGCCTCTCAGGCCCAACGTACAATGAGTGGTGAAATGATTAGCAAATGCTGCCGGCCAAAAATTTCACTGTCATATGTTCGGGTATTTTCTTGCTTGGTTGGGGTGTGATATAATCTGCCTGGTTCAGATGGTGCGTCAAGGGCGAATTCGTTAATCGTACCAGTCAACATCACTCAGCTGTAATTTGCGAGCACGGAATCCACCACGAGCGTTCTTATCGTTTCTTTGGTCGCGGTGGGAAGAAGGTCGTTTGTCGGAACCTTTAATTGAGCCTTTAGCATTGGGGTTCTTCTGGAGAATAGAGAGATGGGTTGAGGAAGTGTTGGTATCACCATCATTGCTGTCATTGTCATCACCAAGATCATAGTTCAATACTAAGTTTTTGATACGCTGCTGTTCTTCACGCTCGGCTTGCTGTTGGGATTTCATTGCAACTGCAAAACTAGAGTCCGAAGGGAGGTCGATGGTGCGTGTCTAAACATATAATGATTATTAACACATCCTTGATTATAAGAATTATATGTAGACGTATAACATACCTGCTGGCGATTTCCTCGCTTGGTCATAAGAGAAAATGGCATGGTGTTAGAAGGAATCATGGCGGGTTCCTTGGGTTCCTCTGCTAGCGCAGTATCGCGCGGGTTTGCACGTCTCATGGGCAAGGGAACGTCGAACATCGTCTTACGTTCGAATTTTCGTGATTCTACACTCTCGGAAACCATTTTTTCAAAGGCCCTGTCAAACTCAGCTTCGGCTTCAGGATCACGTTCTTCTTCCTGCCGAGAAACGAAGATTTGCTCTTCTTCCGACTCTGATTCGTCCTCATCATCGGGCTCATTGGCAGTAATCTGGACAGAGGTTAGTAGTTAGTAAACGTAGATGGGAACAATCCGGGTAGTAAGTACCTCTGCTTCATCCGTGGACTCTTCCTCGACATCAGGGGCCCCATCGTCTTCGATATCATCATCAGACGATGAGCTTTCTGCTTCTTCTTCTGGGTCTGGAGCCTTGTCAGTTTCATGCACCTGGTAGTTTTGTGCAACCGCTTCTGCAAACAGTTTGGTAGCCTCCGTAAAGTCTGCGGCGAATTTCCACTGAGGGCGAGTCAGGGCAAACGTGTCTTGAATGACGAAGTCGACATCCATGGGAATGGGATCCTTGGTGTGTAGATAGTACTTGAATCCTGTTAGTTAGAATAGGCTTTTAGAATCAAAGTTAAACATCTCGCATTTATGTACCTGGAAAAATGTTAGGAAGAAGTCAAGCTTCTTTTTTGCACTTCCACGGTCGAAGCAGATGCCGCACGTATCTAGTATGGTGCATACTAGACGAATACGGAAATAGTCGTCTGGCATATCAAGTGGATTTATTTTCCCCGGGGAGGGTGTGCCGCCCTCTGATTCAAGGCATTAGTAAAGCATGAAAGGGGTAATCATAAACTCGTAGAGAGCCAACTGGCTTACCATGTCCGTAAGTAACAATGCGATATAGCGTATCAAAAATCACTGGCGAATCAACCATCTTGTAATTATAAAGCTCTCCCAGGTACTTGACCTCTGAAATGCGGGATTGATTGAACTTGAAATCATTGTTCTCTAGTCCAATAGTGATTCTTTCAAGCACGTTGTCGATAACACTAATCACAAACGGCTGGTGGTAGCGGTATAGTGCGCTAATAATGATTGCAAGTAGATGAATGTTTCCATACTTGATTTTCCCAGGTTTGCTAAATATGCCTTCGAGAATACGGACCACCTAAGTTCTGGTTAGTAAACGAAGGATGAGATAAAAGTCGATACAACACATGCTTACCTCTGGCTCTTCCCAGTGTAGCTTTCGAATAGACTTCAGAACCTTGGTATAGTTCCGCTTGTTCATATCCAAATACACCAGCTTTCGAATATACAGTTCCATTGGTGTGCGTTCCTTCTGTTGAATAGCTGGCCTCGGTGGAGGGTCGACGTAGTACATGGCATTTTCAATAATCATTCGTTCTTGTTGCCCTAGGTGCTGCGCAGATTTCTTCCGTCCAAGCGTTTCCAAGAACGATGCCATTCTAGGAGCTGTCTCAGGGTTTCTCAACAGGTATCGACCGCAGTTCTCCAGCAGGTTGCCTATGATCTCAATATTCATCCTAGAAAATTCATCCAGGCTTACTTTAAAGCAGTGGAATATAACGTGTTCAGGAACGACGCCGAATTTCGTGAGCTCGGCCAGGTATCTGATATTGCTCGTGCGGACCTGCCCTAGAAACTCTTTTTGTTTGCGGCGTTGAAGACTGCGAAACTCATCATCCAGATACGCGATTAGCCCCTGGGGTACGTCGGGAAGATATTGGCCAAGCGTAGCTACAAGGCGTGCATACAGAGGCAGGAGATCAGAACGTCCTTTTGGCACCTCTTGAACAGCCTTGACGAGTCGGTTACGAGATGCCTTCGAATTCAAGAAGCAGAAATCCAGAGCTAGTTGATCAACGGCATCCTTATTTGCTAACTCGGGGAGCTTGGAGAGTAGTGCATCGACTTGAGCACCAACTGATTTGTTGGCTATAGTAGTAGCGGGCTCTTCGGGCTCACGGGAGTTAGAATCAGCTGGTTGAGAGTCAGTTTTGCTGGCTCCTTCTGGTCCAGATGCAATGCCATTTTGCCCTTCGTTGTCAGCTTTGCTTTTAGACTGATCGTCTCCGTCCGTTTTCTTCTTCTTCCCATCTTCAAGAAGCACTGCAGGAACTTTTCCCTTGAAATCGGCCA